AATATATATAATTTAAATATAATTAATATATATAACTATTTTAATTATACTTTATATTAAAGTTAAATAATAAAGGGTTATTATTATTAAGATTATTTTCTTTTTAATTTTAATAATATTATTAATTATTAAAGGTTTATAAATTATTAAGGTTAAAGTAATGCTTTAATTTATTTAAACTTAATATTTTTAAATTTTTCATTTTTTATTTAAATATAATTTAAAAGGGGTATAGGTTACTTTTAAACTTTAAATAACTTTCTTTCCTTTAAAAAGTTATTTCTTTAATTTTATAATTTTAATTAAAAGTTAAATATTTATTTATTATAATAATTAAATATTAATTTCGTTTATTAAATTAAAGTTATTAGGAAATTTTAATAATTAATTTTAGGTTTATTGCTTTTTTAAAAATAAATTATACTAGCTTTAACTTTAAGCTATTATTAAAAACTTTCCTTAATTTAAATTTTTTAAAAAAATACTAGCTTTAATTATTTATTTATATATAGGTATATTATAATTAATAACGTTATAGGTAACCTTAAAGGAAAGCTTTAAAATTATTATAGGTAGGTTAAATCTTAAAGGTTAAATATAATATTATAAATTTTTTTAACCTTATAATAGGTATTTAATAAGATTAAAGCTTAAAGAAAAGAAGAATTTCCTTTAAAGTATATATAGGAAGGGTATATAATATATATAAAGTATATATACTTTAAGGGCCTTAAAATACTAACGCATCTCCCACTTAACCTGGCCACCCAATTGACCTGGCCACCCCACCAGCTCATACAAAAAACGTCGGTGCGTTAATCACGTGATAATTCAATAACTTTACGAATATCAGTCGTATAAAATAATAAAATATACCACTAGATTCGTAATAAGAAGAGCTATTCAACGGTACCCTTTACTAACTTTTACGATTTTTATTCGCGGAGTTATTAAGCAATACGCTAAAGTAAGCGCTAAAATAATCCTTGCTTAGCGTTCCTTTAGCGTATTGCTTAATATCTCGCTTAATCAATTTTATAAAAAATAGTAAAAAATACCGTTGGATTCCCCTTTAAATAATGGATTCAATGGTACTAATTATTAAATCGTACGGTTAGTATTCAGAAAGTTATTAAAGATTGAAATAATGGGGTTTTATATAGGTTATTGGGGTGGCCAGGTTAATTGGGTGGCCAGGTTAAGTGGGAGATGCGTTATAATATGATAATTATTAATAAAGAATATAAAGTTTTATTATAAAAAGTTAATATTTAAATATATAAAACCTTTTAAAATTATAAGTAAAGTTAATTTATAAATATATTATATTAATTTCTTATTATAATATATTTATTTTTACCCTATTTTTCTAATTTAATTAATTAAACTTTAAATTATTAAATATAAATATAGTTTACCTATATTAAACCTTAAAAATAATTTAAAAAAATAAAAGGTTAAAAATATAATAAATAAAATAATATATAATAGAAATTAATACTATAAGTTTAAATAAAAAGGCTAGCCTTTTAAATATAATTAATAGGTATTATAATTTAATATCTTAATATTAAAGGTAATTAAAAATTTTAAAAAATAATAAAGTTAAAAATAAAAGAAGAAAATTAAAAATAATAAATTAAGTATAAATTAAAACTATATTTAATATTATTAATATAAAATATAAAGTAAGCTTAATAGGATTTTAAAAATCCTAAATTAATTATAGAAAAAATAAAACTAATTATTTTAATATAAAAGGAATTAAATCTTTACCTTTAAAATTAAAAAACTATTATACTTTACTATTAAACTATATATAAAATAAAGTTAAATTTAATAATTATTAAAATTAATAATATTATAAAAATCTATTTAATTATAAATATTATTTTATTAAGTATTATTATACTATTTAATTATAAAAGTTTTTACTTTTATTATAAATAATAAAATAAAGGTATACTATATAATTAAATTAAAATTTTATAAATATATATATAAAGAAATTATTTAAAAGTAGCTTTAATATTAAGCTATATTTTATTTAAGTTAAAAATATATATAAAAAAAGTATAAAGTAAAGTTATTTATAATATTAATTAGGATAAATATAATTATAATTAAGTAAATACTTTTATTTAAATATAAATATAATATTATTATAATATATAATAAGTTTAAAATAAATATAAAATAGCTTTATATCTTTTTATTAACCTAATTATTAATTATATTAAAATAACTTTAATAAATTAAAAAAAGGTATAAATATAATTTAATAAAATAATATTAAATAGCTATAATATTAATATAAAATTTAAATAGGTTAAATTAAAGTTTTACTTTATTATTATTAATAGTTATTTTAAGTATAAATGCTTATTAATTTTATTTAAAAAGTTTAATAAAGTAAATAATTTTAAAAGTTATTATAAGTAAAAGCTAAATTTAAATAAATAATAATTTATATATAATATAAATATAAAAATATTAATAAGCTTATATATTTAATATATTTTAATATATTTATAATAATTAATAAAGCTAGATTTATTAAATAAATAATTAAGTTTAAATAGAAAATTAAGGTTAAATTAATATATATACTTAATATATTTAATATAATTATAATATATTAATATAGGTAATATAGTTATAGGGTTAATATATTTATTATAGTATTAATTTTTTATTTTTATAGATTATTTATATTTCTTTTAAAGGTTTTTACCTTTAATATCTAAATTACCCTTATAGCTTAAATAATTATTAGGCGAAGGGTTGGCGGATCTATTATAGCTTTAGCCTAAATTGCCCTTTCCGTTATTATTATTATTATTATTGCTGTTTAATAGCGGTATTAATAATATTAAAGGAATAGGTAATATTAATAGTATTAGTAATAGCGGTATAAGCGTTTTATTATTAACGTACTTTTCGTTTATATCTTTATTATATTTAAATAGTAATAATAATAGTAGCACTTTACCTTTATTATTATAAATAATATAATTATTCTTTAAAATTTAAGCTTTACCTTTACCCTTTTTATCTTTAAAAGGTATAATTTAAATAATAATAATAATAATAATATAAAAATAATAAAAAAAGAAAAGGAAATAAAGTAAAGATAAAAATAATATAATAGTTTTTAGTTAAAATTAATTTTTAAAATTAATAATAATTAAAAAAAAAAAAAAAAAAAAAAAAAAAGAATTAATAAATAATTAATAGGAATATATATATAAATTTTATTATAAAAGTAATATATAATATATATAAATTATAAAATAAATATAAGCTTAATATTTATATACCTTTATTATAATAATGCTTTATATAAATAAACTATATTAATATATTTATTATAATACTTTATATTATATATTAATATAATTGGACTTTTTATTTTATATTTAATTAATAAATTAATTATATATTAAGTTAAAGATAACCTAATTAAAAAAAAAGGAATAGTTATTATATTATAATATTTTAAAGCTTTTAAAATATATATATTTTATATATATTATATACCCTTCCTATATATATTTTAAAGGAAATTCTTTCTTTTTTTAAACTTTAGTTTTATTAAATACCTATTATAAAACTAAAAAAACTTATAACATTATACTTAACCTTTAAGATTTAACCTACCTATAATAATTATAATTATATATTATAGCTATTAAATATTAAAATTTTTAATTTATTAAAAAAAAAGCTAAAAAATAAATTATAAAAAATACCTATAAGCTATTTAAATATAAAGCCCTTAAAAAAATATATTAATAATATATAAAGCTATAACGCATCTCCCACTTAACCTGGCCACCCAATTGAGCTGGCCACCCCCCTAACCTATATAAAAATCCAATGTTTTAATTTATAATAACTTAACCAATATTGGGCCCATAATAAATTAATTAATACCATTAGATCCGTTATTTAATAAGGAATCCAGCGGTATTTTTTACTATTTTTTATAAAATTTATTAAGCAAGATATTAAGCAATACGCTAAAAGAGCGCTAGGCAAGGATTATTTTAACGCTTACTTTAGCGTATTGCTTAATAACTCTACGGCTATAGGTCGTATAAATTAATGAAGGGTACCGTTAAATAGCTCTTTTTATTACAAATCTAATGGTATATTTTATTATTCTATACGACTAATATTCGTAAAGTTATTAAATTATCACGTGATTAGCGCACCGACTTTTTTTATATGGGCTAGGGGGGTGGCCAGGTCAAGTGGGAGATGCGTTATATAAAAATATAATAAAGCTAAATATATTAAAAAAAGTATAAAAAATAATTAAAATATATTTAAAAGATTAATAAATATTATTATTTTTAAAATATATAATATTTAAAAAAAAGGTATTATAAAAGTAATAATATTAATATTTATAATTAAAAAATAATTTATTATATTTAATTTATTAAAAATAGCTTTAAAAATTATAATTAAAATACTTTTTAAAAGTTAATAATTATAAATTAATATATAAAAATTAGCTTAAACCTTCCTTTTATTTAATAATTTATTATAAAGGTTATTTTTTATAAAGGTTAATAAAGCCTTTAATAAAAAAGTTAAAATTATTATATTTTTATAAGTAAAGATTAAAGTATTAAAAGTTAAACTTTAAAAAAACATTAAAGTTAAATAAAAAGTAATTAAAATAAGTCCTAACAATAACTTTATCTATATAATATATATATAAAAGGTAAAACGTAAATTATATAATCGTTTAATATATATTAATAAAGCTATTAATCGATACGTTTTAAAATATAAGGATACTAATATAGAAGAGGTTATTAAGGTTAAAAATAATAGATTTAATTAAAAACATTAAAAAAAGCATCGCAAATAACGTATTCGTTGAGAAAATCGCTTCAGAAGTTGGGTAATTAGTAGGTAGGGGAGGTGGTCGTGATAGGGGGTGGTCGTGAGGCAGGGTTTTTGCTTACCCCCAAAGGGGTGGAGGCGTACTGCTATTATCAACGTAGTATTAATCTCTACTTTGAATCTAGTTTTATTAATACTCCTGGCGGTTAGCATTTCTCAGCCAGGAGCTTCTCTTTCTCGTCCCAGCATCATTTTCAATGGCAGCTGTACCACAGTATCAACCCTCAATCTTCTCCTCCACTTATTGATCAACATTGTATCAACAGCTGTACTTGCATCGTCTAACTTTTTTATGCAAATCCTTAACGCCCCCTCCCGACAGGAAATCAACCTCGCCCACAGTTGGCTTCATTCTCTCGACATCGGAATTCCGTCAATCAGAAACCTGTGGCACGTGTCTAAACTGAAGTCGGCCAGCTGGATTATCTTCCTTATTACATCTGTTCCAATTCACCTCCTTTTAAACAGCTCTGTGTTTGAAACGACGTATGAAGGGTCACAATGGCAGTTAACAATGGCCGCAAAAGCGTTCACTCAGGGAGCACCATTCTTCCCGCCGGGAGCTAGCCTTACGCCCGCTGGGGGCATTGGCATGACGACGCATGAGTATTATATACTTCGATCTTGGGATTACGGAGAGAGTGTTGATTTGGAGCAATATTGGAATTCTTCATCCTCCATTCGCCAGAAATTAAGATCTGTTGCGGAGGAATCACATTCCTGGGCCTTTCTTAGCGCTTCGCAATGCTATTCCGAATATTTGTGCAAGCCCAGGAGACAATACGGGGATGTGGTACTGGTTCTTGACTCGACCGCTTCTGGAAGAGGTTGGTAAAGATCAGACATCTTTACTTTTGACACCTCCACTGAACTCTCCGCGCGCTGGGATCCTCATTTTCCGCCCAATGCTGCCAATCCATTGTGGTTCTCGGCGCAATGCAACACAACACGCCTCAAAGGATTTTCATCCGTAGATGATGCCTGCTACAACACTTGCTTCGGAGCTATGGGCTTGAATGATTGGGAGCTTGACTCTGGTGTGCCTATCCTGGCGGCAGATGAGCCTTGGCTTATATCGTTTTTCCCGGCTGTGAGGCTCCACGACAAGTCTCTCTTTGATGACGGCCTGACTTTCAATGATGAATACGATTCCTTGCGGGTTAACCATTGCTTGGCTCAAGAAATCCAACCACAGTGCAAAGTTGGCGTATCGAACATGCTTCTTCTCATAGTAACACTCAGTTTTCTTCTCAAAGCAGTGCAAGGCGGCATCATTGCCAAAAAGCTTCCATCAGCTTCCTTGGTCACACCGGGTGACGCCATTGAATCATTTATTTTATATCCTGATGCTGTCACCAAAGGGCTTGGTACATTGGACATCACCAAAGCGCAGCAAATCGAGGTCAGTCTCAAGACAATGACAGCGCTGAGTCAAAGAAACTACTCATTAACCCTGATCCCGAGTCATAGTTCGGCAAGCGAAGACACTGGTCTGATGCCTGGCATCTTGGTCGCAGCCTTACAACAAACATTCAACCTCGAAAATGGCAGATATCTCAGCGTCGCCTCTGGCAGATTATTCCCTACGGAACTTGGTTTAAAACGTATTCCATACTCTTTGCAGGCATGATACTGCTTTCGGCCGGCTTCGCAGCATCCTCTTCGTTAACAAGTAATGAGTAGTAAGTAGTAGTGTAGCGTGTCATTGATATGATACAGCGAGCAAGATGAGGTGGGCTTATCATATCAAACTAATTACCATTGTAGCTCTGTATCTCTCGACCATTCTAACGGAATCTTAGCCATTGATATCTGGGGTTATCAGCCTGTCAGCTATGTCGCTGCGGCTTTATTTGCTAATTCCCCACAGCTGATATTATCCCTCGGCTATTTTCCTTACAACTCTCTCCTAACTCAATTCAACGTGGAGAAAGATTGGAATTCCTTCAGCCTCTCGCACCAGCCTCTCCGAGTCTCATATCCTGTCGGTCAGCAAATTTCAAGCTACCGTCTCCAGCTGCCTTATAAACACAGCGTGCCGTTAATCATTATTAGCACAGGTCTCCATTGGGTAGTTTCCAACTCAGTATTCCTCTATATTAATGAAGGCGGTATGTACAATTCGTATGTCTGTTCTACAGCCACATTGCTCACTAACGTCAGGCTATTACTGGCATGGAGCGTCAGGTTTTAGAGAATTCGAGGACCTTGATTCAACCTCCAATGGATTTTTCATTGCCGTTGGATTTTCTTCCTTTTTCTTCCTTGTGCTGTTTATCGCAAGTATCTTATTTATAATCGTCCTACCGATTCTCCTTGGTTTCTATAAGATACAAGGCAATATGACTGCTGGAGGCTGGAACTCGCTAGTCATCTCAGCTGCTTGTCATGTGTACGACCTGGAGAATGATCAACATAGAAAATTCTCTGTGAACGAAGCCGGTAGCTCATTAGGAGAATGTGAGTTCTAAACTTTGGATATCTCCGACTAATAGCTAATGACAATTGAACATTACATAGGCACACAAACAGAATACATCACAGCCATCGAAGCCAGAGAGGACGATGAGGGTCTGACAGAAAAGCGCCTGAATTTGGCACGAAGAAAGCTACGATGGGGAGCTACCAGTTTAATTGACAGGCTACCAGCGTCAACATATGGCGAAGGCAGAGCAATCTTTCACTTAGGGTTTTCTGGGGAAGAACATAGCATCTCCGAGCCTAAGAATGGCCAGTACTACCTTTAGGTGTACTGGAATAATGTGCACTGGTTAATATATTCACGTGTCCCCGAGGAGCTGCTAGAGCCTTGAAAGCATTACATCTCATGACTATTTGGCGCTTGGAACGTCTGCAGCCACAGTAAAATTCCAGTTTCATATGTCTAAAAACACAAACGTCACTCAAAACATGGCTTAGGTGGTTCGGAGTGCAAGCGCCAGTGTCCTTTTATACTCCTCCGACGAGGTCTTTGATCTTCCCTTTACAATGTTAGTAATTTACCCTCCCAATTCCAATAGTTTAACACAGATATGTAGGCAAGGCTATAAATTATAATCTACACAACAATGTCTTCTGTACCCCTTGTTCCGTGGCGCATATTGTCCAATAACAAGGTGTTATGTGTCAAAGTCACGCTAAGTTCTTGTCCTTTCGAAAGCCATAAAGAGAATAGATATATGATAAAGATAGCATATGTGAGGCTTGTGGAGACAATTCAACATAGAAGACCAAAGACAGGGATATTCTTGAAAAGAACTCTTTATGCGGAAACGTGAATTTCTTTCAGTCCTCTGATTTAAGTCATAACGATATTTAAACATGGATTGGTCCCATTGTACGTTTTTGGCCATGAAGGTTGCCAAACTAAACACATTAGAGCGTACGACAAATTTGGAACGATTACACTAGGAACTGACAAGGTCAGGACTCACAGAACCATCGATCTCGTCCGCGTCGCTGTCCTAAGCAGCCATCATGTCTAACCAGTCTAGCTCCGGCGACCCTACCAAGCCTTCCAACATATCCGATATTCCCTCAGACCCTAGCCCAACCACAGCTCCTAGAGCGCCTAGTATTTTCAGCGATGGGTTTGCTAGACCTCCGCCCAACTTTGACCCTGAACAAGCCAAAGCAGATTTTAAGAAGGGTGCCGGTAACAGCTTTTTGGACGGTCGCGATGAGATTGAGGATTCTGTTGAAGACGAAATCCAAAGGAAGACTTCTGAATTAGAGAAGGCTAGAGGAAAACCTGTTACAGCCGAAGAAAAAGAGAAAATTGCCAATAAGGTGCGTTCTCTGCGAGAAGGAGCGTGGCTTGAAGGCCTAAAGCTTGAACTTGTTGGCAAGGATGCTGTGCCAATGGAGTATTTCAACCGCATTGTCGCCGAGAATGAGAATTCTATCATGAAAGTAGCCCAGATAAATGCCCGAGCGGAACGCGAACTGACCAAGAGAGATTCTCAGATCAATGATCTACGGAAAGACACTATTCGGGCTAACAAACTCACAGAAGAACTAGTCAAGTGTGAACGGCACGGGGCCGACTTAGAAGCTCATATTCAAGACCTCGAGAACAAACTTGAGCATGAGAAAGCGAAGCAACAAAAGGCCGACGCGAACAATGCACTTACTAAATGCGAAAGTCAAGTTAGTGATCTTCAAAAGAAGCTGGATGCCGCCAACAGAGACCTCGATGAGGCCCGTCAAAGTCTTGGCAAGCATTACGAGGAACTAAACTCGCTTAAGCAGCAAAAGGATGAAGCCGACAAACGGGAAGAAAGCGTTAAAAGCCAGGCCCAGGATCTTATGGATGACAACAAGAAGCTTAAGGCGGCCGCCGATCAGGCAAGCGCCCTTCAAAAACAGATTGCGAGTTCGGAACTCAAGCTTGCGTCTCTTAAGAAGGAAAATGAAAAATTAAAGAACGCAACTAAAATCCAAGGGGAATCTGACGATCTTCGCAAGCGCATCTTGGAGCTGGAGGCTGGATGGGAAGAGTGCAAGGACAAGGTAAAGGCTCTCGAGGATGAAAATAAGAACCTCAAGGATGCATCGAATGCAACCAGTGGAAGCCCTAGCAATCCTGATTTAGACGGTCTTCGAAAGCGGATTGCGGGACTGGACGCCGGAATCATGAAGCGTGACGAGGACATCACAGCTCTTCGAGCTCAGCTGGAGCAAGTGACCACTGGTATGCCTGAGGGGTCGCTCACTGAGCTACAAGCCCGTTGCGTTGAGCTTCGGAACGCCAGAGATATGTACCGGAATAGGTGGGCTCGAGGCGTTGCTGCGAACAATGCTGACCTGATCATGTTTTGGGAGGCTGTTGAGAACACGAACCAAGAGATCAAGAAGCTCTACTCGGGGTTAGACCGCTTAGGTGGTGTTCTTGGCCTTAGAAACAAGGTTCTCGATAGGCCTGCTGCGTTCGACGAAATCATTGCCAAAGTCTCTTCTTCCGTGACTGGCGAGATTGATAAATACCAGAGCCCCCAACTCACAGTACTACATCTACTCAACGCGAACGCAATTGCCAAGATACAGATTGAGACATTGAAGCGTGACCTTGACAAGGCTCAGATCGGTAGGTCCGAAGACGAGATTAAGACTGTCCTTAGAACAGTGGAGGAAGAGGTGGTCGAGCAGCGCGTCAGCATGCGGACCCAAATTTACCGTGCCCACCGCAGAGATATCCTAGCTCATCTCTTCACCGCCCAGAACGAGTTCCTAGTTCTCGCTGACAACAGCGCTGATAGAGCTGCAATTGAAGCACTTGTCGATCGATTCCTCCGCCCCAACACGCTTCCGCGGATACAGCCAGTGCAGAGTGATCCCACAGGTAGGTAGTGAAGACGCTTAACGTGGTGAGCTAGGTTTCCCCGGATTCTGGTAAGCATATTCGTAGATAGGGTATGGCCAGTAATATCAAGATAGATTAACCAACCACACACGAATACGACCTCAACTTACCATCATGATCTGATATAATGCGACCGTTCTCTGTTATATGTATAGTATGCGGCGCATTATAACCACCTTTAGATACTGAATCAGCCACCGGGTGAAGACCAGTCATGCCAAACGAGTACATCGGGCCCCCCACGGCGGTAGTTAGACGACGCCAAGCAGGTTGCCAGGGGTCCAAGTGCCGAGACCACCCACCAAGACCCAAGCCACTGGATAATTGTCATACTGGAGAAAGAGAAGGGAGTGAAGGTGATTAAAATGCAGGCACCGCCAAGTTGGCTAGTAGCCTTATCTCTTAGTCTTTGTCTCATACGAATGTTGCCAAGTACAAAGATACCACAATAGGTAAACCTTCTAGCACGAGAAAAAAAAAACTGAGATCTTCTCCTTTACCTAGTGTCCGCGAGGGGTCATTAGTTAGGTACAGCGGCCCCCATGCCGTGTCCAGTCCCTTACTTCCTTGTGCTACCAAAATGAAACAGTCGTGAGCAAATAGCATTCCAAAATTTCCGCCACCAATGGCATGTAGCCGGCGACCGCGTCATCGCTGTTGGAAACTCGTCCTCGCCCGTTTGAAACTGGGTATAGCATGGCGGTATAGCCCAGGCGGCAGGCATTTCTTAACAACTGTCGAGGTGTCGATTCGTTCAGGACGGAGAAGAGATGGCATGCATAAGCGAGTTGGTTGCACCAGCTGCCTGGGTGCGCAATCGGCCAGGGTCAAGATATCATCTCCAACGACATTGCTGCCAAGGCGACGCGACGTCTTATATTTAAACGACATCTTGGCGCTGACTTGGTCGTTGGCCGTTAACGCACTGGATGCGCTGTCATCATATTATATGTGAATCTCCCAAGCTCGCTGACGTTATTACTATGGGGAAGGAAGCGGACTTATTTCCAAAACCTCTTTGTTAGACATATTCTCTTCCCGGTAGTGGCTAGGCGGTAGCGGTGTTACTAAGAGAGTCCGGATCGGTCCGATGTTGTGTGCACATATGATCCATAGCAAGTTGTGGGATAGCTAGATCCCCTCATCTATAATTACACCAATGAAAATGCTGCTTCATATAGTGCATCAGAGTGCATCTTAATAATCTCGATAATCACATAAGGTAGCCCAGGTAGCCCTACCAGCAAAGCATACTAACATATTACTCTTGCATGTCAGCAGGGTATCATAAATCAGCTAAGAGTACACTACCTACAGTAGTCATCCATCGCACCCGGACCCGAGATACGTAGGCGTGGAGGGGCTAAACAACGTATGCATAATAATCTGATAACTTTATACTTTTGTATTCGCCATTTGCCGCAACACGGCTTGGCCTGCGAAGCAAGGAACTTATTATGCTTTGACAGTTGGAGTTGGCACTTCGACTTGGAAACTACCTCGCATACACACATGCATATGTCTGTGACGTCGACAACCAGGACGTACAGTAGAATGACGTCCGGTGCCGCATGTTTCGTAGACTCCGGTACTTGAACTAACAAGCCGTTGCCCTGATTTCTGATTTTTTTTTTCCATCTATATTCCCCTATTTGATTTCATTGCGTCGCTTACATCTGTTTCATACATGCTCTCTGCCTGTGTGTAGAGACATCGAGAGGTTTTACTTAGAGCATAAAGGGCAGGAGATTAGCTATATATGAACAAAGCATGGAAACGCCATGTTGCCAACGATCGCGGGTGCATTTAGTACAGTTAGACGGTTCCCCACAGATGCCCAAACCAGGCTTCACATCATTGAACGATCAAGTTTTGATCGGGGGTGCGCCCTGTCTCATCATCTTGGCAACAGACGCTCGTCCTATTCGTGCTTATGTGTGCCTTAATAATGCATTTATAATCTGATAACCAATGTGAATATTCTGGGGCCATGTAGCCTCCCAGTAGTCGCTTACTCTAACTCAGGATCACGATTGCGGGTTTGCACGGTCAATACAAATTCAGTTGGGAGGAACTCAACGGCCGGCTTGGCAGAGAGGGCCGTATCCTCTTTTTGACAATACAATGCCCCAACGCGGAAATATTGTGGGTTCAAGTACCGGCCGTGCAACGTCCGTAGACGGGCTAGCACGGATAAACCACTCTGTTGTTGACTTTTAGCCATTTTGCCGTCGGGCTCTCGTCGGGCTATCGTCGTCATGATCGCTGAATAGGCTTCTCTGATATTCGAACGAAAGTGGCGCGCTGAACCCCGGGGGGGCCCCCAGCCGCCGTTAACACTTTCTAAAGCTGGTTGGTCACTTCGAGTCCGAAAGAGCACCAAAAGCTTGTACCTGCGGCTCGCTCACGGACCTGTGCAACCGTATACCTGATAACTCCAACGTTTTTGTGTGGTAACCAACTGGTTCCGGTGTGTGGGCGTCCTACGCCACAGGCCAGGATTAGACACACTCAACCTGCCTCCGGCCCAGCTCTCTCCTTTTCCGGTGACGAATGCACCCAGCCAGGTTGCGTGTATCAACGCAGCTGGCTGTTGTTGGATTTTCACGGCGCAGCTTCAAGTCAAACAAGCCCGACTTAATACAAGCCATTATTACTACGTATATCATGCTAGACTGGCCGTCGCTGGGGAGCGGGGGAGGGGGGATGATCATCCCTTGTGGTCCTAGGATTATGTACTATCTCGATCCAGCAGCATCCACTGCTAGTTCGTCCTGCTCGACAAGGCCAGACCATCAAAGTAGAGGGGACGCTTGAGCAGTTTCGGAAGTAGCAATTGGCTGTACCATGTGTCCCTTCCCTTCCCTTATTATGTTTGGTTTCAAGAGTGCCATTGCAATTTGCAACTGCCATCAGCTTGTGGGGAATCAAAGGTAAAACTCGATCACATGGAGATCATGTTACATTTACATCTGTATACCAGCAGGAGCCTTCATCTAATTGTGGCGTCCCAAGCACTGCAAAGGTCAAGGAACCGCTGGCATCGATTTCTTGCAGTCATACGAGACCACTTCCAAATATGTGGCCTCGCGTGTGATGACGTTCCTGGTCTCCACGTACGTTCACTTGGCTGGGATAATTGTTGCACAATTAAGGAATCAGCGAGGATAGGGAAGAGATCTCTGTGCACGGCCGTAGTCCGGCGTCACCCCATATGTTTCTCCGGCCCTGATAACGGAACGTACCGGGGCCCCCTTTTTGTAGGACGCCTCACCCGCGGTATATCTACGCTTGCGTTAGTGTGGAATATATCAAATTCGATGAAGGCTATATAGCCAGTCATCCTCGCAAAGGAACCCGCCCCATACACGCAGATTGTTCACGAAGTGGTAACCTTTCCATCGATAGTCCTAAATCAACGACGCAGTTCTGCCAACAAAGCTATGGAATCGTTATCATTTCCAGTTCTTGCGCGCGCTGACGCCGCTGGAAGCTCTTCGTCCACTCCAAGTTGGATGGAAGCCAGACTGAAGGTCAACACGGCGATGGTTTCAAACTATGCTATATCTCTCGCAGCTCTTATTGGCATATTCATTCTCGGCCACTGGGCTCGTCGACTTGCAGGGAATGCGTCTCGGTCTGTGATCTTTTATCCTGTAACGGCATTGTCAAGGTGAGCTACGGAGATGACTATACCTGATCTATTATCATGCTAATCATTCATCTAGGTCTCTTCGAAAATTATTTCTTCGACGACTGCCTGGCTTTACATCTGTTGGGCATGCCGTAGTTGTCATTATCTATGTAGCATTCAACGCCGTCTTCAGCTTTTGGCAACTTGACACCAGCAAAAAGGGAAATGTGGCTTCACGATTCGGGTGGTAAGTTGTGCTGAATCTTAATGTTTGGGATTCTACTAATGCCCACAATAGGATGGCTGCTGCAAATTTCGCATTTGTAGGTAAGTGTTATATCGAATCTCACCCCCTTTTGATTCTGCACTAGGAAAGGAAACCCTAAGTCGTTACTTGTGCCTCTTATGGATTCCCCCTAGTCTCGGAATTTTTATTTGTCGCTTAAATAAGTTGCTAAATGCGGATATACAGTTTTTCTCGCGCTCAAGAACACACCTCTCGCAATCCTAACGGCATACTCGTATGAGCGGCTGAATAGCCTTCACCAAATCGCTGGGTATACTACTCTTGTATACACCATTCTACGTATGTGGCAGATCATTTGCTTTTCTCGTAAAGAGTCGTTCATTCAAGAAGCTCTTTTATTTTGTGCTCCAACCCTCAACGGCAGAATCTGAAATATGCCTAACAAAAGAACTGCACAGATGCCTCGGTATACACTGAATTTTTCATAACTGCCGGGCGGATATACATTCTTCAAGAGCATATCGTCACGGCTGGCATCGTCGCCGGCTTCGGAATGCTCTTTACAGTTCTCGCTGGTATGATCCTAAAACGGCGGAATTACGAACTTTTCTATATTATTCATCTGGCCTTGTTCGTGGTTATTGTTGTCACCTTCGGTTTGCATCGACCGCAACTTGAAAGCGAGAAGGCTTTGGGAATCACTATCTTCGTTGCCGCCCTCTGGGGCGCTGATAGGCTCATCCGGATGGGTCGCTTGGCTTTCAACAGCATCAATAATGAAGCTACAGTCTTCCCACTGCCGAATGGCGGTACCCGCGTTGTAATCAAGAAGCAGATTATGCGTGCCCGACCTGGGAGTAAGTTGTCCAATACCTAATCTAATTCATTTTTAGTTTCTCGTCATCCAGGCCTGAAAGGAGAACATGATCAATGTTTCCATCAGCTCATTTATGCCTCATTTGCATATACTAATCAAGTTTCTACAGAGCATTGTTACGTCTGGCTGCCACATATCCGCAAATTCGAAACACACCCTTTTACCATTGTAGCCAGCGATCCCCTGGAGCTTATCATTAATTCACACAGCGGGTTCACAAGGGATTTGCACCAGTATGCTAGCAACAACCCAGGTGCTACCCTCAAGGTATCGGTTGAAGGGCCGTACGGAACGCTCCCGGACCCTACGGACTACGACAAAGTCGTGCTGGTCGCAGGTGGAACGGGTGCCACCTTCACCTTTGGTTTAGCAGCGGATATGATTCGGAGGCTAAGCCCGGACTCAAACAAACAGATTGACTTCATATGGGTGTCGCGCAGTCGTGGTACGTTACAACCAGACCTGATCTCCTAAGTTGGGATGCTAACAGTATTCATCTCGCAGAGAGTATGAATTGGTTCACGCAACATCTCGACAACCTAGTCAACCACGAATGCGCCCCTAAGCTTGGCCTCAAGATTCACTTGACGAGAGCTAACACGATTGATTCGACACCAGCGAGTAACTCGGGCCTACTACCCCACATCTTCGCCGACTCAGAACCCAAGTGTTCACCTGCTCTAGAAAAGGAGATGCAGTCAGGATCAGGCACAGATTCCTCTTCCGAATCTCTCCGAGAGAGAGACCCGGAAAAGAATAACAACGGGTCAGTGAGGGGGTCTACATCAGCTATTGACGAGCTGAATCTTCCTATCATACACGGTCGCCCTGATATCAAGACCTCAGTTCGCGAGGCGATATTATCGGCGGACAAGAACGAACGGGTCCTCGTCGCGGCATGCGGTCCTACGGGACTGGTTGATATCGTGCGGAATACCACGGCGAGCTGTATCAGCGTCGACGGCCCGTCTGTTGAGTTGCACTGTGAGCAGTTCGGGTGGTAATGCGGGCTACGATGTCTAGTTTGTTTCGTATCTTTGGGAGTTTCTGGAGCATAGTAGGGTTTTTTCTTTCCTTGGCGTGTGGTGTCTAGAGGTTAAATAAAGGTTAAGGCTTAGATGATTTTATGGCTCAAGTCATGGGTTTTTATGATGGCGGGATGTTGGGCTTTATCATCGCATCGGATTCTTTACGTAGTCGCAATGTTGCGTGTGAAAAGGGAATCAAAATATACCAAGCCTTTGGATTTCATGATAATTCTTATACAGGCTGTTAGTGGTGTTTGCTCTTATGACTGTCATTGGACGATGAAGTGACGAGCCGGCGATACGTTGACGCAAGGTAGTGTAGCAGTGTACACTTATTTGTAGGTAAGCAAAGTTACTTACGGTGTAACAACTACCATTTATAGTAGACGCGGGCCTCAGCTATGTGCCCTGTATACTGAGCTTGAATTTCTAATCCCACTTCATAGGCTAGGGGAGTACATAAATTATCCCTTGGCCAGTTGCTATACTTGGAGAAGACGAAAACAAGGACTTTGATCCCCTTCATGGGAGTGGTATTATGAAGGTGTCCCGAGTTATATAATCTTGTTAACTTGTCGGAAGATACGCTTCCAAATAGTAGCATCTCTTGAATGATGGCCAAAGGGACGCGTGAGAGTCAAACTGTTCGCGGTATCCTGCCCCCCTCTGTCGATCCACGTCCCGTGCCGTATGTGCATGATGGTGGCTAGGGGACAGAATCATGGCCCAGGTACATAGGACAGAATATCCTTGCCGGGTGCGCTTGGGTTGGAGTGAACGTGTAGACAGTACATATTACAATAAAGAGAGCTGTGTCTAGTTCAGATTCAGCCAATAGGTATAGGTATTCAACATTGGCTGCGCAAACGAGCATCGTGTCGCGGAACTAATGAAGCTTAATTTCCGATATACAGCACAGACCAAGGAATACTATATATAAAGCTAAATAAGAGAGTAAAGGACGGAAACTAGAACTTCCCTCCTTGTGCAATAACACAACGATTACTTGAAACCACAGCAGGGCAGTGCTGTGACACATCTACCACCCAGTACACGAGGCTGCCTGTATCGCATACCAGGGCAAAATACCATTACAAGGTGATGTACGCACAACCAGTTGTCGGAGAGTCTGTCGTCTACATAGCGTAGGAGTAGCTTTATATAATCTCATAACAGGGGTAGTCCAATGAAGTAATTGAAGTATGCAAAGACAAATCTTGACGATCACCGGTTCTTTCCCGACATAGGTTCGTTGCAATGACAGGATCGCTCTTGCACCTATGGTCAGGTGAAATATTACAATAACTTGCGTATGGCGCCGGTTTAAAGAAGAACTAAGTATCCGTCGAAGAGTTTTCGTATGTATGGGCTCTTTTCGGCACTTGGGTCGGCTCGATAGTTCTCATTTGTGTGTCGACGCATAAGCATATTCGTTGTACTGGAGTGCGCGATAATCGTACAATTCGTCGACAAAACCCATGCCGTGAGAATTGTATAAAAGCGGAAATAGCAGAAGAGAAAAGATTAAATAGGTTCAGAATGCCTATCCCCAAGGCTTTATAAGTAGAGCGGAGTATGGCTCAGCTGAAAGGTCTCTCTCTAAGCGAGCGAGTCTAGAACATCTGCGTGGGCTGCTCCATGATGTGCCGACGGTAAGTACCGCTCATATATATAGAGTGTATAAGATCGACTGAATATGACGAATAATAGAACGTAGTAATATATATCAACCTCTAGGCACGTGAAAGTTGGAACATCACTGCTTTCCATATTTTGGAGGGTTCATTCGTCTTGATAGTAATGTTTGTTATGTTGTCCTATTCCTATAGCAACATTAGTCATCTATAACATATTCTTGTGGGATAGAGGGACTAAGTCTGCTAAAATGTACCTTGAAGTGTTAAGTACAATGGACTTGGGTGTAGAACGATTTTAGGGTATTGTAGTTTTATGTTGAGTTGACTCGACCAGGTTGAAAGCTCGTCGGTTTCTAGATTCGGAAGCCTTACTGGACTAGTCCACTTCATTCAAGATCCTTGGTATGTGTTGGCATGCCTACCCTCTTCGATCATTTGGGGAATGCCACATATTCGCTACAGCAATTCCAATGCGTGATACAGGAAAGAGGTGCCTGTGGATGTGTACTTGAAGTGGATGATTTACAACGGCCTAGATCAGACTGCAACCAATAAAACAGTTTTTGACGGCCAAACATATCAATACGTGAGTTCATAGGCAAGTAAAGCTTAGACACGTAAGGTCGCAGTATATTAAAAGCCAATTCAATGTTCTATAGCCCCCGTTCAGAACCCTTCTTGTCACAAATAACACAACCCTGGAGCAAGCTGAATCATTCGGACTGTCTTAATGGCAGTTATGGGATAAGAGGCTATAAATGAGTGTTTCACGTAAAATCACTACATCATACAGATACTTGGGGCTCGTCATCTCGGTTGCATCGAGAGGCATGTTTCGGACATTCTCGTCTGAAAAGGGGGTAGTGAAGATCGAAACCTGCGACTCCGAGAAGGTATTACAATGTAGGTGGAGCAAGCACAGTATGCTTTTCTTCATGGTTGCTGCCCACTTCGAGCCCAGCGATAATTCTACTGCTTTGACGCAAGACGTAGACAAAGTAATTATTGCTGTATTATGTCCATATCGGGATTTCTGAATATAATTATCATGACAAATCATACAGTATTGGTGGTGATGATACTACACTAGAACAGCTAGATTCAGGGGTCTGTGATGTGAGTCTAGGATTAGAACGTGGCACTGACGTTCGAAACAGCCATTTTGTCTCGCACGTGTAGGCCTGATGTATCTACATTGCCTACGAAGACCGGGAACATGATTGACTGTAAGGAATCTTGGGATGTACACTACGTACCAAAATTACGATCCGAACTGTAGTAGGTTAGGTTAGGTACTTAGTGAAGGTGCTGGCTCCGAGTCTTTTCGCTGGGGCGGCCCGTATTGCCGGTAAGTTTTCCGATTGTGGGCTGTCGTGGTGGAGCCAGCAAGCTGGCTCTGTATACTGTGAGCATGGATTTGGCATGGCGAAGTCCTAGATGTGAGAAATGGACAGTAATATTTGAAGTTATTAGTAGAATTATCGGTAATTGCTTCTTGACATTGTCTAATGTGATCGTAGTATGAAGTATATCTCAGCTGTGACTACGTATATACGGTACAAGTAGTGTGGAAAACCAGGTTTGAGCTTACGGGGGGGCCTGTCTCATCTGAGGTAAGCATTGGCTGGGATCACATCGCTTGTGCGGCCCGTCGCGAAGGCGAGTCCTCCCACATATGATATATGATGCTTCATGTACCTACATGTCGGCTGCGACAAGGATTGAAATCTCTAATTCGGTGCTGAGAATTAGTCATGCAAATTTGGACAACCTCGTATCAGCTAGCTGAGTAGTAGGATGTCGTCAGTTGCTGAGATCGACCGCGTCTATCTGTCTAAGTACCACATGGGTTTAGACTAGAGGGCCATTACTAGTATGTATTATGTAGGACATGGCTTGATCTCTTGTACCGTAACCCCGTCAAGACCCGGCAAGGTTAACTGGAGAGGGACGCATAGCGTGAAGCATTTCCACACTTGCTACATGCACCACTAGCTGCGTTTCGAACATCAACATTGGCGATGGACGAGTCTTCGGGCCTCTTCATGTCCTTGAGCCCGTTCATAGGGGATTCCCGAGGGTAGGCGCTGTGAGGAGAGTGATCTGCGCATGTTTATGTAGCATTCGCTTCAATAGCGTTGGACGCATTGCTTCACAAGGTCGCAATACTCTACTATCTACAAGTAATCTTGTGGTCACAGGCCGGCATTATATATATTTGATGCTTGACCCCGAAACGATAGCCGCCCAAGATTTTATAGCCCCTGAGTTATTCCCAAAATGCTGAATGATGCCCCAAGTGCTAGTGGAAAGTGGGCAAAAGCCGGCCTATGTTCCAAAATAGCAATGACTCGCCCGCTAATGCCCGCTCACTAATAATATACATTCGTATCATCACTTTTTTTTCGTGAAACTTTAAGCCTTAATTGAAGGGATAAGTGCTGGCATTGACCATACTCAGTGACGCCTGTCTGCTGTCTAGGCTTGAGGTGCAGTGAGAAAGAAATCCAGCTCATTGCCTTGCCCCGTAACGTTTTCGTTTTCGGCAAGTTGTTCAAGGAGGCTAAGGAATGGGTCTTTCTCGTCCGCGGCCCCTACCGCCGTGCTGCCATCGTGACTCTTGCTGCCTGGAGTGGCGGCGACGTCTCCGTTGTCGTCATCGGCCTGCCAGGGAGCAGGAGAGGGGAAGGTATTCGTAGGAACTATACCGAACATGGGGTCATAGTTGCTGGGCCCAGTTCCATTGCTACTGCTATCTGTATTCTGCGTCGGAGCGATAGAATTGCGTGGGCTAGGGACGGTGTTGCCCATGTAGCCTGGCATCTGATGGTATGACTGTTGTACTGGGAACGTTGGTGTTGCCGGTACAACGTTCGTTGATATACCTGCGACCGAATCTCTTGCTTGACTCACTGCCTGTCCTTCTGGATGTGGATGTAACGAGGCAGCGACGCTTACCACATGTGAATTTGGGGGTCTGGGAGCGATCGAGAATCGACGGGAAGAGATGCTGGGTACCGGTGGACCGATAGATGTAGGGTTGTTCGTACTGGCATTTATCGATGCCAGATTGCCAGGTTCCGGTCGACTGGAGCCCGTAAATTTCCGCTTAAGGTTCGGTCGGTCGGGTTCACTATTATCTCGGGAAGCATATAAGTCATGGCCCGTGTATGTGTCCGTAGTGAAGTCGACCACTACCTCTGTAAGGCTTAGGTTAGCTCCATCAAAATCATAAGACTTGCCTCCAGGACCGGTGACATTTGCGTAGCGACTGAAGAAATCCTCGAGATTAAACGCAGGAGAGTAGCGCATTGAGTTGCTCGCTAGCCTCTTGACGAGTTCGGCATGGGCATTATAGACGTTCTGCAAAACTTCTCGTTGATGTTGCACGCTCGCCCACGCATAACGAAGCTCGCTTAGTTGTTGCATCTCACGCGAAAGAAAGTCCGCGGATGCCGCGAAAGTTCCCATGTCACCTCCTCTTGCTCCCGCCCTATTATACTGTGCTCCGTGGATATGGACCGTGCCAGCAGTGCAGAGGCAGTAGCCAACGAAAGCGGGCCATTCGGTAGTCCCCGTCTGTTTCCCCAATTCCACCAGTTCAGTTATGGCGTTAGCATGGAGAAAACACATGTTTGTGGCCTCGATCTGCCATGACTGGTGCTGGCCTGTTACAGAAAGTTCTGCGAGGTCGATAGGCAGAAATGGCCGATAAATCAAACAATAGATCAAGTGGTAAACGAGCTTGCTGAGCACCAAGACAGTGCACTCTGGGTGCCCAAGTAATGTGTCCAGGCTTGAGAAGACATCTTCCGTACCAGACGCCCAGATATCGAGTTCTTGTCTTATTTTGGAAAGGCTTGATAGCGTGTGCCATGGGAAATGGGAATCGCCCTTGACACCCCCAGCTGCAAGGTAACGGTTCGTCACGCCCAATACGCGGCTAATATCAATAAGCATTGCGCTGCCTCCTTGAAATTTCCTGCCGCCTCCTTGCAAAGAGTGAATAGTTGAACCGCTCTGAAAGAATTCGCCTTCAACGGGGAGACCGCCGGGCGTTGGAAACCAACATGGAAGCCGGAGAAAGATTGTTTTATCCCCAATAAGACACGGTCGCTTTGAACCACAGGCCATGAACCTGTCTAGTAAGTAGCACGACCAGAACAAGCGCCTCCTCATCTCACGTTCTAGCGGTGCTATAGGGGCGTTTGGATCTGCTTCTCGGTGGAATTCGAGGGCCATGGCCATGCCAATTGCATTTGCTGCATATTGAGTCAGCTTAATTAACACCAAAGGGTTAGGGAGGTCCACGGTAGAGATATTGCATACTCATGAGCATATAGGCCTTTTTCCCCTTTCCCGCTGCGATGTACGCTATTACCAGAAGGAGAAGCGCTTGTAGAGTGTCGATAAGCGGTTCGTCAATGTCAATCTCCTTTCTAGACATAGAAGCAAAGCCTTCGCTTAACTTCACGGAAGATTGATATCCGGTAGGATACGGTGTATACCTAGATTCAATCAGCGACGAAGTCGAGATGAGCCCTATAAGATACCAGAGACATACCTCGCAGCAACAGCGTATATGGCATGAATCAGGTACGGTGGTAATACATTGGCCCGCAGCCGGTATCGAACAGATGCTTCGTCTAGTATATGGTAAGGTCTAGCATGGAAGCGTGTGAAGTATGTGTCAAGAAGAGCGTCAGAGGGAATCGCAGGAGCTGATGTGTCAGTCATAGCAGGGGAGTATAGGGCGGTGTCTGACCCAGAATCCGATATTCGAGATGTGTCAAGAGCTGCACGTTTTGGCCTAGGTTCAGATGTCGCTGTACGGGCTGGTGGTATTGAGTCTGAAGCAGGCGCCTCCGTGCTAATCTCCAATGCCTCCTTTTTCGTACATGTTGGCTCTTCCGCAGTTGGTGAACTGCCCAGCGTTTTCTTCTGATCCTTGAGCTGTGCTTCTAGGCCATCTACCCGTTTTAAAAGAGCCTCAAGCACGTCCGTCTTCGGCCCACGTTTCTTAGGGACGGCATCTGCAATTACGAATCACAAGTATTAGTAAATGAACACTTACACACAAAGGAAAGTCCTCAAGATAACGCACCGTATATACACGGGCATTGGAAGACTTCGCATGCTTCACAAGACGGCCGTAACCGATTACACTTAATCTGTTCGCCAGCGAACGATTGTTAGCATCGCTGTCGCATATGCCGGTAGGCAACCAAAGTCCTAGGGGTAACCAACCTTCCGTTTCCGACATGATTTACAGTTCATTGACTCTCGTGGCTCGTTACTCATCCGGCGTGTTGGCAGCCGTTCAATGCCCACCTGAGGCCGCGACATGACGAGTGAATGGCTGCTGTCGGAGTGGGCTAAACTTGTGTTCATTGACTCTTATTTGGAAGGTGTTGCGTGAACGAAGGCGCAAACCTCTCTCTAACAGAATTGTCAGACACTGGGAGGCTGTGGTGGTATACCGCAGGCGGTAGTCTAGCCCTTGAGTCGACTCCGTCAACAACACAAGAGTAGTTGTTGAAACTCCGGACTTTTTCTCATTCTCAATGCTCGTTGTTCGTGTTGCTGGTGTCAGTACATTGATACCTTGACCAATCACCAAATCGTAGAAAGTGCAGATCGCAAAGTTAATATGCGCAGCTGAGCTCGCACGAGCGTCTGGCGGGAGCGATTCACATAATAAATGTCAGCTAACTTACCCCATGCCACATCGATTTGTGGTCCCTCGACAGACACTTACACTAGCCTAGCTGTAGATACTTTACCATTACAACTGTACATCCTAAGATCGCGCTTAAAGCTCTGGGGTGCTCCATGTTCGCCACGCTAGACTAACTTCTGTCCTTGAACAGCGCCTTGATCATACTCTTCCGGGTCTGCGGCCAGCACCCATTGCAAGGTCAGCGCGGGGCCGCAGCGGGGAAGCACTTGTTGCAGGGTATGGGGGCGCAATGGGATGGACGTGTTGGAGAAAGCACCATTCAAGTGGTGGATGTGTGTGCATAGGTAATAAGTAGAGTGACAGGGCAGTGAATCCTAGGTAGGTACATGGCGTTGAGCAAAGAATGCTACGCTACTAGCCCAGAATCTTAAAAGCAATATGGAAAAGTAGTCAAAGAGTTGCAGTTCAGTATAACTCAAAACGCCTATAACTCGCAATGTCAAGTTGCAATATGAGGAATGATTTGCCGAGGCTCTCAACTACCAAAATTGCGCAAAACATGGTTGGCGTGGAACCGGTGCCAACTCCACTGAGTTAGCTGCCTACCTGTAAGGTTTATGTCAAGGGGCCGCTGCTATCCTAGCGCACCATATTCCATGCTATGGTATGTATCTCGAATTCCGGCATTAGATAGAATAAGCCTCTACATGTAGGCGTGCTGGGTTTATTGTGAAAAGTACGGCGGTGGCGGCCGTCCGCCGTACGACAGACGAATGCATTTAGACGCCAGGCGTTGTTCTGTTCTGGTGTGCAGGCGAAATGCTAGGAAGTTCCTTGTTTAAGCGGCATCCTATCACATTCACCTGGCGGAACAAACCGTTGTTTGGTATTCCCGGCATGACGGGACGATAGCATACATAGTTTGAAGAGAAGAAAAGAAAGCCATAAGTATATTGGATGAACAAATGCTTGTACTATCTAGTATGTTGCACCCTGGCGATGCTACCTCCTGCGTCATCTCAATGCCAAACCATTCATCTAATGCCTCGACTTCAAGAAGCTAAGCCGTTCGAGGTTATCTACCTAACACATATGCGCTTGTCTTTGAACGATTCTGCGCCCAGCAAGGGCCTTTAGCTGCCTCGTACGGTAGTCTAAGGTTAGTACGTTCTATACTATAGAGGTAAAGCGCGGGCGTTAAGTCAGGACCGTGGGTCTTAAAAACCCAATCCTAAATGCGTCTTTGGAACCGACTACGTACGCTACAAAACGGCCCTATTCACTTGCGTCATCTGTAACAGCCACTATAGCATGACGGCACATTCCTGATAAGACCTTACTCATATCCTTTGTACTACAATGCTCGAAATGAAGATCACGATCTTCAGTACCGTGGCACTCTAGGTAACTGGGAAGCATCTCCAGTTGCCTGGGGCTCAGAGATAGTGACCTACGTACCGTAGACTCCCACCCTACAGGCACTGTAACTGCCAAAAGCCAATAGGCATGAGAGAGGTTCAATAAACTGAAGCTGTTTACAGTACGATCATATAAGAAAAGAGCACTCACCGCTACGAATAGCAAGCCTGTTCCCTACTGTGGGCTCTCGAATGGTGTTTCATACCCAGGCGAGCCCAGGTAGAAAGTGAATACGACGTGTGTATTCGGTGTTAATGTGCTGGGACACCAGGGATCTGATTGGTGCGCTACTGTCAGGTCAGGGGTAGTAGATCTCCTCCTATATCAGAAAGCTGTCTACATAGTGGACTGGTATCAGGCTGTCCTCGTGGCAGACACCACACTGGTTGGGGCATGGAAGCTTGCCCATAATAGGTTGGTCGGCGTGTTGGTACCGACTCGAGTCTCGGAGTTGAGAGGATATTGCCGATGCATGTATGGGGAAGCCAATGGCTGACTAGACGTCTTTATGATGAGGTGTGTCGCGCAAGCTTTTCCGCTTGTGAACTGGCGCAGCATTCAGATGCACCAGTTCACATCGTATCATGGTTCAAGGTTGCAAAGAACGTTCAGATCACACACAAGCTTGGGTGGCGTACGGCAAGCTGCAGCATACATCAATCTGCCGCACCCTTAATATGGTCTAATATGCTTACTGCATCACCGAAGTACCTAGATGTCGTACCATTGTGGGTTCCGGGTCCTTGGTCACCTCGAGGCTCGGTTTCGGTTATATAAAGTAGTCTAACAGCCCTCGAGCTTGGCTTCGCGCTCGCGTAGACTAGGTAGAATAGGTACCGTACTTTCATCGTCGTCGATCTGTTAGCTGATAAGATCGGACGAGGCGCCATGAGGGGCTCCATTGCTTCAGTACTCAAGGTTCTGGAACAGAACTACGGCTATAATGTCTTCTCCTAAGGCTCCACGACAAAGGATTATCCTCGTTGAAACGCTTGCTCTGTCTCCCCCCTATCCCATCATGACGCGCCCGTTTCGTGATAAGGAAGTTCAATGCCCAATCTGGCTTGATTACATAGTAGATCGAGGAGCAACAACGTATTCTTATGCACCACACCAGATACACTAGCAATAGGTAGTGTATAATACGCTACGGTACGCGCAACTCCATCGCCAAGAATTCATCCTCTCAATACTCACCTAACGTACTGTAGCGAGATGTGTTAGCGGAGTCGTAGCACACTACGGCCACTGCGAAGGCCGATGGCTGGAGTATGACATCGACAGTTTATGGTTGAACTACTAGTCATCCTGTTCTTGAATCAATACAATACAACCTAAGACAGAAGCCCAAGATAAGCTAGGGAGGGAATGTGTACAAGATCTACAAGTTGCAACCATATATCTTGAAAGCGACAGCAGCGTCCACCCTACATAACGCACGCCCGACTGCATCGTGGCATATCGTCGTTCCCTCCGGTTCATGATTCGCTATCGTGACCTATGATAACCGAGCAGTCTGCATGACCGAACGGACCTGCTCATTATGGTAAGCAGCGAGTAGAGTTATTCCCAGGACTGCTGTAATCGATGTCATCTCTCGACGATCGCGCTTGCTGCGCGCGTACTGCAGCCGAACTGCAGCGAAGAGGGGGGCGCCTCGTCCGACAAAAGGACGCAAAAGGACGTGATGACAGTAGAACGTGACCAAAGCTTCAACGGCTTTCCTCTCCGCGGAACCGAGAAACTCACAGCGTAGTATCGCACAACGTCGTGGCGTTGCACTAGCACAGAGGCGAGAATCCACTGATGCTACATTTACCGTCTGGGGTGCATCAGTAGCCCCCAGTGATCGATAGTCGTCCACTCCACAGCGACAGCTCCTTGTCATCCTTCTACCTAGGATCTCAACCAAGAGCGCTGTCTACACGGTATAGTTTGCGCACAGCACTTTCGGGCTTGACAATTTCCATTGGGTAATAAACAGTAGGTACTCGAGGCTACGTCGACTTCGAAATGGCGTCAAACTCGACTACATAAAGCGGTCTTCTATAGCAATAGAGAGAAAAGGCCACAAATAAGTGACGAAGTGGCCAATTCAAAATCTAGCATCAAGTGTGAGAAACAGGTACCCGGTTGATTGAGAGGAATGAAAAAGGTAACTGGCCAGTTTCTTGGACAGGTAAGATACGTACATAATAATACTTGACCTCCAGTTATTCAACTATGGGCGCTTGCTTGGGCAACTTGTTCCTTGGTAAACGGTTCATAGGCAGGTGTGGTATAGGAAACGGGGTTATTTTGACCGACATAGTACCGACACTCAAAAAGAAATCGGCTGCACCGAACAGAATATGCGGCTTGGTGAAAGTCTCGGTACGCAAAAAACATTGTCATTTGGACATGTCGTTTTCTTTGGAGCGGCTACTCACTCGGGTTTATCTAGAACCGATGACCGAAGGAAGACTGCCAAACTCAACTACGACCTTATTAGCACGCCGCATTGCCTCAATTGAGTGAGCGTGAGCTCGGAAGGTTATGCTTAGCCGAGACGCCTGAGAGACCCTGATCGTCGTCCTGAAGCGCAAGGAATATAATTCACTATAGAACTAATTTGCATAGGGCATATTTCCCCCAATAAATATGAACAGCGCCAGAAAACAGGTTATGAGTTGCCAGTGGTAGATATGGCATGGGTCTATACGAGATAAAAATAATCTATAGTTCAATAGCAAATGTGAAATTACCTTCATGATCTGCCAGTGTTGTTAACTAACACCATCTTCGGCTAACAAGGTTCGTTGCAAGAAGAGGTTTTACTTCGACGATCACATCGCGTAAGTCATTTCTCTAGTCGACTGAAATTGGGGGCTATGAATACGGCTAGAATTATGTGAGGACTGAAGCCAATGATATTACAATATCCCTTCACTTTAATCCCCCTTGAATCTCGGCACATGCTCTTAATGACGTTAGAAGTCATCAAAGAAACTGACAGATATCATCAACTTGGGATCTTCCAAGGGTACTGAGGATAGTCCGAAGCACGTATAAAGGCTCAGCGCGAAGCAATGTGATGACATTTTGGGTTTATAACATAGGAATTATAGTTCGGACAGGCTATTGCATTATAGCACGCCTATTAAGTATATACTGAGCTAGCTGCCTTTCTTATCGGCGCTGTAGACGGCGGTATCACCGTACTCAGAGTGGTAACTGCCAAGTTTGCGAATTGCAAGCCGATGGCGATTCATCCTCCTCTTCCTAAAGTAGATCTCCGCAGGCCTCTTACCCAGTATCAACAATATTGCCACCCCAAGATATGTTTAATTGTCATTGAAGAGACATTGAAGATCTATAAACTTTAACGGAAATATCGACGCCGGGTCCGAGTAGGCGAAAAATAAATTATGTGCGGTTTTGAATCCGTAATTATCAGAACATCCCTTGCCCGCTTGTCAGGCGCACGAAGCTGTAAGGGACGTTCTGGCCGACCAGCAGCCTGACAGTCTCGGCAGTGGTGAAAGCGGTCGTGTCTGCGACTCCATATGCGGCGAAACCGCACTGCTCCGCAATGGAGATTGGGTCGTCCTTCCTTGGACCATCTGCGAGGTCGAGAAAGACTTTGCGAATCTGAGACGAAGAACCCCTTGCGCCTCCGAAGAGCCGTACCAGCATACCTACGAGACTAGACTTCTCCGGCCCAAGAGCGGATACGAGGACGAAGGGACCGCCGTCGTCGCCCATTGTCCTTGCTTTCTGCAGGCTTTCGAGACTATTGAAGGGCTCAACTTTGAAGCTACGCGCTAGGGCAGGGGGTGTTTTGAAACCGACTGTGAACACTTTTCCCACGCGAAGCGCTTTCAGCGCATACATCGCTGACGCAGCATCATCGGCATGAGAAGCGAGGACGACCGCTGTGCGTCCAAAATATGCCGAGGGTGCAAGATCTCGTGTGAGGGTGAGGAGGATGCTACGCCAATTTGCGTTGTCAAAGAGGAGGGATGTTGTAGTGGGAAGTCCATGAGCATCATTCGGTGTCAGGGCAGATGAGGACTCGACCCGGCGTTGGGGGCTGGAAGGCGTTGATGAGGGCGCTGATCCCGGAGAAGACGTTGGGCTGGATTGGACCACAATGGTATCTACCATTCCCGTCATGTGAACTGCTTCGGTGAGAATCGGTCCTGTCCCGTTTTCGAGCTTTGAGAAAAATGTACTGTTATGCATCAGGCTTGTGAATGAAACAGGAGGGTTCAGATATGCGCCTCCGAAAGATCTTTGATTACACCAGGCCTCAATACTCAGAGATCCTTTTGTTTGCCTCTCGACTACTGCGAAGTGATGTGGTAAGCCTAGCTCGTTGAAACACTTCTCGTAGAAGGGGGCGTGAGGGACCTGTATCCGAGAGGGTGAGGTAATGATTCCGTAGATACTGCTCTTTGGTAATTGGCCTAGAGATGCTAGGGCGGCATTAATCTCAGCAGCGCTCATCTGACCAGGCGCGGCGATAATCGGGAGAAGGGGATGGGTGATAGGAGTAAAGACTTTATTGAATGTCCGTGATATCTGACCGGTCTCACCCATGTTGAGGCCGGAAAACGGGGGTGCGGTTGGGTACTCCGCTCGTATCTTTGAGCGAAAATACTCTAACTCGAAGTTCTCGTTATTGTCGTTGATAATGGCAATCATCTTGACTATGTGCGCATACTTGCATGACTCGACGAAAATAGATTGCGCATAAGCCGACGGCCACTTAAAGTAGCCGGTAAAGTCGTGAAAAGCCGACATGATGTGACTACTACCCCGGGTTTCGTAAAGCTTTCGTCGTATTTCCACTGGAAGCCATACTTCGACGTCAATGTATTCGACGCCCCATTGTATCGCGCGGTAAAGATATTCGTGGAATAACTCAGGATTGTCCATTGGGAAGCGTCCATTCTCTCGAGTACAGCGCGTAGTGTAAATGATGGGTAGTTCCGTCCTCTGGCGTAGAAGCATCACTTGCTCACCCACATAGCTCAAACTAGGTATTGGGGCGAATGTACCGTCACCAAGTGGTTCCTTAAGCAAGTCCACGCGCAGTTCCACGGCATCACATCCGACCGTTAGCACTTCGATGTTTGGCAAAGCAGCTCGAACATCGGGAAATGTCGTCGAAATAAAGAATGTACGGGGTTTTGTCATAAGTGTATCATGGTGGTTAACCTGTCCAAGAATGAATGAAATAAAACGGGCCAGGTCCTGCCGACATTGTAAGGTGTCCGTATATAAGAATTCGAAGTCGCACTGGGCTGAGAGATATGTATCCGGCGGCATCCCGAGGCCGACGTTGTGGGAATGTATGACGACCGTGGTGTTTTTATCCCGACCCTCCACACCTATCCTCGCACTTTCAGCTGAAATACCAAGTACCAACTCTTGCTCTGTTGCCACAATACCCTGAAAACTTTCAGCCAGTTGAAGTGGCTTCCCTAAAACATCCGCAAAAGTCGATACTATCTTCTCCTGCCCGGGACCGTACACGATCACAGGCGTTCGAGTGTCACCTCTCCGAAACCTATTACTCGTCTTGATAGTGTCTGTAGGAGGTGTCACGGCTCTTGAATCCATGTCCATTGCAACCTCTGGCGACAAATTCCCATTTGGACTGCGCCGATGGACCGGCATCGGGGCTTGAGCCAACATCTTGTATACGCCGATGAAACTACACAGTTGATATCTCGGGAGAGTCCTGTGACGTAGTGTTTCCTCGAGCAATTTAGAGTAATGGTCCCTCCTAACTCCAGGCTCTCACCCAAGTACCACTGAGCCCAGGGAGTCAAACTGTACTTGAATTAAAGACCAAGACATAAACTAACAAGTGCATGGCAAATGCCGCCAACCATGCCGTGCGCCACTCTAATGTAACCCTAGTGAGATCACAGTAGTTAGTTGGCAGACGGATATAAAGAAAAGCGCGGGAGTGGTAGCAGCGGTATTTAGACGGACTAACTTAGGCAGATGATATGCGAGCTCCGTTCAGCTGAGGCTCAAGTTTATTAGGACAGCGAGGCGTAGCAGAAACTGAGGGTGGACTTCATTAGTAAGGTTACAGAACTACTCTGTAGGTTGGGCAACTACATCTGAATATCTATCAATTAAGTGAGCCGGAAACGTACCTGGATAGAGTGAACGTGATACAAGGCTTTCCTATCAATCATACCAGGTCGTTCATGGCATGAATGAGCGACAATAATTCTTCCAGCCACTAGATCGCAGGATTTGATCCCTGGCCTGCTACAGCCGCCATATTATACTTGTACGTGTAATATGTGTAATGGGGTACCTGATATTATGTATGTTATTACCTCGCGCTACCAGATTTATGCTTTGCACTAAACTGCCTATCGGCCGGTTCATTGAACGGCCCAGCCGTACATGGTTCGTCCCACCAGACCACCTATGCCTACATTAGCGAAGCCTGTTTCTCTCCAATTGATACATAGAATTAGTCGTATCATCTGCTATATCGACTTGATTTGCACTCATATATGATTACAGTTGCTTCCGCCAGAGATAACAGGGTTGCTGAAAGTTAAGCGTAATGTACCCATCAATCCTCTGGAAAGCTGGAACTCGCCCCCGTCATAGCCTACAGGACAATGTGCGGTAGTTTGTGGGGAGGTGGGCCGCGAGAGGCGAGGTCGAGTCCAGCGGGGAACAATAAAGCCGTTCCATTGATGGATGTTCCTGTAAGTAAGTGCGCGTGTAGTCTCAAGACTTGGCAGTGAACATGAAGAGAAGAGGGAGCAGCCCTTAGGCGGAGAAATCTCGCAAATGTTGTAGCAACTAGGATTACCGAAACAATATTTGGGGCTACATGAAACAAAGCCTATTGCCTCGATACAACATTTGAAGCTTTACACGCAGCTGGTGCTCGAAATCGTTGGGATATCTATAGCACGTGCGTTCTTTGATCCGAGGACGTGTGGGCAGCATGCCCACTACTTATCAGTTACCAATTCAATACGCGAGAATACGTTAGTGCTTTATTTATTCGTACCGCTGTTAAGGGCAAAGATAGCGTACAATCCCCAGACAAGCGAACCCCCGGAACTTGAAGAACTTAACATTATACATTTTGTACATCAACGATTGTTTCTTGGGTCGGCCTCATTATACCAACAGCGCGCCTGCTAGAGCTACACAGCACGCACGTCTATATCATGTTCCTCACCTCGGATCCGAGCATGCCCGTGAGCTCCGAGCAGTCAGGACGAGATGGTTGAAAGACGGGTTACTGGCACCTACCAATATTAAGGTAAGGTGTATGTGCCCAACTACCTACATAGGCTAAGCAGATGGCGCTGGATAGCGTGTGGAGAAATACCCCGAAGAAGTTGGGGAAGACAGGGGGCCTCACATCAACCAACTAAGCCCCATTTCTGGAGAAATCTGGCACCAATCTTCCATCAATCACAATCGACGAGTCTGCTCAAGAGGATTGTGCCGCAGTTGTTCTCCCGCTGGATTGCTGACAACGCTTAACATTTAGCCTACGGAGAATTTATCGTCAGGTCCGTCTGCGTACCGCAGATAGAACAGACCGAGAAGCACCTGAGTACGCATCTACCCACCTCGCTTTACTCTTCATGGGATATCTCTCCAGTTTAAGCTTCTGGGCCTGATACCAAATTGGAACTTCTGCCTGTTCTAGTATCACATGGAGATGTAAACGCTCCCATTGTGCAGTACTGTACAGAGAATTCTTGTCACCAGGTTGGCTCAAAAAGCTCTACAATTGTTATGCTTTTAGCTGAACCCCCCAGGTACCTAGGTGTTCACAGCCTCTAGGTGAGCCTCAACTACCCATCACGCAGATTTCGTAGCTATTCCCTTTACGAGCAGTGTCACTATACCATTGTGCCACTGTGCCTACCCAGAGGTACAAATCACCTGCGACTCATGACGAATATGGCCACCACTGCAAGTGTTTACGTGTAATGGCACGGTCAAAAGCGCGCCACTCTGATAGTAGGTTACGCACAGTAATGATAGCGAAGCATAGTCTCTCTATCCAGTAAAGGCAGGAGATAGGGCTTCCTTTTCAAAATGCCATCGCTGATATCTAAGAGCAGTAGAGTAATTGAGTCGGATGTTGAGATAGAAGGACGTTGGAAGTGTCCGGGGAGATGCTATGATAGGATGTTCTAGCCAAGGACGTTGACTACCCAATACATAGTGGGATCAAAAACGTCGAGGGATCGATAAATCTATAAATAAATAAGCCACCTGCGCTGCGCCACTTGACCAGTTTCATCAAATATCACAATAGGTAAAACATCATAGGCCGTGCTCAAGCCTCAATCCCATTATCGCTATCATCCTATGCATTCCAATACCAGAATAGCACCGTATGGTTCGGCCAATCAGAGAGAAGCATCTTCTCTGTTTGCCAGGTATGATGGTCTATATTCGATACAATGTTGTTTTTTGTGTTGCAATGAGCACCAAAGGGGTTCATCATTGAATCTTAACTCGGCAGGGACATGTTCTGGCACTGCGTCACCTAGAAACTATGCTATATGCAGCAAGGTCAACTCGATAGTTGATATGAAACATACCGAGACATGATCTAGAGTTGAAATTTATGAGTTGCTAGACTATACGAGAGTAGAACTTACTGATTATGTTGAAACATCTTTATATATTTGGCGATGCTCAACGCTAGACTAACCCTTCCGCCAACCCCTCACTTACAAGGCAAGGTAACGCCACGGTATTCTTCCAACCTACCTACTTAAGGCTACTATATCTCCATTGAATGTGCCGGTCATCATATTTTGACAGCAACTAGGCGCATCATTCAAGTATCCCATTTCATATTGCCATTTCATATTGGCAGGAGAAAATCGGATGCAAGCGGAATCAGAGGGTAGACGACAGAGACTGTCGTACGTTACCCCACCGAGGCCTCCGGATACATACCTAAGCGGCGTCGCATGCGGTTGACGCCGGCCCATACTTTTCTACTACAGTAACGTGCCACCACGTCCTCATGAATTGGACTCCCGGGCGTTAAATTCATGGGTAAGAGAGAGATGCCGAAGAAGACAAGTGATTCGATTACTTTGCAGACACGAATTCCAAGCAGTGACACCGGGATTCCTACATAGGTAGGTGATGGCTCCAGATCCTATCTCATATACTAGTTAGCTGTGATCTATTTACTATCTATCACATCTGGACTGGTCACAGAAGCAAATGTGATACAAACAATCAATCATAGTCGTTACCTATCTCCCTCCCTACCTCTTAGAAGGTAACATATCCTCTGCATCTGCAGTCTGCTGCAGCAAGGTGAAGAGCACCTGCTCCGATGTTCTACAGAGATTGGCTGGTAATCCTCCGATAGCGATGCAGGTTGGAGACGATAAGTAGCCGCTATTAGCGGGTCTGTGCTTCTGTCTGTCCTCTGTAAGTGAGTCCCTAGTCTAGACAGACTTGTGAGACGGCCAATTGTATGTAAGATGAGCCAGGCAGCCGAATTACCTGTCTGTATCAACATTCACGGTTTGATTCTATGACTGAAATCACTTCAGTCTCTCCTCGCTGAATACCTTCATTTTTCAGCTCTCATGAGATCTATCCAGCCAGCCGGCCGAGATAGACTTTCGGTGTGCTACACTCCCCTGGCAAACGCTCACCTCGTCTTTCCCTACGTTACCTCGCATCCAAGAGATCGTCCTCTCGCATTACCCAAAGTTGCTCCCCAAACCCATACTTCGTCCCCACATTCGACCAGCAGCTGATACACGTAGCCCAATCAATCAGCTCGCCAGCCCAACCAGACCAAGCAACCCACGTCAAGAAAACGGTCGACGACCGTTCAACCTACCTACCCTCTTCGACAATTAAAAGAAAGAGCTCGCAAACGAATCCCTCGGACATGCGGGGGTTCTATATCTGAGCTCATATCAACTGCTTTCTCAATAGCTTCAACTTCCCTTTTCCTTTATTTCGCTTCCCTCATTGCTGGTCGAGAAGAGGACGCCTAGGTGCGCAAACGTCAGGCACCATGACTCGCAAAATAGTGTATTCAGTCGCCCTCGGCATCTTCGTGTGTAGTACGTCATTTCCCTCCTTCAACCAGCCCCCAAATCACCACCACCACCACCACCAACATCTCCAACTGGAGTGTTCAATCCAAGCCATTGAAACATGAGCTATGCCATCATATGATTGCAATCATGTCCCTGTCGAAGTGTTCTCGACAAGTTGGAACCCGAATGGACGGAACATTTATCATGCGCATGACCAAAGCTAACCACTAGATGCCTCTTCCACAGCCACCGCCCTAACACTCACCTCGCTCCTGACGACGCACTGGGTGACCTACAGCGTGACGGCATCCACGGGCTCGACCTTCTCGAAGCGTCTGGGCCTACACGAGAGCTGCTCCTCGGTCGCCGACCCGGCGTGCCGCCCGTTCCCCAGCGACGACGACTGCCGCGACGACAAGACGTTCTGCTCGCTGTGGCGCACCAGCGGCTTCCTGCTGTCCTTCGCCACCATCGTCGAGCTCGCCACCCTCGTCAGCTTCCTCGTCGTGCTCGCCGGCGGCAAGTTCAAGCGCGAGGGCGGCTGGATGTTGATCGGGGGCCTCCTGTGCGCCGATGCCGTGGTTGAATTTGCGAGCATGGGGATTGTGGTGAGTAATTTTTTTTCTTTAATAACCTTTCTCTCTCTCTCTTTTCTACTCTCGATGCGTCTACGATATATTCTATCTGTTCGTACTGGAATGGGGATCACAATTATTTAACGATGAAACTGCAGGCTTGGCTATTCGACCACGACTCGCAGTTCGTCGTCCCGGGTTGGACCCTCGACTACTCCTTCTACCTATGCGCGTTCAGCGCGGGCGTCTCCGTCTTGCTGGCCGCTGTCCTGGCTGCTTCGGCATACGTCTTGCCCCCCGAGGACGACTACGAGTATCTCGAAGACCCGCTGGATTCCTAGAGAATCGGTTACCTTTTTTTCGCGGTTGTGGAAGGTCATGGTTTATAGCAGTTGGCATGCATGTCTTTGGGGTTTCTGGCTCTCCGGTGTATCTCGCTTTGATTGCTTCATCGTGGTTGTGTCGCGATGGAATTGTCTACTTGGCAGGTTCCTTTGTCTCCTCCCTGAAAAGGTAAGGTACCTTGGTATATATAGGAGTTGGTCTTTGGCGTTTTGGTGCTGTATTGGCATTATATGAGTTTACCTATTTGATGGATTAAAATGATTTATCGGCAACATGAATGAAGTGGCGGGGTGTAGGGGGCATCAACGGCCCGGTAACAATATCAGCGTTATATCACTTTTACAATACTATGCACATGGTGTCAAAGTCGATATGTGAATTGCCTGAATTACTTTTCTGGGTATCTTATCCTGGTGTATCAAGTCTAACAAGAACCAACATTCCGGGGGAAGTACATGTCTAATCGTCGTCATCCTCGGAATCAGACGACTCCGAAGACGAAGACGACGAACTGCTCGACGAGGTATCCTCATTATCTCTATTCCCCCCCTCCTCGTCCGAGTCCTCGTCCGAAGATGAACCCGAGCTGCTACCGCTACTGCTATCGCTCCCGCTAGAGCTGGTGTCGTCCTCGGACTCGCTTTCGGATTCGGACTCTGAGCTCGTGTCGTCTTCGACGGCGGCCGTGCGCAGTTTCCTCTTCCGCTTCGTCCTCTGCTGCGGGCCGTCGTTGAGCTTGAGGCGTTGCTTCTCGTCATCGCCATCTCCGCTGCCCGGTGGATTTCCTTTCTCTGTAGCTGTAGACTCTCCGCTCGTGGTTGTGGTTGTTGCTGTCGTCGTCTCCGATGCGTCGGTCTCAGAGAGCTCGTCCAGAACCATCTCCGCGCGCATCCGCTTGACGACGCGACGCTGCATCTCCATGTCCGTCGTGCGCAGGACGTATTCCACCTCGTCGAAGCGCCGCTTCTCGGGCGTCCGGGGTTGGCCCAGGAACATCTTGATGACCTCATCGTATTCCTTCTGCTTCCGCTCCGCCATCTCCTTGGAGGCCACCCCAGAGAAGCCAGCGGCGCCTGCCTGCATATCTTGCGCCTTGATGCCGTTGGCGAGCTCCCGTAGCCGTGTCCGCACGCCGCCTTGCAGGCCTCGAATGTACTCGTAGAACACGTTGATGTCCACCGCGGGGATGGTGGTCTCGTCCGCGCCCGCGAACACTTGCTCCAATAGCCGCGTTTGGTGGTTCTTGTTGAATTTCCAGCTGTCCCGCGCCGTGTGCCAGGTCCGCAGGTAGGCGAGCGCCGGCTCTAGATTGACGGGGGCAGACTTCTTGATTGGCTTTGCCGGAGCCGCGGCGGCAGCGTTGACGGCAGCACCCTTTGGCTGCTTTGGCTTTGGCTGCTTGGTTTTCACTGGTACGGAAGGTTGCGGGCCGGCTGTATCCGCGGTGAAGGAGACAGCCTTTGGTTTCTTGCTGGGTGGTGTCTGGTGGGAGGAGGAGTTCTGGTCCTGCCAATTGTCCTGCCTGGCCCTTTTGGCAGAGTGGTCTAATGCAGGGGCACCGCCCGAGGCTCTCCTTTTCGCATTGGGGGTTGAGCCGCCAAGATGTGCCCGATTGTTGGGCACTGATGACGAAGACTCGGGAGTGGCAACCGTCCCGTGGGTGGTGGGAGGGTGGGTAGCGTCATGGCTTTGTCCCTCAGATGCAGGTTTGAGCTTGAGACCCAATCGCTTCCAGGCTGGAACTCGCTGCGTTGGCGCATCCCCAGTGGAGTTGAAGGAGGACGACATGGCCGGAGATTGGACAGAACCTGGTGGGATAGATACACTTGTGGGCGATCAGGCCAACCTACTCAGTTGAGGTTGTCTGCGCAGAGGATGTCTCAGAAGTATGTATTTTGACTGAAAATTCCTTGATTCTTCGATTCAAGCACAGCGACAGCCGCAGGTATGAAGAATGAGAATCTCACCTCACGTTGAGCTAAGTTAGGCTCAGATGCATGAGAGAGCTAATATAGTCCCGTTAGCGCCAATGCACGGTAATATTCTACATCCGCAAGTGTTAGAATAAGTTCCGGTCGCCAATAAGACTGCGAGACTTTGAGAATTCGCCGAAGCTCTAAGGTCGGAGAGGTATCGTGAGCTGTTGATGCTAGTTATATTTTCATCTTTTTAGACAGTGGAGCTCTGGGCAGAGATGGATACAAGTCTGGATCCTTCCTAGAAGAAAGTATCGCGAGAGTGGAATAACCTTGAGAGAGCTCATTCCTCTTGGACAATATGCATTAAAACCGGATTATGAAGATATAGGTATTGGACCTGGAGTGCCAGACGATCTGACCAATGGTGGCCCGAGCTCCAGCTCTCAGGCAGCTCGACCGCGTAAACAGCTTCCCATGTGGATTGCGTCTGGGGCAGGCAACCTGGAAGGCTCCGTCAGTGTCACTTAGCTAGTAGAGCTACCTCTGCCATCAACGTCGTTGTTTGCGAAGATCCCCCTCTACTACTACAACAATCTTTCTTACGACCCAGCCAGCCTCTGCGCGGATCTCTTCCTTCGGACTCGACTGTCTCTCATCTCCTTTTCTGCTTTCGCAGGTTAGCCCGGACATCTCACCGGCTTAAGCTTTCATCATGTCGGGAGGTACGTTATCGCTCGAGCTCTCTGAGATCGATGATGAAAATAGTATTCAGCGCTGACGGTGTTAAACGGATAGGCAGCGCTGGTTATGACCGGCACATCACCATCTTCTCTGAGCAGGGCAGGCTCTACCAAGTCGGTATGTTCAGCGATACGGACCCGACAACCCCCGCCATCAGCTACCCACGCAATAACCCGAGACTCGGTGAGACCTGCGATGAATGAGGCTCCGTGACTGACAGGAGGATCATCGTATAGAATATGCCTTCAAGGCTATCACTGCTGCCAATATTATGTCGATAGGTGTTCGAGGGAAGGACTGTGCGGTGGTCCTGTCCCAGAAAAAGGTCCCTGTAAGCGTTTTCAGCCTCTTGCCCCAGCTACGAAGGGCCTCCAATACGTGAGGCTGAAGCTGACTACATGGTCAAGGACAAACTGATCGACCCTTCCTCGGTATCCCACATTTTCCAGATCTCACCGTCTGTCGGGTGCGTCATGACCGGCTCTATCGCGGACGCCCGTGCATTCGCTCAGCGTGCCCAGGGTGAGGCGGCCGAATTCCGCTACAAATATGGCTACGAGATGCCGTGCGATGTCTTAGCCAAGAGGCTGGCGAACATTAGTCAGGTGTACACACAGAGGGTATGATTGCATGCATGGTACATTGTGAATGTGAGCCTCTATGCTGACATTATCGTGATAGGCACACATGCGCCCCTACGGTGTGGCGACAACTCTGATATCACTAGACGCCGAATTTGGTCCTCAGCTCTTCAAGACTGATCCTGCTGGATATTACGTTGGCTACAAGGGCACGGCAGCTGGACCTAAGCAACAAGAGGCTCTCAACCATCTAGAGAAGAAGCTTAAGAACAAGGAGCATGCCGAAGGTAGCTGGGAAGATGTTGTGGAACTGGCGATCACTACTCTCAGCACTGTTCTCAGCATGGATTTCAAGAAGGGAGAGATTGAAATTGGAATAGTTGGCGGTCCGCGCGCGGACGGCAAGGAAGGCCCAGATCCGTCATTCAGAACTCTGACCGAAGATGAGATAGACGACAGGCTACAGGCCATTGCGGAGAAGGACTAGTGGATGATGCCTAAAACGCCATAAGGCTGAACCCTCGTCAACGTAGCTAATTTGCCTGTATGGAGAGTTCGGCGTTGGTTTGCCACCCGTTGTTGCCCGGTTGAGATGGAGGGGTAGAGAGGTGTTATGATATATACCCCTTGTTCTCCATATGCAATAGTCCCATTGGCGCCCAATGAGGCGTCGAGCAGGCAATTCTATTTTTGACGTAACTACAACAATAGCCCGTTGCGACCTCGATAAACAACCTCAAACACGACTTGGTAGGCGTGGTCAGACTGTTCTTACCATGTGCCTACGCACGTCAGAAAGGCTAGATCATGTTGAGCTGAACATGAGTTACTCAGGCTCTCTTGGTTGTTCTTGGCCCCCGTGCAATGTGTCTACATAGTATGTAATGGTCGTTTGCAATTGAGTACGACGGCCCAAAGAGGCAGCGGACTCCTTGGTGATTATTATATTTACCACAAATAAACATTCATTTCAATGTCCCAAAATACCTACGCAGGGTTACCCTACCCTCTCCATTTTCACCTCACTAGGAGCCTGGTCAATGATGCTTGCAGAAATCTCAGCCGCCATGTCGTCCCGCGACAGTGGAACCTCGCTCCGAGAAACAAGGGTGCTGACATACATACGTACTTACATACATACCACACACACCTCGCAACGTGCGCGCGCGCGGCAACTAGCGTTTGGAATGGGCGTGGCAAGGAGCAGGGATGTCTATTGCGTAGAGGATTGGGTTACGTTTGGAATAATGATTTAATACTACGACCTCATATATGTAGGATTTTGCAGTTATCTTCCTAGAATGGCCTATGCTCTTGCTATTCTTATAGTAGTATAGATAAGCGATATTGCTGATGAAGATGACGACGATAAATGATTTCTACTCCAGGGTGAATAAGGAGAAACGTTAAGGCAGCGCCATCATAGTGTCCACTACCTACGGTACCAGTATCTACATGGTGAGGAAGTTATTGGAACTGGTCATCAGGCAGAGCGGCTGCTTGCTTAGAATAGATATTTCGGGCTATCCATCTTTCTACCGAATCAGTATGCCGATTGTCCTACCTACCTAGCTTAGCGATACTATTCAAGCAGAGCCATTACAGTGATTACTTATACCAAAGCATCTAATGGATAGTATTTGAGGTGCGGTAACGTCGGACTTGGTTCGGCGGGTAACAGGTAGGAACCTACTTACTACTAGATATTAGACGACTAAACTACATGCAGCTATTAGAGGCATATCACATTCAAAGAATTGCACTCTGCTACATATGTACGCATAGAAGATAGAAGACACATAGAAGATGAAACAAGACTTAACCTACCTTAGGTAGTGTGTGTGAAGTTCCAAACAAGCCCTCTCCATCTACATCTAGCATCTAGGTAGTCTACCATTTCCCATCTCCATGCAGATCAGCGATGACTAGCAGCTGTTGTGCTAGGGTAGGCTAGGACCCCCAGTCGCAGTAGGTAGTAGCGCCAGCAGTGCCCGCAGTGCCTGTAGCAGCCCCAGCAGAGCCTAGCGCCCACTAACAAGGCCCCAATGCTGCAATACATTACCCGTTCAGCTGTCTCTGTTTAGTGGGCTCCCGTGGCTTGGGCCTGCCTGTAGCCTGCCATTGGACGACCGTCTCCCACACAACTTCGCGATATCCGTCAGTCCCCATCTGAAGCGATGAGCCTCCAGTTGCTTTGTCCCATTCCACCTGAGAGCCGTCCTCTATCGGGATTAACGTCGTCGATAGTGGCGCGCTGAATACTGTGCGACCTGGTCTCTCTAAAGTCCGCGCACGAGGCTCTCTCTTTCTCTCTCTCTCTCTTCTCTTGACTAATTCGTATTGTCTGGATGCGTATGCGTATGCGTGCTTTGCTGCTGTTGCTGTAGGTATGCTGCTCTATGCTGGCTGGTCTTCCCCACCAACCGCTGCCAATACCCAATACCAACCCCGAGTCTGCGCGGCGCACACAGCTCCCCTCCCCCTGCCTCCCTACATGTAGCTAATTCTAGGGCGTCTACGTGTGTATGTGTGTGTATATGTGTATATGCCGTCGGGTACATGATGACATTGGTAATCCTGCCCGTCTGTGATAATATGCCGCTACCATGTGTGGATCGCTCGACCGTTCCCACGTCTTTGTCGATGGGCCTTGCAGATGAGGCGTCAAATGCCACGAGATTGGCCCTGGCTAGCGAGCTGTGTCCATGCACACCAGGGGCCCTAGCTGCCTGTGCGGAGGCATAGGCGAGGATCTACGTCCAGCTCTGTTAGGATATCCTCCAGGTTTGAGCTTGAAAGTGTTCGTAGGGATACATGTGTTGTTAGAAACTCCGATTCGATGTCCGCCTGCTATGCGTTGTGGTCTCGGGAGCTGGGGCCGGCCGTGGTCTAACGTTTCCAGTAGTCTATGGAACACAATGGCCAAAAATTACCACTCAGGAGTTCGTCAATAATCAAATCAGTCTTAGTTTGTGAATAAGCTTAAGCGGAAACTACACGGCTCGGAATGGTCTTGAGGAGGCACCTTCTAAACTACAAAAACTGCGTGATCTCTTTCGAAGTTGCGTCGGTTCAACATGGAAGCCTCTCCAGCATAGTCTCCAGAGCTGCCTGTGAATCTGCAGCAGTAGCCTTATCACCCTTTGCTTCCTTGGCCATCCCTTCTTACACGGTTCTTCTTTATACCTATCGCGTAGCTATCCTAATATTCCCCTTCGGTCTCCGGTCTTGAACGTTCACGAACGACCTCCGCCTTCACTAAATCCCTTACGATTTCCTTCTTCGAACATAACTATAACTATACACAATGGACGGACGTGAGTGCTAGAGAATTTAGGCGCCCGACGCCGGGATTTCCAAAATCCTGGGGGGGTTCTTGGCCGGGCCATGCTTATTCTAACCGCCTCCCCCTTTCTAGTGAACGATTACCGGACAGAACGGGTTGCCCAAGTCCTCTCCGACTTTCGTACTCTTCAATACTACATCGCGGCGGCGCCGACAGAACCACTTCACACCGAGGACTACTACACAGAAGGTTGGGCAGCATTACGACAATGTGCCTTGGACGGCCAGCACATCCTAAACTGCGCGGCGGATGTGACGGTACCACATGGTCGAGGAGGTGAAGAGGAGCAAGCAAAGGCGGAACTTAAGCAGTGCGTCTACAGACATTCAAACAAACTGACAAGACTCCTACGAACAGGAGAATGCTGATAGGACGGTGCTTTAGGGTTTTATTGGACGCCATTGCTCGACGACATGAAGCACAGAAGATATACCTTCGCCAGGCTGCGGCACAGAGATGGATCGAATACCGGGAGCAGGTTCTCCAGGGCCAACGGCCCAGTTCTTCTAATCGACGACAACTGAGGGCATGTGACGAGCAGCTTCGAAGTGTATGGTGAACCCCTATTCCGCCCCAACATGCCGAATTCCGATAAAGATCCACTACACACACTTTAAAAACACGAGCCTCTCCGGACATCGACTAACATTCTACACAGGAGCTTTCACAGGTTACAGATGATTCAATCTACCAAGAGCTTCAAGCTTCGGATATGGCCATGGGTCGCTGGACGGCCGAAGATCCAAGTCTACGGGCAGTGCAACGCTGGGTACGAGCACGGCCACAGACGGTATAATATTCGACACGATGAGAGCAACGACGCTGAAGACACGCGAAAAAGAATCTATTGCCTACTATTTGGACAACAAAAAAGCGAACGAACCTCCTTTCCCCCTCCCCTCGAGAGGAAATAATCATCGAGACATGATCATCATGCAGTGAAAAGTTTCTCTTTCTTGGAATTTTTAGCGATTGAGCGAGCTGGACATGACTACTGGGTTTCTTTTTTTGGGATAAGCAAGGGGCTGGCTCCCTTGACGAGATATCATGATGGGAATAAGGTCAAAATTTGGGCGGGAACTTGCGCGAGTTTGCTCCTGGTTAGCTACGGTCTAGACGACTTTGGCTTGAGCGAATGGACCATTGCGTGAGTATTGCAACAGATACCATCCAGGCAGGCCAAGGATCCCCGGGAATTGGGAGGCCGCCTTGGGCATTGTAAAAACATACACTACTGTCGTTTTATCTACCCAACACCTACAGCTTGTATATATCAATTACAGACAGAAGACAGAGAAGAAGATGTATATACAACCAAGATAGTGCCACGGTTTCAGGCGCAGTGAATCACCTAGTATGCATTAACTCTGACAAGCTAGCTCCCGTGACTTGCTCCGAGATTCGGTTCCCGTACAACGGATCTTGCTATACGGCACTAAAACTTTGCTTAGTTAACAAGCAAACAAGCTAAACCCCTTTCCTTGCTCTTTCTCCCGCGACGGGCTGCATTTCCTCTACTAGTTGCCCCTACATTAGTGCATCGACAAACATCCCAGTTAAGCTGAGAGATAGAAAGAAAAAAAAAGAAAGCGGCTAATCAACCCACTTAAGAGGGGAGTAGGGTCCAAAACCTCCACGATGTGGCTTGGTATCTATCTAGTCAGCGAATGTTCTCACGCCCATAAAGCCCATCGTCGCACAACGGTTGGCCACATAAACTACCGAGATCATCTCTAGCTCAGCCGCCATTGACGTAAGCCTATGGGATGGCGGAAGACCTTCTCCTACAGAAACACCCACAGTAGCTAGAGGTGTGTCTAGCAATAGCTAAGTACAGGAAGTAAGATAGATATCGCAGGGCGAATATCATGGACACGACTAACTGGGCGCCGAGGACCTTCCTTCAGCTTGTGTGGCCTTGCATATGATATGCGTTTTGCTCCATGATAGCTTCTTCCCAATTAGTCATTTCATAAGTTGATCGATAGTTAGTCATTCCATTATTCATCCTCATTCGATACACCTTACATGACACGGGCTGGTACTAGACATCGGTAATACAGCCGTAGACATAGACAGACAGACAATTGCTTTCACTGGATTACGTCGGTTTCCCCGGCCAATATCCCACCAAACTAAGTAAGTCGTATGTCGATGACGCTAGGGACCAGTGTTTCGGGTTCCTGGATCTCGTCTCAGATGCATTGCTCTAACTAGCTAGGTAGTCGATTGTATTGTGTTGTCTTTTTTTGGACGATATGAGTATCAACTGAAAAAAAAAAGGTCAATAACTCCGGTCCCGCGCGGCTACCCGCATGTCATGCCAGGGACTTGCACAGCCCAGCCAAGGCCGCTAGGAGGTTCGCCAAGACCGTCTATGGGGCTGCCTTTTGCGGCGTTTGAGGCGCCGGAGAAAACACCTCGAATAGTGCAACGGCTCCCTCAGTTGGCTTTTGTGGTTGCTTACATGATGCCGACTTTACAGCTGCAAAAGACAACGTTGTCGGCCCTACTTAGACTTCTATGTATATACATACTGTCACCTGAGGACTAAGTTGCGGTGAACCAGACTTTGAGAGTAACGTTTCGTCAATTAGTAATAACCCGGAGTGGTGGCAGTTGGGGATCAGGACAAAAGAACATAAAAGAATTGATGTAAGTAGGTAATTCAAAGACTGTTAATTACACACCTCTCGCGTCATATAATAATACTACCTTGTCTTAAAATGACAACTGAGGCTGATGTAGTTGTTAATAGAGTTCCGCGAGCTTATTAATACAATTGTTTCTTTTTCTTGACAGTTGACGACATAACCTTGCCTCTCTTAGTTTCACTAAACCGCATCTGCTTGCGCCTGCACACAAGCGAAGGTAAAATTGAAAATAAATAGAATGTTGCTGTAACACAATAGCTACTTGTCTGGAAAGTTTAATGAATATCAACAACATTTATTCTCAGTGGCTTCTTACCTGCCTACGATATACACGAAATATCTACAGCACATATCCCTGACATCACCAGCCCAGCGGTGGAGATACAAAGTACCTACCTACCTAGACTAAGGAATGTTTTAAGTCGTCATAACTGAACTGGGCTGCTGAGGGGCTGGAGGTCCCCACCCAGCGCCGAGCGGTTCTGTGCTGCTGTTACGGGCCTCATCATAATCCTAGTTTTATGCAATAATCGTGTATCTCTGGCTGTGTCGGCCCAACCTATAGAAAATATTTTTCACCACCAGATTTGCTCTATTACTCAAGCATCACCCTAGAAACTAAGCTGTCTTGTCATACATCCACACGCGTGCGCTGGCTCCCCGCTAAGATAATCATTCCCGCATATCATTGAGGCCTCCACCACATCAGGTTTCCGTCACTCGGTAAGTCCGATGAGCAAAACACATCTGATCTCCAAAACGCCGTCGTTTATCATCATCTTTGTCGTCTTCTTCTTTTATTCCAATTCAACATATCTCTGTACCTATCTACCATTTTGGGCGGCTCTCGGATCCACTCAGATCATGGATTTATTTACCCTACGGATGTGTGAAATGAAAAATAACTGCCTGAGGCATCTTTATCATCAACCTACCTCCCTTGTGCAGACATGTCAATTTCCATGATGCAGTAGTACAGCCTTGGTTGGCTTTGCTTGACCGCCACCTTGCCTTCACCGATCTTCCCCCCTTAACACCTTTCTGATATGCCATTGACCAGTGAGATTTTCCAGGGAGGATGGCAGCAGCGTCCGTTTGCAAGATCTGCGAGGATCCCCTCGTCGTTGAAGTCGAGGGGGATGGGGACAGTGAGGACACCAACACGCAGACTGTCCCAGATGATTTGGAACTTCCGTGCGACTGTCATTTTCATTGGCAGTGCCTCCTGGACAAGGCCTCAGATGTAGCCATATCCTTGAAATGTCCATCTTGCCAGGTCCCTCTGGCCCAGAACAACGCCGGGCCGTCCGTCACCAACCCGTTCCTGCAATCTACGTCAGGCGTCTCCATTTTGACAAGGTACGTCAACGAAGGGGGTGTTCAAGAGGACTTGGACATACTCCCAGCCATAACGGAAGAGGCGTACCTAGAGGCCAATCCCCAAGCCCGGCCGGCACGCGCCTTTCATGTAATGTGTAGCGAGGGCGATGTCGATGGAATTGTGGACCTACTCCGAGATATCGAGCAAGGAGATGGAGACGAACCTGTGCTCACTCCGGCGCAGCTCATTCGCTACCAGGACCCTCTCGCCAACATGAAGAGTGGCCTTCATCTTGCCATTGAGCAAGGACGGGAGGAGGTTGTGTGGTTGTTGCTCTGGCTTGCTTCTCCTCTGCGCACAGATGCTTTTCCTGGGCCACTCCGGGAGATTGCGCAGGCAATGGGACTCCAGCGGCCAGTCACACCGCCATCCGACGACATTCGGGCTCTCCAAGATGACCGGGGCCGTGCAGCTGAGACCATCGCGGCAGAACGGGAGGGACCTTGGGCTGCTCTATTGCAGTCCAATGTGCTGCATCCCGGCTCATCATGATCAAGCGTAACCGTGGCACGGCAGCGAACGCATTCGCCCCTCCTCTCCTCGTGCCCTCTCTCGTAATTAATAATTGACTTGTCTCTCCACCGGGAACAAGAGGCTTGAGCGCTATTATTAGCATTTCAACCTATCAAGAGACGTAGAAGACATACAATGGATATGCAAGTTCGTGAAACTAGTTCTTCTACCCATCGACTTCGATTCGAGCCAAGAGCGGTTCATGTCGTTCTGCAGGTGCCAATCACATCACTCTTGAGCAGAAGAACCCCGTCTGCAACCCTCCGTCGAGATGAATAGAGAAAGACAATCCAAAGCAAGACAAAAGTAAGCTCTGTTAGGAAACCCGGTACCTAATTGGTACCGTAGCACCGGGGATGGTGTTCGTCCAAACTTTTTTTTTTTCCCTCTTGACTATTGAGACATGACTTAGATGCAATGCAACCTCATGAATCTGGTACAGTAAAACCTGGGAACATCCAACCACTCGCGCTACCAATACACCCCCTGGGGATTCTCTCCGCATTTGACCAAGTCCTGTCCTACATCCTACATCTGTTTCTGGCGCCCCCCTGGCTCTTTTAGTCCAGCTACTGAACCTCTTTGGGGTTGTCTGCGCCTCTGTCCAACGTTACTGCGTAGGTATGCAATGGTCGGATTTCTGTGCCTGCCTATCATATTTTCTCGATTTTTTCCCCCGTCACTACTACTATTACCGTTGCTTTCTGCTTCTTGTTCCTAGCTCATGTCGAGTACACTCGTCGATGAGGATTTGAGAAACGGTGGATTGTGGGTAGTGCCGTTACCACTCACAGGACAACGCCCAGAAGATCCTGTCGGCATAGATTTCCTTTTTCAATTTAGATCCCTGTATCACGAGGAGATGGGACGAACTTCTCTCTAGTATTCCCATATGGTTTTCCCTGTATCTCCACATGTAGCAACCTCACGTTCTTCGTAGATATTTCCCCTCTCCTTTTTTTTTTTTTTTTTTTTTTTTTTTCGTCAATTGGAATTTCCCCCTGTAACGTATCGGTGAAAAGACCTGCGTCCTGTGGTAAGCAGTGATGCACGACACCTAAAACAGATCCGAGAAAATGTCCCGGGAGAGATTTCCTTGGGTCATGGCGCTGTGATATCGCCTCCCATGACCTGCAGCGTGCTAGCAAGCAAGCAAGCAGGAAACCGTGAACCGAACGAGCCACTTTCCCCTCACGTTCATGCACGAAACTTTCCCCCTTCCTCTCACAGCAGGGAGGGAGTATGGAGCGCAGCATTGGGCAATTGGCCCTGCTGAGGTATCGCGGCTTTTTGTCTGGTTCTCTCGCCGTCTGATTACCTGGTCAAGTTAGGCCTAAATCTGCGAGTCGTCGCAAAGAGGTTCTCGGCGTCGCGGTCAATGGCAGGTAGGGAGGTAGGTGAGGAAGCAATGGTCTTGCGTCGCGGAGTGCATACTGGCTCGCTCGCTTCCCTTTGCTTGATTCGTCCCATTCCATTCCATCCCATCGATTCGACCCCTCGGTGCAAGCAATCACGCTCTCGAGGAGAAGAACATACACACCTAATTCACCGCATATCCTACAGACACACGGCTAACCCCGTCGCAGAGGTGAGGTCGACGCAGGAGCCACGCAGATGTATTTACCCGGGCTTTTAAGCGGGTGTGGAGCAAGAACCGCAGGGCTGGTGGTATCCTTTGCATTGGGTTGGGGAAAGCGGACTGTATCTTTCTCTCGCGTCTGCCCAGATTGCGATTATATGAAAGAAGGAGAGAAGAGAGGGGCTCGAACGGTTTCACTATAACCTGATCCTGGCCGTAGCCGCTCCCGTGACTCGATGGCGATGTGATGGGAGTGATCCGTGGCGGGTAATGGGCGCATTGGGCTACTGCAAGAGGTCTATCTAGTCCAGGCGTACTCGATGGAGTCGGATTCGAGATGACGACGTTGTGACGGATCTCGCATGTCGACTACCGAGTTGAAACAGGTGAGTAGGGAAGGAGGACATACCGTATTATACGGTTCCATCCATAGGGCACTGGTTGAGCGAGACGCCGCGGGGATATCGCGGTAACCGCTCACCGTCGCCAAGATGGGGTTTCTCTGTGCTGCCCTGTACCTCTGTCCCACCTGTGCAGTTTCGCGATGACGCCCATGTGATTGCTGCTGCTTCCGTGGTCCTCGAACTGCTTTTCTCTGCATGTTGGCGCGCCAGCCAGATAATGTAGCATATGGGTTGAAAATCTGGGGTTTAAAGATGGGTTTATGCCGCCTCTCATGCAAGCACTTCCGCACAGACGAACACGCACTCCAGATGCTACTACTACTCCACCATACTCGCCGTCCCGTCCTGCGAGCACTTTAGCTGTAAACGGGGAATGAAAGAGGAGGCTAATTAATAAGGGTCACTGGGCACTTGAGACCCTGACCGTCTAATTGATTTCCAGACCGCGAGCCGTCGCGAGCCGTGCCGCGCCGTCCCTAAGGTATCCAGTTATTCGAGTCCCGTGATGCCTTTTCCCCGTCTGTGCTCTGCGTGCCGTCTCTGGGTTCTGTTTGTCTCGTCTCCTCTCTTGCCGTGTAAATATACTGCCTACACGACAGTAAGTCTGGGGAAATTCCCGCGTCAGGCTATACATACCTACATGTCTACGGGATGGGATTGGAGCGGCTGAATTTTCGTACAATTTTGCCCCCTATAATGGCGAGATTCTATTGTGCGGTTTCCCACTTTGGGACGGGCATAGGTAACCTAGGTGTAATATATCCCCGAAACTCGCCTCTTTGCAGATGTGCATTTTGTTACCTGCCTAGACACATCTTTATGCACGTGTAAATGTCCGAGGACGGACGAAAGATGCCTGTTGATTGGAGGCGAGGCCTAAATCTTGTCTGGCTCTCACCTGTTCTTACGCATAGAACCAACCGGCTTAATGGTATGGCACGCGAGTTTTGTGATACAGTTGCATTAGTCACAGGTGTGCAGACCTGACTACGTATCTATCTGCCTACCTGCTTCAGTAGCAACGTAACAGAGACACCGCGATGTGTATTTCGTGTAGAATATCGGCTGGTGATGGTATGCATGCGTGGCATTCACTTGTTGCGCGGTGCAGGAAACATGCTGCAGGTATGATTGATAATCTTGACTGTCTAGTCACGGAGAAGCAAGAGACGGCCGCCGCCATGCTTACTTACCGTTTCTTGCTTACTGGAGCCCTTCATCGCATCTTTACAATTACATCGGCAGTGAAGGAGTCGAAAAAAGGTGAGGCGTTCGGTGTGTCCATGCGGCTTCTAGGTTAGGATCCGAACAGCCGAATCTAGAACACTGTGCCCCTCTGGACCCCAAAAATAACAGTTACGACGAAGGGAGGAAAGTGATTCACAACTGTTTTGTTATATGCTGATGATTCTTCCCTTGCAAAGAAGTCAAAATCTCCTGATGCTATTTTGAATATCTGCTGCGTTATCACTCGTCGAGAGGTAAGTGGGCAGATGCGGCGACCAAGGTGAATACGCCTGCTTCATTAGCCGGGCCCCGGTCTGAAACGCGGCTTGAGACGGCGATGAGATAGATAACTCGGGACGATATACGGGGGGAACAGTGTATATATCGGACAAATAAGGCGAATCAAAATCGAAGATGGTTTCAAAACGAAACAGAAATGCAAGAAAAGAAGGGAGATGATTCGCTCTCGAGACCGGGTTGTTCTCCGACTACATGATCCTCCCTCTCTCCCTTCCATCCTTCACCTTTTTTTTTCTTTCTCAAATCGTATTCCTCCATTTCCCATTTCAAGGCATCCCGAAAGAGTAGCCATGGGAGGGGAAGGGAGAGAGGGGCAGCAGGGGGCGGCAGAGGGCAGTAGGTTAGGTAGTGTATGCATGTCATTCACGTGGTGGTGGTGTCGTTGGTGGTGGGATAAGCACTTTACCGTTTAGTGTCAGATCAGGATCAGATCCCTAGATTAGATATATCCGCCCACTCATGCATGGTACATACGTACTCACTAATATTGTGCGTACGTGTCTAGCACATGAAGGATCATCCTATCTTCTCGACGAGTACATGAAGCTCACGATCCTGGAGGAAAACGGGAACGGTGGGGGAGCTAAGGAGGCAGGGAGGAAGGTAAGGCAAGCTTGCTGCCTGTCTGTTTGCTTATGACGAGGTCAGCATCAGCGCGGGGCAAGGGAGGAACGTGCCGCAGTAGTGTTGAGGCCGTGAAGCTTGTTCAATAGGATTCTTGGTGCGGAGGATTTCTGACAAAGATCTTCGGGATGCAAGCATTTCCATGGATAAAGGAGTCTACCTCGGCAATTATCTAGATCTGGAAGGATCCTAGACAAACAGAACCTAGCAAAAACGGGTTGCGTGTACGTATCTATTTCTCTAAGTATCTGTCATTGGGATCTGTCTCGCTGCCGTCTCGAGTAGCTTATTCTTCTTCCGCTCATGCGTGCGCGCCAACAAAGCATTTCCTGACTCGGCAGATGAATTGCCTTGCGTAGATGGGATTCGGGATGAAGGCGTTTCGGGGTCCCTACGATGAGACGAAAATTGCATCCCTACTACCTAGGTTACTGAGTATCAGGTAAAACTCAACCAAGCAGAGGGTACGATGAGCTGAACTGTGGGGGACGAGAAGGCTATAATTAAAGTGCCATTGCTGAGCGCCGTCGCGATATCTCAATACGAGAGCTCGTGAAAGCTTAATTTCTTTTCCCCAAAGATGACGAGAATGAGACTTTATCGATTATGAGTATTGCAGATACCATTCTATGTGCTTTTTCGCTGTAGAATGAGACGTGGGTGGCGGCAAGTTTTGGGGGATCTGCTTGCTAAGCACTTTTTCAAGCTAGGCTAGGTAGAGATTCGATCGACGGTACGGGGTTGTTTGCAATCCTTCGGAAATAATGCACGTGCTCCCTCTTGGGTGCGCATGGCTATGAGACCTACAAGAGGCAGTGTACCAATATAGTAACAAGGGCTGAAAGCTTCCAATGTAACGCGGCGCGCGTAGTTCGCTGACCGTCGACTTCATACGCTACAGCTACCTACACTGTGCAGTAAATGTAAGGTATGAATTAGTTTCAAGCCGCGGATTCTGGGCTCGTGGGTTTTCGTTTTCGTCAAATACGAGAAGCTCATGATTAGAGTCACATTCGCGGAGGGGCAAGCAGAAGCGTAGGTCAGTGAAATGTTCCGAGTAGATAGCAGATTCTTCTTCATTTGGTATTGAGACTGTTCATCTCTAGGGCGCTGATACATCAGCCTCCAATTGTCTACAGCAGTTTGACTAATTCTCTGACCCCCTCCCCGTTTCCAGTGTGCGATGTCACACGCCCCCAACTTTCTCAACGTTACTCCTCCAAACGAGAGGCTATTGGCCGGGCCCTCCTACGTACAAAGTGTGTATGAGAATTGAAAAGATAGTGGTCCGTAAATACAAGGGGGTACTGGTTCGCATTGATTATAGTTCAGTTCGGCCGTTATCAAATAAAATAAAATAAAATTGACATGATACGGTACCTAGCGCACTGGGTATCTTGGCTGCCGTTCAGTCGTGGAAATAAACCACACGGTAAAGACATAGTTATATAGAGGAATCCGTAAACGCCGAAAAATGAGATGATACAAGCAGGACAACGAAGAGAAGGGAGGGAGAAAGTCGAAAGGAAGTAGATGGAATAAAAACTTAGAGTGAAAGGAGTGCACTGAGAATATCTCAGGGAGGTATTGTAACGAGAGACGGGAATGAGAGATTAACAATAATGATGCTATATGAATGAATGCTTTCCATGCAAATGTGAGAACGAACGTATGCTGGTCCGCCGTGAGTCATCAGACACGAGTGATCGTAAGAATTTAATTGATAAGGCCGTGTATCATAAATTTGGGTTGCGACACTAGGGGCAGCCCCGTTTTTGGGAGGATTTATGCGTTGACGGTGGTTTGGTGAGGTTGAAAGACTGCGGACGTGAGGAATACGTTGCTGCCTTGCGTGGGCGAGCTCTTCGTTGGCGGCGAAGGAGCAGGAGGCGATAGTGGTGGGGGCCGAGGTGAAGCTGTCGACACACCAGGTGAGCCGTTGCGACCCAAGACATCGTGGCTTTGGGCGTGGTGCAAGACTCTCTTATAGCGGTGAGTCTGTCGCTGTGGCAGGCGCTCAGGGCTGTTGATGCCATCGTTGAGCTTGGTGAATTCATTCTCTACGTCTTCGAGAAGAGCGTAGACGTCGCTGTCAGCGTAGATACGGATGCTCTCCATCCGCTCAAGAGCCGTCTGCGTACTGCTGCTCAGACGGCTTCGGTGAGACTTACCATCCTCGTCCTCTTCGATAATAGCCGATGGCACCCGCGCAACAACCCGCTGAGGGGAAGACGAAGGTGACGGTGAGGAGCAGTCGAAGAACGTAGCACCCCTAGTGGGGCTACGAGGTGGTGTAGCAACATCGCTGGCACTGGGTTGTGGCCGCATCCCAATGGCGTGTTGGAGTGTTTCATTGCTGACGCCGCCAAGACCGGCACTGGCTGACATTGCGGCGGCGGCAGCGACATGTTCAAGCAGCTTTTGTCGGACTCGCGTGCGACGGTTCTCAGCATGCTCCAGCTTGGTGACCCAGTCATCAATGGAGGCGTCGAGTTCTGCAAGCGTCTCCTCTTGCTTCAGCATGGACTCATAACTAAATTTGGCCATGCGGGGTGATCGAAGGTATTGGCAAACCCGCGATTGGAGATTACGACGGCCAGCACGAAGAGATGTGTATGTGTGGCGAAGATACTCCGTTCTCTCATCAAGTTGGCGAAGCTCCTGTGTGATGTTAATATACAAGCTACGTTTCACAGTGACAAGTAAGTGGTTTACCTTGGAGAGATTGTCCACGTCCTCCCTTCTCAATACCTCAAATCTGGCTGCTTGGCCAAGAGCTTGTTTCTGTAGATGAGCCGTTTCTGCCTGGTCGAGCTTCGCCAGAGCATCCTGGGGTCTGAAACCTTGGGGCAGGGTCTCGAAAGCCCTCCGTTCGATACTTAGGCTCCTTTTCGACTCAGCTCGTTTATGCTTAGAGCCAATAAGAGAACCATCAGCTCGCTTTCTCGGGCGTCCACGTTCCATTATGCTTCCTGAATCGGACTGTCCTCTCCTGTGAGCCATTGCAGAGGAACATCGTACTTGTACATCAAGGTCAGGCCTAGGGACAGAGGGGATATCCGTAGCACCATGAGATGCTGTAGTTGAGACTGCCGAGTGCGGCTTTTCCCAAGGAGCTGGTGAGTGGCGTGACTCTGGAGGAGCTGAGATTGGAGTCGGAATCGTCGAGTTCGTATAAGTCGTAGTAGACTTCGGTGTCGGTGTAGATCCTGTAGAGGAAAGGGGTGTGAAGGGTGTATAAGGAGCCCGTGTCCTTGGCGATTCGTCTGGGCGAGGTGGCCGTGTGGTTGGTTCCTGTTGATTACCTCCTGATCTGAGCCGGCTCAGTGATAGCTTTCGAGCAAGTGACGGAAATGTTCCACTATGGGTTGGAATTGTGAGTGGTGCTAGGTCCTTAGGGGAAAGAGGTTGTTTGGCAGGCACCTTGGCAGATGTTGGTGTCATTGCCGTGCCATTACTAGACCTTGTTTCTGGGGATTCATGTGACTCTCTTGGTTCCGAACGCATGTTAATTCGCAAGGCATTGACTGGGGTACTGATGGAGCGCTCATGTAGAGCAGGTCGCCCTGGTATTGTAGCTAGGTATCGTCAACATAGGGCATAATTCTTCGAATGCTTTGAGCTTGACTTACGGGAGTCCATCGAAACCTCCTGTACCGTCGTCATAGGTCCAAGTTCTGGTACGCTAACCTTCCTCCTTCGAGTCAAGTTGTGTTCCTTAATTCTCAAAAGAAGTCCATTTGAGAGTCCTGGCTTATCGGACTTATCCGAGCATTGGTTCACGACAGTGGCATGTGCTTGATCCAGATCAAGTGGCTTTGCTATCGTAACCGGCGGCAGCTGCTTTTCCTTTGGAAATAGCTGATACTTGCGTGCTTCTGTGTTGTGCATCCTCCAGGCCAGCGACCTCTTCTCGTCCGCAGAGTGGATAGATACTAGCTGCATTGAACAATTCATAAGTTATGTTGGTTCACGATAGACTCATAGGGCATGGTGATATTGACGGTAAAGTTGATGTCTTGGATGATGGTTGATAGTGACTGTAATGTATATGTGAGCTTACCGAGTCCGTGGAGGCTTTGGTGGAAAAGGTGTTTGCTATATAGCTTCGGAGGCTATTGGTCTCGCCATCGCTATCTATCATGCAAGCTGCTATATGGGCCATCTCCACACGGCCCAATATACAGGCAGATCGTAGACCTGACAAAGAAGTGAAACGGTTCTACAATGAGGAAACCAGGAACTAGCTTTTCGCAATGGGAAATGATAGGTTGGCAAATAAGACGTCGAGTTTATAATATATATGCATACAAGTCAAGGAAGAGGTGCGTGTCGAACATAACCGGAGATGAGCTTGCACAGGGTTTCTTGACTTTGAGACGAGACGGCAAGGGAATGCAAACACTTTGGGGGATGCTATAAAGATGCACATATAGCAGTAGGAAACAGAGAACAATGACGGGTGGAGGTTGCAGAAAGATGCCTGCTCTTAATGCAGGTAATATACCTCGTGTGCATATGTAGTGAAGAGCACGCAGTTGATATAATGGGTAGGTATCCTGGTATAGTACCGTATGTCCTTAATAAGGTGCAGAGATACCTGTGCTCTTCCTTTCTGGCTGAAACGAGACGAATGGGTGTGTATCTGCTCGAGGAATCCGTATCGATCTGGCACCGTAACCCTCGACAGACCCTCGATACGTTCTCTCGGCCAACCATTGCTCCCTCGCCGTCTATTCTAGTGTAAGGCCCTCCTCGTGGCGCTCGAACTGTGGTTGTGGTGCCTCTGCGACTTCGCTGTGGAACGTCTTAGTGCAGTCCCTCCGCATGGCGTTCTGCTGCGACTAGGCTACTGTACTTTGGACGCCGGAATCCTATGCTCCAGGAATACGGTGCAGCTAAGTAAATACAGTAGTGTAGGTAGATGGATGGTATCGGGGTTGCTTACCACAACCGTTTAGATCCAACAGGGTCTGAACAGGGCAACTCGAAGGGGTTCCAGATCCCAGATTCGTGCAGGGACAGGGTTTGCTGAAACTAGTCACCGTTGTAACTACACTATGTGGACTAGCCAGGGGTACAGTTGCTTTGACCCCCCAACTGCCAAGGACTCTCCGACGAGGGCTGGCCAGGGTCTTTGCAACCGAGCACAGTACACTACCTACCTACCTCGAGCAGTACAGTAGGCGGTGGACGGGAGCTCCCTCATGTCGCAGTGTGCACTGTCAGCGTGACAGAAAGTTTTGTCACGAAGCGGACAGAAGCGGGACAGGGCCGATGAAAAACCTCCCAGCGTTCCTCCATCTCCTAGCTAACCCAGGGTTCACTGGGCCGCAGCATCCTTGAGTGTGATTACAACTATATTTATTCTTATGAATTATCGCTAACTCGAACGAAAGGGTATATCTATACACATAATCGAATACTTGTGTAGATTTAGCCAGGTGGTCATAGCTAGGCATATATGATCAACCTTGGTGTGTTTTCTAGACATGTACTATAGAGGTTCAGGGGCGGGTTGAAGCAGCTCAGTAAAGGCGATAACAGCGATTTCATGTCATCGTGTAGTGTAGCGTCCAGTCCCACCTTCGCAGTGGAAACAGAGGATACAAGGGGTTCTTAACTTGGGTCCCTCATACTATGTACGTAGACTAGGACTGTTTCCAGTGAAGATCCCTCATGGCCATGACCATGAGCCTTGCAACAAAAGAATCGGTATAGTCTCAAGCCGTCGCCCAGCCGCACTTTCAGAATGAGACGAACTCGAGGTATTAGCAAGCAGCGCAGTCATATATAATGAATGGAACGCTTAGGCTTCGAAATTATTGTGAGTCTCCCACCCATACCGTAGAGTTATCCTTTACAGTATTCTACCATGCAAGTATGTGACGGGGATATGGAATGATGACTGCACACCCCTTAGAGGCCATCGTATGCCCAATACAGAAGGGCCTATGCAGAATGTTCGAGATAGCCCCGCAGTGATTACTTGATAGGTATAGCTATTTCACTGTCACGATCCTATCATTAGGGTATCAGCGTGCAGTCGACCTGAAATGTCGAGGGTGTGTGTGGAGCTCTGAAAGAGAATGACAGCTCTCTACGGTAGTGATAATGATAATATAACATCGATATGACCGCATATGCAAGCCACAACTATTTGACAGAGTTATCATGCGATTGATCACACTGGAAACAATGTGAGTAGGGAAACAATTAGTAATGATTCGTGAATTAAGATAAATGATACTGCTTAATGATATACTTGACTGGGCATACCTAGGCGGGTGGAGGATAATGTAGAGTACTATGAAACTTGGAGTCAGACTAAAGTGTTTGAGAAATACTACATACCTAGGTACACAGGTACTCGCGTTTCCGAATCTTATCAGTCATTTGTTTCCGCGCTCAGTAATGATCATAAACAATCTGCAGCTCATCCCATCTCATCATGATTTGCCCAACTGCCGCTGCGGGTGCAGGAATGTGTGCTCATCCTCCAAACAGCGGCATCCGTGTGCCGTCCACGCCAATGCGGCCTGCATGAAACTTTCCAAGCTACTATAATTGTTGATGATCGTCTATGCTAGGAATACTCTGCAGCAGCCACAGTATCATATGTTCGAAAAGACAAGCACTTCGGACCTCGAAGCTGTGATCGACGAGAAGTATAGATTACTCTTGCCAACACTACGCAATTTCCAAAGAGTCAAAGTTGAGAGATTAGGATTGTTCCTGTGCTCCCTTACAGCTCGAGTCAGATAATGCAAGTAGTTGCTTTAGACTAACCCGTTCTCGTAGGAAGATTGGCCGTACATACAGCGGAGAATTTCCCTCGTGGGTTGAGGTTTCAGAGAATTGCACCCGTAGCACAAGCAATCGAAGCCGATTGGCCCATAGTACTCCCGCATGAATAATTGCGACGTTAATACTAAGGGCATAAAGGCAGTGGCGAGAGAAATGTTAGAAGAGGGGACAGTGATGATCAGATCATGATCTCTACCCTGAGCCAAGAGGAGAATAAAGATGAACCTTAACAGATAAAATCTTGCAGATCTCGAGGTGAAGCGCTGATTTTGCAAGCGCTCACCATGTAAGTCAGCATCTACCAGTAGTAGACGGTTCCTACGCCGGACAGGCCGGAGACGTGTAGGGTCTTCTCCCGGTGGTAAGGTATCTGCCATGTAAAAAGCCAGCGCGGTTAGCAAAAGCACGACTGGACCTTTTCTTGCGTATCGTAGTGGTTAACATCGGCCACTGAACGCATCTAGGCAGTCCTGGCTCGTTCACTGCCATGTGAGTGGAAGTTCCAAATCCCGCTACTTTTCCCAAGTGTGTGTACCTTGAGAAATCAAATCAAGTCAAACGTCATAGACCAACTCCACTGTATGGTGATCAATGCAAATTTACATTTTCCGTGCCTACACGCCATACTACACACCGGAACAGATCTAAGTAAGTCCTGCTCGAATAGATGCTATCTAGACGCTAGAATCGGGATAACTACAGATATAGCTAATTGAATTAGCATACTAGTACACTACTGTGATACTTATGTACTATCTAGTACAAGTGATACATTATGGATGACATCCAGACTACTATGTTGAAAGAAAGATCCGCCTAGCCTACTTCGAACACCACACTTTGCTATGTTATACTAACTATGTTCAAGTACGCTATTTCTACTCCGCCACTGCTGCATCAGACTGCAGACAATGTGGTTGACAGCACGGTATTTTGTTAGTACTTACATACTCCCCTACCCCCCTGTAAGACTCTTCTTGGCAAGTATTCGCGCTAGGCGTGGCCTTGGGGGCCCGCTTTGGGAGTTTTTCCGGGCAGGTATTTGAACGTGAATGAAGGTATCGTGGGTCTCGCGCTAAGCTAGCCTGCCAAGAGGAACCTGACATGGATAAGTTTTACTAGCCTACAACTATGTAGTACCCTATGGTGTCTTGGTGGGACCTACCTTGATCATTATCACCTTGCCGTTATGCCGTCATTCCTTCCAAAGTGAGGCAAGTGCTGACGCTCACCGAAATCGACGCCTTGGCATTGCTTCAAAATCGCATCTTCCCCTCAACAATTTTCTCGTTGTGGTGTAGCGTTACCAGAGTGCCGGTTTCTTCCTGTCTTAGTCTTCTCCAAAGTTTGAGCGCAAACGACAACTCATGTCTATGCAGGCAGGTGGCGTCAACAAACAAGATATAAGTATGAGAGAGTTCCTGGTATATCAGAGGGTCATAGCTTCTTATTATCATGGCATCAGCGGAATGTTCCAGTTCCACACTAGAAGCTTACATGTATGTTATAGACGAGGGTCTACCCAGGCAGGTCAAATACCCCTGGGCAGACACTGGGGTAGCCTGGACTAACCAGGAACAAGTTTTTGGAGGAGCCTATCGGGGTTCAACCGGAACCTATCCTATTACGGAACTTTCCACTCTAGGAACCACTTACGAAGTAGTATTGAGTCTTTCTCCTCTCTCACCCATTACTGTAAGTAAGAGGACGCAATATACAGCTAATTTGCCCATGCCAGTGCATGAGGGGATGAGAGCTGAACACTTATCAAGACAGTTAAGACTGCTATGACGACCTCTCTTCGCGTGTCTGCTGGCTCTTCTATGACAGTGCTGTGCTGAAATCCGTGCGACAGCACCAGTATCTCCATACCACGTATATGGTGTTTTGACCTAGATGCAAACAAGTACTAGGTCGGTCCTGGAAAGATGGATCTAGACATGAAACTAGCTGCTAGACTCTGTTTCAGCCCCGGCCGAATCGCACCGACCGGAAGGGTGGGTGAGCATCAACACGGCCTGGCTGCGGGGCTCCATGCGGTGTCCAAATTTATCTCCCAGCGGCCTACAACTCGCTGGGCTCTACTGGGCTGAACGACTTCGAGGAGGATCAGTCTGGGTAGCACAAAACTCGGTGGCGGCATGCAAATGGCTCTGAAGAAGGAAGCTTACGGCGATAAGAATCGGGGGGATCGAATGAGAGGTTTTATCAATGCCGTTTTAACCACGCCTTTTGAACGTGGCGCAACGATGCTGTCCTGTATCGCCGACCAGATGGCCAATAGTGAGAGGGTTTTCACTGGTAAATGCATGCTATATTGTCTATCTTAAACGCCTTTCATGTTTTATAATGACCAGTAAGCGTTTTTTCACTCGACCTTTTGTCACTGCTTCCATTTTCTTCTCGAGATCTGAGAACGGCACATAAGACATGGCACCCCTCAGACCGATGTCCTGTACTACACTACTATGAGCAGCAATAACAGTCTCCAAAACATGGAAAACATAGCTGCAAAATGTTTCATGCAGCTAGGTATGAACGCCACTGAACACTTACTTATCATTATACGCTGAATGTTTCGACCACTTGGGGTTCTGAGACTTTCTCCTCTTCACTACTGTATGTAACACCTCTGCTATAAGACGATCCTGTTCTGTTACCACCTTCCCTGAGTGCCCACACTCCGCTACTATGACAGAAAGCTTTTGGCGTCTAGAGATTACCTTATACTAAGTAAGTAAGTACACTTCACTATTCTTATCGGAATCGTAAGATCGGAATCCTGTAAGTAATATACTATCGGCTACCTAGTTATCCACAGATATACTAAGTCAAGCTGTCTATAACCCATCGAGTAGGAAAGCCGTGTTGCGTAATGCTAAGGTAAAACCCTAAAGGAGAACCAGGAGACGGAGTAGAGTGACAAGCGCACAGATAACCTACCCTAGACTAGTGCCTGTTACCTAATGCAAGTCACTAACTGTGTGTCTCCGCTTAACAACATCGTGATAGGAGTTAAAGGAGCCTTGTTACTGTGCTATGTAAGTAGGATACTGGAGTTACTATTATACACTAGACACCTACATACATTAGTATGCCCAGGGGGAGCTGGTTCTGAAATCTGCCAAGGCCGCTGTTACCTACTGTAAGTACTATGTATGCCTGTCCTGGATGTGCGCAACTCCGGTATTGGTCCGCTTAGCAAGACCCATGAGAACGGATCCCCAGTCCGTTGCAGACCGCAACACCGCTTAGCATGGAAGATCTCAAGTGTGCCTCTGTAAGTACGGACTCTGGTCAGAAACCAGGTCTGCTTTCCAACCCCCTAGCAAGCCGGGCTTTGCGTATTCTACGCTAGGTAGATTACACTACACTAGGCTAAGAGCTCGCTATTTCGTCGAGATCGCGGAGATAAGTACTGTATGGACTCGGACATGCTACACTATCCCGGTGTTCTGGTCTCTCATATACACTTACTATAGCTACAGTTCACGAGCCGCTTTTCCGTTCAAACCCCGATTCTTCTACCTAGCTGCCAAACTAGAGTTATACTATGCTACGCAGTATATACCTGACATGAGCTCGGCTAGGTGAAATCTATAGTAGGGATCGCACACTAAGTAAAGTAGGAGTGGTGATGTTCTCCTTTTCCCAGCATGGGACCCGCTATTCCCTGCTGACAACATCTGCTCCAAGGTGATATCACAATGCATGTCCCATGTCTGTCTGCTGCACCTTTGTGCTTCGGTGGAGGATATTGTGATTGAAGCATTCTGAGATGCGTCATGTTCCCCGAGTCGTTGGTGACAGAAAGACCCGAGCAGCTGGACAGGTTTTTTTTGACTGTTGGTGATAGACGTACTTATATCCAAGCAAACTCGTCGGTCCCGGGACGTTGAACAAGGCAGTTGTCGCCGGCACATCATTCCGTTCTCGGACGGACTCTGCATCCGTTGCCATGGCTGTTGGTTGAGGTTGAGATGAACGCACGCCCCTGGTCCGCGCCGCAACCCATCAGCACCCCGCGTCTGTATACGCCAGATCGCCGCAGGAGAATTTTGACAGTTAATTCGCCCCAGGAACAGAGCAAGTCGAACCGGGTGGAAATACCCAGGTCCGCAGTTGTTGCTGCGGTGGTCCATCACAACTACCTACGACAGATCAGCGGGCCTTGCACACAGACGCGGGACCCGCGGCAGCCTCGCCTAGATTTACCTGCTTTCTTACACATGTGACTTGTGTTCATGATTCACCTTGAGAGCCAAACGCTGAGACGAGTGGCGGTCAATCGATCCCAATGACGGGGGTCGAAGGAGCGGGCCATCTCATTTCCTGACGGGAAATGCCTCGCGTGGACATGGGGATTGGCATTGCGCCTCTTTAGGGCGGGCCAGGCTCTCGGATGAGTAATTGGGGCTGAGTCTTATGTAGATAATGGAGAAGGTCTTCCTTGGTATCTCATACATGTTCACTTGACGGTGGCACCAAAAATGTATAGTTATCCATATTACTGCAATCCCCCTTCGGAAATCCTGTCTGGCATAGATGTCTACATGCATATGGAGACTTGGCTTTGCGATCTAGACTCTATCCGTTAAATGCTATAACCTCTGCATCCTCATCGCTGATTATCCTTATCGCGTACCCCTTTAATACCATATGCGTCTCATGTAGAACTAGGATGAGTGCATGAAGTGTCCGTCCCCTTTCTATTGAGTATCTCAGCTCTCAATGAGCGGTGCATTTCATCAATGCCCTATCATCTCATCTCCGATTAGGTTAATGCGCCGGCATATCATAGGATCGCGCTCGGTCAAGAAGTAGCCGAGAGATGCGATTGATTTCAGGCCGCGCTCGGTGAAGAGGCAGCCGAGGGACTCCATTGACTTCACACAGGCGATTTCATATTCGCCAGGACAACTCTATATCCGTCCGGGTCCTCAAACGTCGCACCGCAGCGGTCCCAGTACGGATTGAAGCTCTCGATGGGCTCAAAACCCGCGCTTCTCATGCGAGCCACGGCGCTCCGGTGCAGCGCTTCGTCTGGCATGTAGAAGATGAGCAGGTTGTCCGGTGTCGGCGCGCGGCCGGCAGGATGAGATGCGTGCTGCGTGAACTCAAGGTGGTAGCCTGAAGCGGATGACGCTAGGATCACACCGTCGAAGCCCTCGTGGCCGGTGAATGAGAGTTTCACCTCAAAGCCCAGCCCGTCGACGTAGAAGGGAAGAAGAGACTGAATCGAGTCGGTTGGTCTCGCAACGCGGAGGTGGGGCGACGCTTCGGAGATGGGATCGCCTGATCTGTTGCTAGTCATTGTTTCTTTGTTTCCTTGTTTGCTCTCCGGCCTCACATTGATTGAGAATTGATACGGTGTGGTGAATGTGCGTTTCAGATGGACCTGGTTGGCTTGAGGAACTATGAGGAGTCTACCGATGCCGGCTTAGGTCGGGTAGCCGGCAGCTGACTAAATTTGTTTCACGAACTTGAGCTCACGCACGTGGCTAAGTTAAAACGAGCATCTGTTCCGCCGCTAACCATCGGATCTGATGATATCAATTTTGAAACAAAGGGCTGCGGAGAAACTTTTGCCAAATGCTCAGCCATCAGGGTTCTAATTTTCATGTCTGCAATCGTTATCGTTATGTTCTCAGTTGAGAGTGGTGAGGTCACGGCAATGACCTTGAGTTTGGAAGTGACTTCACTTTGGAGATGACCGAGTGCATTGAGCAGCCATGCTCATCGCTTGAGCTCACTCCTACATGTGTGTTCATGCTGATGGGAGTTGAAAACTGCCATTGCATTCATGTGTTGCTTGAAGGTATTACGTGATAAGTCTGAGTAACTTTAGCCCTGTATATGATGGTTGTTTCTTGTAGCACCTTACGGCTCTTACACACCGTCGCACTACTATAGGCTATGTTACCAGTAGTATGAAACTTCACTCTGTGGGCGACATCCGTAATTAATGAGTCTTATAGTGTTCTCATGATCGGATTATATGCATAGGGAACGTTGTCAACCAACCGGCAATCGTCCTAGAACCGCCGTCTAATAAAGATGACTAGACTAGCAGGGTATTTCGAGCTAGTCCTTGCGGTTTAAGTAGGTCGAATTGCAAGTTAAAGCATACAGGTTCTTAAGTCCTTCCTTGTCAAAACATGAACGAGTACATACTAACTCGTGCTTGCAGCATCTCGCGTAGATAGCCGGACTCTGCACGAACTGCCCCTAGCATACATCCAAGGTTATGACTTGGGGGTTGGGGTCAACGTATGGGGTTCAAAGGTAAGATACATAGTAGGTGACGGTTCTCAAGGGACCAACACTACCAGTATATCGGTATAGCGTTGAGATGTGTCATGCGCAGTTGGTGTCCGGCCGTCCGAGGAAGAGTATCCGCATAGATGGTAACACTTTAGCAGTTATCGCACACGGAGGCTAACCTAACAGGTAACCAAGCGCATAAGCCGAGCATGGCCCGCTTCCCGTGTTTAACAGAGACTTTTCTGTTGTTCGGTCTGACAAACGGGGCTCGACGGGCTCTTCTTCGATGATCCCTCCACCCTCCACACAGTAGGGACAAACTGGTCTGGGTAGGGATTTGTCCCATCACCATGATGCCGGTACCCGAGATACTGCGCGATGTCCTGCTGTACATTGCAGACTGCAGCCTGAGAACGCGTCGGAGGATTAGCAGACTCAGTATGCATCGCGTGCAGTCAGTACTGCATACTGTGATGTAGATGTACCGGTATGTGAGTTTTGTTTAGTAAGAAAGGGGCTCGACAAACATGGGGGCGAAACGCGGGTAACAGGGCTCGCAGGGCCACATGGCAAGAAGCCCTGTAACTCCATCTTATTCGCCTTTGCCTTTCTTGCATGCGGCTAGCGTATTGTATGGATGTAGTGTAGGCTTAAGTATTGACTAGTTTCTAGGCTTGGATCTTCAACACTGTTGCTGGAAGTGTAAGTAAGTAGACGGCTGTGAGCAGACTCCAATGCGGCGGCATGAAGATGTAAAAGAAGCTTAGAGCCATGTGCTCCTAGCAGGGTCTATCGAACCAGGCCAAGCCATCTTGTACTCACTAATGTGCCTTGGGTTGCTTTACATGTATTAGTAAAACCAGATGCCGGATCGTGACCTACCCGATGCTGCAATCTACCTACATTAGGTAGTGTTGAAGGAATACAGAGTAGATGGATTTGCATTGGAGGCGTGGAACTGGGTAAGAAATGGGTATGTAACGGACACAGAAATGTTTCATTGTAACTTGTCAGGCGTTTTCTGATACACTTTCCCCCCACGTGGCTTCCAACATATGTGGCTTACTATCATAAGAGCATACCCAGCTGGCAAGAGCCGGCACAAGCTGGCGGACAGCTTGGAACTGAGAAAATCCTCGAGCGAGAGACTCTCCAATGATAATCCGACGAGTGACGGCTTGCGACGGCAATACAAACAGCGCTATATACAAGATTACTTACTAGCTTGATCTGGCAGGCAAAGCGCAACGTGAAGCGAACGACAGATATCAATTGATTGCACAGGTCTGTCGGGCGTCGTTTCTATGCGGGGCAGTGGAAGCATCACCAAGAGCAGCTCGCTGTTCTTCAGAAGCCTTGACATTACCCTTCGCAGCTCCTCCTTCGCATCATTGAAGTCAGTTCTAAATCCTGGGTATCGTCGTTATAGCCAGCTCAAAATGACGCCACGAGACCCCAACACCCTGGCCAACTATGGCGAGTGGCTCACAAAGCACACCACCGTCAACTTCAAGGTGGACTTCGAGAAGCAGCGTTTCGAGGGATCTGTTCTTCTTGAACTGGAATCGTTGACGGACAAGAAGAGTGAAGAGGTCATTTTGGGTCCGTATTCTTCTTTGATATTATGTTAGACAAGTCCTAGGACAGGGGAGTGTCCAGAGACTACTCCTACCCTAGAGACTCAGTCACCGTGCTGTTAGAGTATCTCGATTTTTCACTGCAACCTGACCAAGAAAACTACTAATGCTAAGCTCATGAAGACACGAATCATCTATCCGTCTTATCAGTCAAGTCTAACTCTGCAGATTTGCAGTGGGCCCTCAAAGACCGGGTTGAGCCCTACGGCTCGCCGCTTCATGTGTCGGTGCCTGGAGGTGCATCGCAAGGTGACATCCTCAAGCTAGACATTGCGGTGCAGACCACCAAGGACTGCGTAGGACTTCAATGGATGACACCGGCGCAGACCGGCAACAAGAAACATCCTTATGTCTACTCGCAATGCCAGGCTATCTTGGCCCGCTCAATTTTCCCATGTCAGGACACACCTGATGTGAAGTCCACCTTCACCTTCAACATCACCTCACCTCTGCCAGTAGTTGCGAGCGGTGTCCCCGTGCCATCAGATATTCAGGGCGATGGGGAGAAGCTTTTCCGCTTTGAACAGAAGGTTCCTATCCCCTCGTACCTCTTTGCCCTTGCTTCGGGAGATCTCGAGACAGCCCCTATCGGTAAACGCTCTGTCGTTGCCACTGGGCCAGAGGCGCTACAGGAGGCCAAGTGGGAGCTAGAAAACGACATGGACAAGTTCCTCGATGTAGCAGAGAAACTCATCTTTGATTACCAATGGGGCCCGTACAACGTTCTAGTGTTGCCCCCTAGCTTCGCGTATGGTGGAATGGAGAACCCAATTTTCACATTCGCGACGCCTACCATCATCAGTGGTGATCGTCAAAACGTCGATGTGATTGCCCATGAGTTAAGTCACTCATGGAGTGGCAATTTGGTGGGCTGTGCCTCGTGGGAGCACTTCTGGCTTAATGAAGGGTTAGCTGCCCTTCACACTACAAGTCAACTCTGAAAAAATGCTGACGTTTCGGTAGCTGGACTACCTACCTCGAACGTCGGATCGGTGCTGCAATTCAGTATGTATTCTAGTTCGTTTTGTTTTCGTTATTTGAAGTTCACGGCCTTTATATGCACGCTAGGGTGGGTTGTTTGCTGTACACACACGATCGTTGACTCCTTACTTCCGTATAGTGGCGCGCCACAATTTGACTTCAGTGCCATAATCGGATGGAAATCGCTCGGTAAGTAGAGTTAAGCGTTCGAGGTGAAAGTGAAACTCACAAGGACCTAGAGGATTCCGTAGCCCTCATGGGCCCAGAACACGAGTTCACCAAGCTCATCATCAGCCACAAAGGTGTCGATCCCGAGGACGCGTTTAGCTCGATTCCATACGAAAAGGGCTTTCATTTCCTCTATTATCTCGATAGACTTGTCGGCCGGGAACACTTTGACAAGTTTATTCCTCACTACTTCAAAACTTGGGCTCGAAAGTCCCTTGACTCTTACGAGTTCAAACAAACTTTCTTGGATTTCTTTGAGAATTATGGCAACGATGAAATCAAGGAGAAGATTGCTCAGATTCCATGGGAAGAGCGATTCTACAAACCTGGCTTGCCACCCAAACCGGATTTCGATACGAGCTACGTCGATAGCTGTTTAGCACTAGCAGATAAGTGGAAGCAAGCGGTAAGTATATCTGAACGTTTCTTTGCGCATAGGATATGCTGTGTTATGTGGCGATACTGACGAAGGACTAGGATTACCAACCCAGCCCTAAGGATTTAGAATCGTTCACAGCAAACCAGATTCTCGTCTTCTTACAGGCTGTTCAGAATTTCTCGCCTCCCTTGAATGCCGAGCGATCCCGCCTCCTCGGAAGCACATATAGTCTCAGCTCGTCAAAGAATGCCGAGTTGAAGACAGCGTACTACCTCATCGCCCTTAAGGCCGGAGACAAGTCTGAGCTCTCGGGAGTAGTTGATCTTCTGGGTTCTGTCGGACGCATGAAGTACGTCAGACCGCTGTACCGCAAGCTCAACGAGCTCGACAGGGATCTAGCAGTGAAGACATTCGAAGAGCACAAAGATTTCTATCCATCAACGACAAAAGGCCAGCTGGCCAAGGATCTAGGGCTCAAATAAATGAACAGAAAGCACGGAATATTCGAAATGAGGATTTAGAACACAAAAGAAGACTAGGAAATGCATCATGGACGTCAGAATTGCTAGCCCTCTCTTCAATGCAGAAAAGGAGCCTTTAGTGTCCCCCAAAGGTAGAATCAAACACAAATGCCTCCAGACTCATCATCGTCGACAAAAAGACTTATTATACCTCGCGTCCCTTGCTTACACCACTCAGTAGATAAATTCTGCCTTGGAGCTCATCATACGAGCGATGTTTATTTACTTTCTGTAACTGAGCACGTACCAAACTGGTGGAGACACAAACAGCCAGAACATACAGTCTTCAGAGTAAGCTTGCACAGTGGGCAGGTACATGTGTAGATGCACTCACAGGTGCACTGACCTCGCGAAAGAACATACTTGTACTGAATGAGTGGGTTGTATTTGACTAGGTACTGAAGGGTGTCCCCTGTCATGTTCAATTTATAGGCAGCTGCGGCTGATGAAGAGCAGGCTATGATAGGATTGAGACACCTGGCAAAGAGTGACGATTCCATCAAATAACATGTGAATCCCACCTTTCTTGCAGCCAATCGTCATACCTACATACTCCGTACATATATGTAGAACTTATGTATGTACCTATAAAAGGATGTCTTACTTCAGATTACCCATGTAGGTATCTACCTGTGCACCTGTTTATCTAGCAGACACAGTGTTGATGACACTGTGAGCGGATACTTTCTGCTGTACCTACCCAGATAGGCACCGGATGTACCCAGCAGGCAAGTGCTACCGTACCTACCCACGTCGGTGGCCCGTACCTGCAAATTAATGAGATGGCCACTGTCCCTGAGTCGCGATCGCGTCTCTGCCGCAGCAATATTCTTTTGTACACAAGTCGCAAGTGAAATCCCCCAACACCGTCCCCATTGTCGCGTCAACCAGCATACCACATACCACATTCCCTGACGAAAGCGACGACGCCAACCTGCGCCAGTTCTCGACAAACCTCATCGCCATATTTTATTTCGTCCAGCTTGACTGGTCCGGGCTCCAAGTTACGAAACGAACTCTATCAGAGCACAAAGCGCACTAAGTGGCTGCCTTGGCTAACCGCCCCTACTTAGTCAACTGCTCTCGGACCGCCCCTTGTCTCGCCGTCGAAGCCTTCCCACAAAGCCCAAGCATCTCGACATTCCACCACCACGAAAAGTGCTCAGCACTGCTCCAAGACGCCGTGGTCAGGCCTGGCGAGGATGACAAGGGGCGAGCGCTTCTGATGCGCCAGTTGGTTTGACTTTTTGGGTGGACAGACTTTGGAATCGCGACCCGTTGTTCCCTTTTTCGAGGCCACTATTACTCAGTACGGTATAGGGCCAATCCGCTCCCACTCTGTCACCGCCAGACTTGCGAGATCTCTTTCGCATGTTATCCCAATACGACTCCTCCATTTGTCGCATACTGTAATAGCCAACCGCCTCTGATCGAGCTTCCGGAGTAAATACACGGTCGAGGGCACTGTCCTTAATCTGCCCATCATGGCGCCTGCTGGTGGTGGGAACATTAAGGTGGTGGTGAGATGTCGACCTTTCAATAGTCGAGGTACGTCGACCGTTCAATTTCATATACATATCGCGGGATGTGAAAAGCGACGTCGTAAGAGGTAAAGAGTTGCCCTTTGCTAATGACCATATTAGAAATCGATCGCGGGGCAAAATGTATTGTAGAAATGAAGGATAATCAGACCGTCCTCACGCCACCAACCGACGGCACGCATGCCGGTAAAGGGCCCAAAGATTTAGCTCCCAAGTCCTTTGCCTTCGATAGATCCTACTGGTCCTTCAACAAAAGTGATCCGACCTATGCCGGACAGGAAAACCTCCATAACGATCTTGGAAAACCTCTCCTGGATAATGCATTTCAGGGTTACAACAACTGTATTTTTGCCTATGGCCAGACAGGTTCCGGGAAATCGTATTCGATGATGGGTTATGGCAAGGAACACGGTATTATTCCCAAAATTTGTCAAGATATGTTCGAGAGGATCAAAGATTTGCAACAGGACAAGAATACGCGATGTACTGTTGAAGTATCCTACCTTGAAATCTACAACGAAAGAGTTCGAGATTTGTTAAACCCGTCAACAAAGGGTAATTTGAAGGTCCGAGAACATCCTTCCACCGGCCCCTATGTCGAGGATTTGGCCAAGCTTGTGGTCGGTAGTTTTCAGGAGATCGAGAACTTGATGGACGAAGGTAACAAGGCGAGGACTGTCGCCGCTACGAACATGAACGAGACGTCCAGTCGAAGTCACGCTGTTTTCACTCTGATTCTGACACAAAAGTCTTTTGACACGGATACCAAGATGGAACTGGAAAAGCAAGCAAAGATTAGTCTGGTCGATCTCGCAGGTTCAGAAAGAGCAACATCCACAGGTGCCACAGGTGCTCGACTCAAAGAAGGTGCTGAAATCAACAGGTCACTCTCAACTCTCGGTCGTGTGATAGCAGCGCTGGCCGATCTCTCCACGGGGAAGAAGAAAAAGGGCGCTGGAGGGACTGTACCATACCGAGACAGTGTGTTGACATGGCTCCTCAAGGACTCGTTGGGTGGAAACAGTATGACGGCCATGATTGCGGCTATTAGTCCCGCTGATATCAATTATGACGAGACTCTGAGTACCCTGCGCTATGCGGATTCTGCCAAACGAATCAAGAACCATGCTGTGATCAATGAGGATGCCAATGCTCGTATGATCAGAGAGTTGAAGGAAGAACTTGCTCTACTAAGGAGCAAACTTGGAGGCGGAGCTGTGGGAGTAGCTGGCGGTCCTGGCGGTGCTCCTGTGCCACCTGAGGAGATCTATGCTGAAGGCACACCGTTAGAGAAGCAGATCGTTAGCATTACTCAAGCGGATGGCACAGTCAAGAAAGTTTCTAAAGCTGAGATTGCCGAACAGCTCAGCCAAAGTGAAAAACTACTGACCGACCTTAATCAGACCTGGGAGGAAAAGCTCCAGAAAACCGAGGAAATCCACAAGGAGCGTGAGGCTGCGTTGGAAGAGCTCGGGATCAGCATTGAAAAAGGCTTTGTCGGGTTGCATACACCAAAGAAAATGCCACATTTAGTCAATCTATCAGATGATCCCCTTTTAGCAGAATGCTTGGTTTACAATCTCAAACCAGGGAAGACAACTGTTGGGAATGTGGATTCCAACGCGGAGCATCAAGCTAATATACGTCTCAATGGAACTCGGATTATGCACGATCACTGTACCTTTGACAATGCTATGGATGGCACCGTCACGATAACACCAGGCGAAGGTGCATCGATCATGGTCAATGGTAGACGGATCACCGAGACAACCAGGTTACATTCTGGATACAGAGTTATTCTTGGAGATTTCCATATTTTTAGATTCAACCATCCCATGGAAGCTAAGGCGGAGCGGGACGAGAACCGTCAAAGCTTACTCCGCCACACCGTGACAGCGAACCAACTGCAGAACATAACCGCACGTCCAGGTCACGAACGGTCTATGAGTAAAGCTGGGTCAGAACTTGGTGATAGCCGTCCCGAATCGCCTGCCCCTGTCCGTGAAGGGCGGGACTCGGATTGGTCCCTTGCGAGGCGAGAAGCTGCCGGTGCTATTCTTGGGACGGACAAAAATCTCCAAAGTCTTACGGACGAAGAGCTGAATGCTCTTTTTGAAGATGTCCAGCGTGCCAGAGCTGAGCGTGTTAACGAGCGCGAGGGCGAGGATGACGCGGAATCGAATTTGTCATATCCTGTTCGTGAAAAGTACATGTCAACAGGAACACTCGATAATTTCTCGCTGGATACAGCGTTAACAATGCCCTCCACGCCCAAAGCTGGTGAAGCTGACGAACGACTCAAGGAGATCCGAGAGACTATGCAATTTCAGCTAGAAAAACAGAAAGAAGAGTATCAAGACCAGATCAAGAGTGCTGAGGCTGCCAATGTAGAGGTGGAAGAGATCAAGAAAGAGAAAGAGCGAATGGAAGAAACATTAGTCCAAATCAAGATCGACATGGAAAAACAGCTGGCGGTCCAGAAGAAAGAATTTGAGGCCAAGATAGAAAAGCTGGATCCGCTCAAACGGCCAAAAGCCAAACCTAAACTTTCGGCAGAGGAAATAGAGCGAGCAAAGAAGGCTGTCAACCATTGGAAGAGTCGTCATTACGTGCAGATGGCTGAAGCTATTCTACAACATGCGGCAATTCTGAAAGAAGCCCAGATTATGAGCCAAGAACTTGAAGAGAACGTTGTCTTCCAGTTCACAGTGGTGGACCAAGGCCACGGGTTATGCTCCTCCTATGACATGGTGCTCAATGACGTAACCAATGAAGATGATATTGTGCTTGAGCAAACCCAGAAACCTTGCGTTGGTGTTCGTGTGGTCGATTACAAGAACATGGTGATCCATTTGTGGAGCGTGGACAAGCTTTACGACCGAGTAAGGCAGATGCGTCAAATGCATCAGTATCTCGATCAGCCCGAGTATTCACGTCATTTCAAGCTTGATAATCCGTTTGTTGAGGCTTGCATGCCCGAATACTCTCTTATCGGCGAGGTTGACGTTCCCTTGAAAGCTGTCTTCGACAGCCGAGTCCAAGATTTCACTTTGGATGTCTTGTCGCCGTACACATCGCATGCCATCGGCATCATCAAGGTTTCTCTAGAGCCTTCTAGTGCTCGTGCACCGTCAAGTACATTGAAGTATAATGTGGTTATGCATGATATGGTTGGTTTCGCGGAGCGAGAAGGAACTGACGTACACGCCCAGCTTTTCATCCCCGGCGTATCAGAGAACGGTGCTACAACAACGCAAATGATCAAAGATTTTGACGAGGAGCCGATACGATTCGATAGCGTTCATAGTATGAGCGTTCCTTTATTCGGGCCACGAGACATCAGCTTAAGAATTGCCATCTTCGCAAAGGTTACTGCGATGCATCTTGATAAATTGCTGAGCTGGGATGAGATGCGTGACATCACACCAGGATCAGAGAACAAACCCCAAGGTGCACGCATCAGCGAGTCCCAATTTTATACCGCCGAAAAGCATGACCTGTTGGCACGAATCCAGGTTCTTGAAATTGATGAGGAGGGTGCGTATACGCCTGTGGAGGTCACGCAGACTGGCGAACTGGATATTGGAACGTTCCAATTACATCAAGGCCTACAAAGACGCATAGCTGTCAACTTATCCCATAGTTCGGGCGATGCTTTACCGTGGGAAGATGTTAGCTCGATGAGAGTCGGGAATGTGCAACTAGTGGACCAGTCAGGCAAGGTTCCCGATATGTTGTCGCCCACTCCGGATATTGCCCTGAGGCTTGGTGGCAAGCCAAGTTTTCGACAAAATGCGAACGGAACAAGGAGTGCTACAATATCAGGGCACTGGGATTCCAGCTCACACAATTCCTTACTGCTCGATCGAGTTACCGCGGACAAGTATAAGGTTCAGTTGACACTTTCATGGGACGTTGTTGCAGATAAATTGGCAGAACCAATGCGATTTTCCACCAACATTTATTGCCAGATCCTTGGGCGGACATATGTGCGTCAAGCCTCGATGCTCTCGGCTCTATGGCAACATGTCCGAATCGTCCATTCTTCAACGGCAATTTTCTCATTAGGTTTAAAGCCAGCCCCGGTTAAACATGCTGGTGATCTTTGGAGAATGAACAGTCAACATGACTATGTGAAGGGCGAAGAGGACCTCGTCAACTGGGGCCCGAGGGGGGTATCCCTAATAGCAGATTACATCGCTGCGAGAAGAAAGAAACGGCGCATTGCTGAGATTGGAGCTGCGCAGCTTTGGCTCAAGAAAATCGGTCTACCCGAGCCCAAACCCAAGCCGATCGAGGTTGATGATCACTCCGAGGAAGAGCTTTCGCCGGTGAAGGCTCATGACGGGGATGACGATTCAATTAATGCTTTGCTTAATGACACGCCAGAGACTTCGCGGCCATCGACACCCAATAAAGCTGATGAGGATGACGATCTCGATGATATGGAGGATTTTTCCGGAATTATAGACGATATAGAGGATACGGAGCATACAGAGAGTGCACAAGTGAAGGCCGCCGAGAGTACTGAGGCAGAAGATGTCGCAGAGAGCGAAGAGATTACGAAGCCTGAAGAGGGCATAGAAAGCGCGAAGATTGAAGAGAAGGCAGAGACTACAAAGCCTGAAGAGGACTCTGAGAAGAAGCTCCCATCCGAGTACAACGAAGACGAGTCTACCATCCTCAATAAGTGTATCGACTTATGGAAGCGTTACCCCGACCCCGTTTTCAATATCCTGAGCCCAGCGAACACACTACCTCCCACAAATGGCATAGCTCCAGAATCGGCTGCACCACCGAGACTGATTGCGACAGTTATTCGCATACCTAAGAATCCATCCGTTCTCAAAGGTGGCTACCTCTTGGTACCGAGTAACGATTCATCAAAATGGGTGAAGCGTTTTGTTGAACTCCGGCGACCATATATGCATATCCACAATGCTACAAACGGCGACGAAGTTGCCATTGTCAGTCTTCGTAATTCAAGGGTTGACAGCCAGCCGGAAATACTAGCGCTCTTCGGTGGACACGATAACGGCCAAGACGATGAAGTGCTAGCGGACAGCAGTAGTGGGAATTTTCAACCTAGTCATCGCAGGACATCTTCAGGGCGACTCATCTCTTCCATTTGGGCTGGCAATCAAACGCAAGGCGGTCCTGGCCTCGGCGGGCTGAGCGAGCGCCTGCAAGCTGGCGTGTTTGCGGTCTACGGAACTGACAATACTTGGCTCTTTGCGGCTCGCAATGAGAAAGACAAGCTTGATTGGATCCTCCGTATCGATCAAAGCTATTACTCGGGTACTGCCAGTGCCAGCGGTAGTGGAGCTGTCAGTCCACAGCCTAGGCATTATGCTCTCAGCGACGACTAACTTGTCAACGAAAATACTGCCAGACTCGATGAGCTTCGACAGCTGACTGAATTTTTGTTTTGGATGGAATGAGGTCATGACAAATAATATATGATTACACAAAATTCACGCAGCATATAAATATCTTGGTTTCCGGGGGGGCAATTTGACGACCTATAGGCGTTTCTTGTTCTTTTTTCTTCCCCTATTCTCTTCGTTTTCTTTTGTCGTTATAATGCATCACCGTCCCGGCTTGTATATATAACTTCTCGAAACCTCACATTTGTGGCTCTCAGGTCAACTTAGATTATACCCCCCATTGCACCCTCCTTGCGAGGCTGTTTCAAGAGAAATAGAGAGGATCAACATGATTTTGGGATAGTGAATAAATGTGTGGCTGCGATGCTAGATACCTTCTCAGTGTGAGCAAGGTGGGTGAGCGTGATTAGGTTTGAGATTGGTAGTGGGCTAAGGTAGACTGAAGGTTCTATATCGTTTCAACGCATGAGCCTTGTGTTCCAGCTGAATTGATATATCTTTCGTGAAATTGAAGTTGTGACATGTCTGTGGAGGATAAACAAGGGATCTCAGTATACGACTATTATATATGAGCACGGAGTTGATAATATTATAATGGATTGTCGTTGAATGACGGAACCGACAGGAACTTGATTCATGGTGTGTTTAAGTCATTATAGCGTATGGCATTCTAGTTGTCTACGCATTGAAATAGTTATGGATGAACGCCGACAACGCTATACTCATACCTAGTGCTTCCATACTTGTGCCGCGGCTCTCGGCTATCGCGGGCATCGCATCGTCGCCCGGAGCGCTGAACTCTTAGCGGCGCACAGCGATTAATACACGGACTGTTTGAACTGTGTTGACACGGCTCCCTTCCACCTAAGGAATGATTCAATACTTTCTGGATAGCAGAAGTCTAAGTGCCTGAGCGTATGGTTCCGTCAATGAAATAAAACACGGGCTTAATAGTATTAAATCTGATGTTTGAGGGTGAAAGCTAATCGCGGAATCATAGTTACTGTTACCAACAAAGATGATGCCGAAGGGTTTGCATGGATCAAGGTGGGGTCAGCTGGGATTAGGTATATGTTAGCTGATAAAGAACAGCTTTTCAACAATAAGGTGATATAGTATAGTGGTTAGTACAATTCGTTGTGGCTATCGCACTGATTAAGCTCCGAATAGACCCAGGTTCGATTCCTGGTATCGCCACTTGATTGCTCCTTCTCTGGACAATCAACGTATTTTTTTTTCTCTTTTTTTCTCTTCTTCTTTACTATGCATGCCATTGTCCTTCTTTCATCCTTGATATTTTTTTTCCCCCACGCTTAATACAACTGTTGCTAGGCAAGACGAGTAGATTGATGTTCAGTAAAATCTTGGGGAAAAATCTTAGTATACTGAGAAATTACCAGGTGAGGTATCCCTGCGTCTGCCACCACCTTTCCTTTTCCCACCCCTTTCCCCTCCTTTTCGCTAGATGCATTCTTCTTACTTAATTAGGTCGATAATCAATATCGCGAGCAAATGACTTAGTAATAAACAAGACATCGAATTACTAATGTCCCGCATTCCCAGACAACGACAGGCCAGTGGCATAAATCATAGAGCATGCCTTTAAGCCTCAGGTCACAATCAATTCCTAGTAGCCTGGGTACATTCGTTCATAAGGGACACCTGGATTATGTTACCTCGTTTCTACATGCAGCTTTTTCACTCGCAACAGTCTCTAAGCTCATCCCCACCCGTCTTCCCGGAGCTCAATGTTATTATTCAAAGGGTAAGGGGTATGTATATATACTTATGCAGTTTGCCAGATTGCTTGCAAGGGCGCTCGCGCCTCTCCTGCTAGAAAACCCCACACATAAAACCCAGTTCCGCGGGGATATTTTATCATTTCAGATACCACTCGGAGGTCATGTTGTTCCTCTCATAGGAAATTATTCTAGAAGGGGCCAAGAGTATATAACGATACCCTTATCCAGCATATTACATCGTCAAACAGAGTAGTCAAACCCGAGAAAACATCTTGAAGGTATCTGAGATACTGTGTATCTGATTCTATTAATTAATTATATCAATCGAAATGAATTTTATCGCTAATTCGTTGGCTTTTAGTGCCAGTGTATGGAATGGGCTTCATATAGGTGTAGCTGGAAAGCACCAAAGGCTCTCTTATCATCCATTCATCCATCTTGACCACGATTCATACGGGGGTCAGGTAAGTTTGTAAACTCCGCCCTCTCGTAAGTGTTCGTGGAATGAGAAGGCTTCAAGCATTGCTGTATTTTAGTTTCCGATTCAACCGTGCTTATAGCATAGCCACAGCACCAAGGAGACCACCGACGGCCGCGGCACCAGCCAGGACACCGGTAGGCATGGCAGCACCGGCCATAGAAATCGACGAGGTGGGGAGTCCAGTGCTGGTGGTCGTGCCGTTACCCGTAGCAGTCGGGTAAGGGGGAGCAGAGGAGGTGCCGTTTGTAGGGCTTGCTACAACATTGCACAGCTGACCGGGGAAGCTGGCGATGGAGTGGATGTAGCTTGTGATGGACGCAGCAGCTGCTCCTGTAGTAACACATTTCGTAACGATGCCGTCGTAGGACGCGAGTTCGGTGGCAGCGAACGCGAGGAGCGAGGAACCGAATGTTTTGAAATTAGACAATGCTGGCGGAGGCAATTCGGCAGCGACGCCACATAATAACGAGACGTATGCTGCCGGGTCTTGGAGGAGGTTTAGGTTAGGGTCAGCACCGCCCGAATACTCTGCTTCGATAGCGGCGGCGACATCTGCAGGGACCGTAGGAGCAGCTGCAACTAGGGCGGTAACAGAGCTTGCACAAGCGGGATCGGGAAAGGGAGTGCTGGTCTGAGCAATAGAGACGCCCGCGAAGACCGCCACAGATAGGAGAACCTTGGTGTTGTACATGATTGCAGATACGTTGGTAGTCTTAGGCTTCGAGGTTTGTTATTAGGTATGAGACTAGAGATGGCGTTGAAAAGTGTAGTATAAGTGAAAAGATTCCCGTGGGCCATGGTAGGGAGCTTTATATCTCGAGCAGTACCTGCCGAGGTGGGAGCATTGGCCGTAACTGCCTCCCAGCCAGATTGATTCACTCACTCTACTTTACACTTCTAGTGTGATTAACAAGGATGCAATGCCTACTTCTCCTGCGTCCCGGGCCGCCGCGGGGCGGGTAGCTGTCCATCTGCTCCCCTGAGCTTGGATATTATCACATACGGTATGGTTGTACGTATGAGATTTACTGTTTGGAGAAAGACGGTGTGGATACTGTTTGCTGTTTGCGATGCCGCGCGCGAGCTTTCGTAGCCTTACAGGCATTCTTGAACCCGCCAAACGGTAGGTATAATCACCCAGACGATACGAGAATTTGCTATCTGTCAGAGCGGAACCAGCAAGATGGGATGTGTGAGTCAACGTACATAAGGTAGCCTGCCAAGCACCGGTATGCAGATCACCTCTTACACACGGCGGGCAGTGCTTAGACCGGCATCATCCAAGAGTTCCCCATCTATGATCCCGGACACATACTGTAGAACAGAGCGGGATTCGGGATGTTAGGAGTTCCGGTCGTCCCGTCACCTCGGATGCAAATTCTGGTAACCGTTATATAGTACACTAGACCAGTCAGTGTGCATCACCTACAGATACATACTTAGTATTCCATATGAATCCTGTTCAAAGCCTGCGCTAGTTGTGACACGCCGTGCATATCAACATGTAAATTAAATTAATGTAGAAAAGTACGCGTAGCACATCTAGCTCTTTAGACATGCCTGTATATCTCTAGCAATAATGCTTGATACCCTGCCTTTTGCAGCAATCAGAGACCAGCACTATAATTTGTCAAAGACGATGCTCTCGTCGCATTCGGGTTGTATTTCTCCGCCTACACTAGTCTATGTGCAGGTCTTGGAAAAACGGGTTTGGCCAATACCCTGTTAGAATAAGCTAGGCCCAAGGCTCCAAGAAGCATCATCAATATCACTGTTACGTGTATATAGCTTGGCTCTGCGAAGCTAGGTAGGTGGGTTGGGATACCAGGCTGCGTAAACTAGTGAATCAAAGTGAAAGCAGCGAGAGCAGGCAATGGTAGTTTCCACAAAATGGCAGCCCTGCCCGGAACTGTGGTGCCTCGGTTGAGTCCGTGCTCAGGAAAGTTGGGGTTTGAGGGGCTCGACGACATGGTTCGAGAATGGTTCAAGACGTTTAATACTTTATGGTACTCCGAATTCCGCAATTTGCATCGACATCATACTTCGTACTAGTCGTATCCTGCTAAGATCGTCGTGCTGTCCGCTGTGCAGATCCAAGCGATCGTATAACTTTAAGCTTGTTTGGATAGTTAATGCTCCATCAATTACAAATCTTGAATGCATATACCTAGATCGACAGTGAACATTCAAATCTAGTGAAGTCGCTCGGTTCATACACTAAGTTACCTAATGCGAGTTGCAGAATCAAACAAGGTGAGGAGCGTAGAAATACCTAAAGTGATAAGATAAGCAAGCCACACAACTTTAGCCACACTGTACCAACGCCACAACTAGCTAGCAACAGGTACCTACCTACCTACCAACCTATTCGTCACTGGACATTTGCCATGGTAAGAGACGGCAGACTCCGCGATTCATTTTAATGCAGAGATATTGAACAGTTAATGAGAGTGCCTTTGACATTCCATATGAGGCATTTCAGTCGTTCAATGTGCATAATTTATGGTCATCAACTGCAGAACGCCTCTAAGTGAAAAGATAGGTGAAGTATGAACTCAGGTAGGCCAGCCAGAATCACGCCAATCTCGGTGACTTACGGGTGCATTGATAGTGAGCCTTATGCTAACGATCTAGTCAGATTGTTTGATTGTAACTATTCTCACTTATATCTCACCACCTATAAACATATCTGTGAAAGTTCTAAGCCGCCTCCCTGTTAAGCTGCAGCCTGATACATCGCGGAGAGAGTGAACTTGCTTCGTTTATGAGAGGACGCAGGGCTTACCTGCTCAAGCCCGGTTTCACGGATCGCCATTCTCAACATGAAATATCTCTCCAGTCTCCTAGGAGTGGCCGCAATGCGTGCAAGGTTACTGCATTTGTACCGCTCTTCGCAATATACGAATTCCCACCCTATAAAGCCTCGTTCTTTTTCCCAAGTTCCTCATTATAACAAGCCAAAACAAGAACCAAGCGTTCCCAAGGGACCACCCGTTCCTAAGGAGCCATCAGACCCTCTACACATCCTCTTCTGTGGATCCGACGAATTCAGCTGCAGTTCACTGAAAGCGCTGTACCATGAACATATCGAAAATCCCGACCTAATCCAGTCCATAGAGGTTGTCGTACGTCCGGGGAAGCGGACAGGCCGTGGGTTGCAAAAGATTCAGGATCGTGAGTACACCACTACTTATGAATCTCTTATTTTTCGACTCCCAAAACCTCATCATGTCCCATTTTCTTTGGTTCATTGATGATTCACAATATTTATACATCTTGATAGTGTTTACTGATAATTTTCTGTCTTGCTAGCGCCCATTCGAAGCGTAGCAGATACTCTCAACCTCAAAATCCACACGAGAGACACATTTACAGGATGGGACGTAAGTCACCTTACCAAGCCATCATCATCACTATGCCACCGATCTGCCTCTTAGCTTATCCCATACATCCATAATACAAAGGGTAATCCCAACTTAACAAGTATCCCCAGATGCCTACCAAAACCAATCTAATCATAGCTGTATCTTTCGGCCTCTTCGTGCCACCCCGTCTCCTCCGCGCCGCCAAATATGGCGGCTTAAATCTCCATCCCTCCTTACTCCCTGACCTTCGTGGTCCGGCTCCCCTCCATCACGCCCTTCTCAACAACTACACAATCACAGGTGTGTCACTACAAACTCTGGACCACAACGCCTTCGACCACGGTGTCGTCCTCGCACAGACACCTCGCGGCCGGAAAAACAAAGACACAATTTTTATCTCACGCCACGTTCAAAATCCATCCTATCTCCAGTCACTTATCACACCCGCGGCCACCCGCCTCCTGATCAACGGGCTCCGGGAGAACGTCCACGTGCCACCGCATGTGCGCAAAGGCTGGGTACCCCCTCGCACGCATCCCATCCGTCACGCACCGAAGATCACCAAGCAAGACCGCCAACTCACCCGCGCTCTCCTCCAAACATATAATTTCTGGGGCCCTCCCACACCAAAGATGCTGGTATCCAGCCCCTTGACCCGGCGCCAAGCAGCCATTGGTCCCCTGTGGTTTCTCTCGCGCGATCGCAGCGGGGAGCAGAAGCGCATCATCATCGAAGCCGTAGATGACCATTATCCGGAATCATCTAGTCAAGAAGAAGACTATACACCCCGACCTAGATTCAAAGGCGACCAGCATACTCACTCATTTACACTTGACTGCGAAGACGAAGAGGATAATGACATATATACAATCGAAGAGGAAGAGTACAAATACTCACTTACCCTTGAAGCACAAGAGCTCCAGAACTAATTCTTGCCCAGCAAGGACGTGCCCAGCAAGGACGTGCCCAGCAGGGACGTGCCCACCATGCTCGCCCCAGCAAGCGCCAAGCCCGGACCCCTGGAATTCGCAATCCCGTTCGAAGACGAGCCAGAGGACGACTCGCAGCAACGATCGGAGACGCAACACGACCAGCGCATGAACCTCACGTTCTGGGCCCCGGAGATCGAATCCGACGACCTGTACCTGGGTAAGAACCGCATAGTCAGCCTCAAGGTCGAAGGCGACAAGGCGCGTCCCGCGCGCCACGCTCTCCACGCCTTCGTCGTCAACACCGAGGACTGGCGGGCCTACACGTCGCGACGGGACTATCTCGATGCGCAGAAGAAGAAGGACGAGAAGGAAAAAGAAACTTGAGCAAACGATCAATTTCCAAAGGTCGATATGGTTAAGGGTTGGGGAAAGGGGAGGTGGTGCCCGGGATTTCAAGCATGTAAGGGCAAATGGTGAATTCACCGAGTAGGGCTCGTAACAATACGTAACTGAACAATAAATAGTAGGTATGCAAACGCGTGTTGTAGAGAAACGTTAATAAATGTATAATAAAATATATCATATTGTCGGCATATATAGCAGTACTAGGTATTTGAGTACCCGGTGCATTGGTTTTTACTTAGTTATACATATTTATACTATGATGATGGCGCGACGACCCGTACCACACCAGCCAATAAAATAACACCTCTTGTCTATCACAAGTAATTATACTGCAAGAAGTCATGTAGGCCAAGGTCACACATGAAGAATAGTCAAGCACAGTAGTACAAGTCAATTGGGAATCTTGAATTCCAAGACCCAAAGATGAGACGAGTTTCTAATCATACATCGGCATTCAATGCCCATAACAACCACCACAAATCCTGTAGCGGGGGACACTGATCATTTCAACGTTTGCTTCGTGGGCCAGTCAAGTTTCAAATCATGAACTCCATATCTTCCTTCCTTCCTTTCCCTTTGCTTCCACCATGTCATCGTCATCGTCGTCGTTATCATGGCATTGGGCTCGGACCCAATAAACCAAGACATTAAATTATGTTGTAATTTGTGATTCTTACTCCCTTTGTTGTTTTGTAGGTTTTCTTTTGATACATTGACGGTACACGCACAAGCGAAAGTTGCCCGATGCAAATGGTATTGACAGCTCAGCTCAGCTAAGCTGCCATGTCTCGACGGTCTGTCACAGCCGGGAGACGTTGTATTTTATTACATGCTCTTGCGGTGCTCATCGTCCACAGAGCTAGACTCGCTCGAAGAAGAAGTCTCAGTTTTGGTCAAGGCATTGTCATCCTCAGCAACGGGGCCATGGAGACTCTCCTCAAAGACGGGTTCAGGTTCGTTGAACTCGAACTTGGTCTTGAAATCGTGGAGGTGGTTGGAGTAGCCACTACTATTGGAACGGCGACGGGCATTGACGAAGTTGAACTGTTCGTCGACGATTTCCTCACCCACATTACCCCTGAGGATTTATTTGTTAGAGCTGTGGCTCACTTGAATGGATTAGGTGTGTAGGGTGAGGGGGTATGCTTACCAATTGCCCTTGCCAGCGCCATTCTTCTTCGTCTTCTTGGGGTCAGCACCCTCAAAGCCGTTCTTGGCAAAGAATTTGGGCAGGTTGTCTTGAGGAAGGACAGTTCCCTCGGCCAGACCAGCATGGTCCTTGTCGTTGTATTTGTGAGAACGAGTCACTGTTTATCATTCACAACACGTTAGCAGCTGGTCTGGTGTGGTAGTAACGATAGGAACCCAAAGGGTGGGCGAGCGATGACCCTATAGTGATGGGGGGCCGAATCATAGGTCAAAGTGCAGCAATAGGGGGTGTATTTGACCTACTCTTAACGGTGTTTGTTGAGTTGGATTAGTTCAAGATGGAGAGATATTGGTGCCAATGGCGATGATGATGGCTATGGATGACGAGAAGAGTTGGTGACGATGGATGATATCAAAAGAGTTGGGAGGGGTTGATATCGGTTGTAGTAGATGGATGAAGAGAGAAGGTAGCTTGATGGATGACGGAGGACAAAGGTTGGATTTGAGGGGAAAGATGAGAGTCAAGTGCCAAATGTACTAGGAGAGGTATGTATAAGTAGGTAGGTAGGTGTAGGTATGGCAAGGTAGTTCAGGTAGGGGTGAATGAACTACAAGGAGGACCGGAGGAGATGGATGGCAATTGGATGACGGTCGATGGTGGAGAAGAGGTCGATCCAATCGAAGGGCTGGCTGTGGGAGTTGTAGTAGTTGCAGTAGAGTTGTAGTGTAGGTAGACGGATTGCAGCAATTGGTGGTGATGACTTGTCTTGCTGATCTGAGATTCCGGTTGGCGGCTTGGAAGTCTTAGGCTGATGGTCGATGATGGATGGGATGCTGTAGACTTGGATGTAGACTTGGATGTATGGTATACAGGGGGGTACAGAAAGCTGTTAATTGATTGTTTGTCTGTTTGTTTGAAGTGTTGCGTCTGTGTAGGATCAGGAGAGAAGAAAGAGATGCGGGAGTTGTACGATTCAAATACTACAGAGCATCTCGGTGAGACCGGGCTGTAAGGATACAGGATATACAGGTACTCTTCTAATAACTACACGATCCTTGTTAATCCCTATTAGGCATCGTAAGAGCAGTGGATGCTAAAGGTACGTGTACTTGAACACGAGTTGACAGTGTATGTAAGTACGTGTTATGTAGAGCAGTGAGAGTAAGAGAGGCATTTACAGAAGAAGCTGCCTTACAGTACCTGTTGTCTTGTCCTGTTCTGTCCTGTTGTAAGTACAATACTTAGATGAAGGCAGAGTACAGTGCAGACACTCCACAGTCTACCGTCTCACGAAATATACTGTGCGGATGGAGATGACGATGCGGGTAAGTGCACTACAGGTCAAGTTTCTGCGCCGGCGTTGCCCAAGATATAACCAGAAGTGGCGTACCGCGTCGGTATCTTTTCGCAGAAGATGCGGCGGATGGCTACATGCTGGCAACAGCAGGCGGCTGCTTGCAGAGTCGCTTGCAGAGGAGTCGCACGATGGTTGGCGGCAAAGCCAAAGGAATGGCGAGATTGTCGCGTGACCTGCAACCCCTCCCTCAGCAGACCTCAGCAGTGCCCATCGTCACCGCTGCCCCATCGGAGTCATTCCAGAGTCTTGTTGTCGGGTCTTTTTTAATTACCTACCATGGTAGAGCCGACATGTCTCATGTATCTGTCATGTACGATAGGGTGCATTGGATATTATTATTACCTGGCGCTGTTGATTCTTTCCCTTTTCTTTCGTTCATCCTCTACAGTGCGTTGTGATGAATTGGAGTAACTGCCTCAGTTGGCCGTCCACTATTACATCATAGCTCGAGTTAATTCGGACAGTTGTCCCAGCTCGCCAGCATCAACGGCGAATTGATCAGCGCCCGCTTAAACTCTGTTGACAGCCAGCCTCCAGTCCGTTGCGTGTCCTTTGCCTATCTATCTAGGTATTCTGATCTATCTATCTCTCCTACCCACATAACCCCATTGCGTGATATTTCGTCTTTGTGGCATGGAACAAAGAATCACTCGTTGTTGTCCCTCATGAACGAGACCAAGAAGCATGTCTAGACAGTAGCATCAAGGTCCCTAAATCATACAGAAGTCCATCAGCACCTACGCCCCTACGAAGTAGTACTACTTCCTACACTGCCAAGTACATACGAAATAGGTAGCACAGTTGCTAGGTACCCATGCTGCATAGTGTACGCATCACTGTGCGGCCCATGCAAACGTTAGGCCCACTTCCCCAGCTTTCTGCCGTTGAGTCCAGCCAGACTAAGCTTAACCAGGCATAGACGTATGCGGGGAATTCCCCTCTCGAACCCTTTTTACTTGACCAGCTGACAACGCCTCCTCGACTGGTCAAAAAGGGGGCCTTCAAGGTCGATTAGCTAACCAGGGGCTAGACTCTTGTCTTCTCGACTCCTATATCGGCGGTCCTGATCGAGGCATCATGACACGTGCCAACTCTGGATTGTCGTCCAAAACAGCTCGATGATTCATTCATGCTGACGGCAGGCACATGATCGGTGTTGGGAACATATCGGATGCGGTTGGGATCGGATTTGCCCGAGCTTATTCCTTCACGAGCTGCGTCTACGGCCTTGTCGTGTCGGAACTGCGAGGCGGAGGAACTAGGTGAAGTTAGAGGACTACATACTTCTGGGATACAGGATTGACAACGGAGACATCACATGGCTTGAAAATAAACTTACTTGGCACTTCAATATTGACCGCACCGTGTTGTTTACCGGAAAGTAGCAAGAGGAAAACACTGATAGTGGCGTTGGATGTTGCGAATCCGGCTATTTGCTTTGCCTAGATCCCCGTTTCGAGGTGATCATTATTCATGCTATACTTTAACCTAAAGAGAACCTCAATGACCAAGCCATGGAGATGGCTTTAATTGGCTGCATTCATCGGCCCTATTGTAGATAGATGGCCCTTGCTGAATCGGAGAGCATAATCCAGGTATCCGTTCAGTTGCCAGCTAGAATGTTTAGAATATTTACATCCACAACGGATCTACAATACGAATACAACAAAAACTAACTGGTCTCGTATTTGATTGTGGAAGGTGGATGATTCTATCTTTTTCTATAACCCCCTGTAGAATCTATCCCTGATATATGCATCTTATAGTACATACTGATGACTCGCGATGGAGCCATAGCGTTGTTTAATACAAATGACGGAAAGGAGTAGAGTAAAGCGTAGTTCTATCAATTCTGAGAGATCACCTCTTGGCTCGTCGCTTTCCGATATCCCAGCCCCAGGATCTCAACACTTTGACGACCTTGGGCGTCACGGCAGCTGTCAAGGGGACCCTGAGGAATATAAAGCTCTTGTGGATGGCGTAGGCGAGAGCTAGCTGAGTGCCGAGGCCTAGATTGATAGGTATTTAGACGCGTTGTTTCTCATGGGCTGGATTTAGCAGGGGATGACATACTAGCCTCTGACTTATTCCTTTGCTCAGCCTCCGCGACACCCCAGCCGGCTACTTCGACCTCGGCACCGCCTTGAGACTGCTCTTGCTTGGCTTCTTTCAGCGCCAACCGATATTCATGCCATCTGTTGCGGATAGATTCTGGTATGGCCATAGAGACGTGCGACACTACCCAGTGTTCGATTTCGCCTTTATTGAGTCAGAGATGATCTAACGTAAGGGATTCATTTGCCTACCTATCCTTTCCGTGCCAACTACGCGCACAAGCAAGAAGCAGAACGGGAAGTCTAGCACACTGAGACCCAGATACACGCCAACGGCAGCCCAGCCATATTCTCTGGATAGCTTCTTGAGCCTCGCGGATAACCCCTGAGGCGCTTGTGTATTCGGTTTGCTCGGATCGGGTTTCGCGTCTCGTAACCGCGAGGTTTTGTGGAATGATCGCTTATTTGTTCGTATGGGGGATTGGTATGCTTTACTGGTAGGAGTGGATATTCTCGGCCTGTAACCGATTCTCTGGGTGGCCCTCGAGGCTGGGATCCGTAATCCGGGTTGCGATATCGAAAAAAAAGCTCGCCTTAGGAACTGCGCTTCTAAGCCAAGCGCATTTTGTAACCCGACGGCATTGCCGGATGGTTGCAGAAGCGGACGGAGAGTCCGGAGGCAGGCCCGTATCATCCCGATCCCCCCTTTCCCTTCAAAGTAGCCGAATGGGAAATTGCGATCGGAAGCTCGAAGTACGCTTAGGGGAGTCTATCGGGTTGTTGGTATCGCCGTCGGTGCGTCGGGAATGGTGGAATAATCGCGGGACCACTGGGAAGGGATGAGGGCGCTGATTATCAATAGGTCGATGAGGTCTAATAGTGCACGGTGAGGTATTAGGCAGGGATTAATAACATATGTCTATTCTCTAAAAGAGGCCTAGGAATAGGTAGCTAGATGTGAAGGTCATGACGAGAGTGGTGACGTGCAAATGAGGAGAGCTAGGCGGCTAGGCGTGCGCAAAATTTTGGAAAGCTCGGGTCAGAGCTAGCATCAGCTGCAAGGTGATGCAACCCGTGGCAGCGCGGGACGGTGTTTGTAAGGGTCCGGCGGTGCATCCAGAGCCCTCGCCCTAGGCCGCTAACACCGAGCCATTGATTGCTTGCCCTTAATTCCGGGCAACCTTGCTCAGCCCAACCGAATGTGTTATTTATTTTGTACTACAATTGTTGGGCATTTTAGGACTATTGCATTTACAAGGTTGGCACTTGTCGTATATTCAAAATACCTCTGTATGATGTGTCGACTTAGTGCTCGAATGCTTGCCTCAAAGTGCACCGCTTCGTAATAGCTTGATTTGAGAAAAGGAAACCTCTGATCACACTTCTCCGACTTTGATTCAACTGGTTGACATGCTATAAGTCGTACACCTGTAGCCGATTTTCTAGGCGTCTGTATGATTGTATTCGAGATACCGGGTTCATATTAATAATCTATCACGGCCAAATAGATTTGCAGCTCAACCCAGTCGAACCTTACACACAGTTGATACCATGTTCCACTTACGCAGCTACCTACTTAGGAAAGGCAATAATGAGGCCGAGGAAAGGAAGTGAAGGAATTAAGAGGGGGTAGGGATGAATGGAAGAAAGGTGAAGGAAAGATGTCCCAGTGTCTCTCTCCTTTCTTTCCTCAAACCTGAACTTTAAAGCTACCCTCAGAAACTGTCAACAAGGGCTTATAAATGAATAGGTAGCAACACGTCTGCATTTGGGCTGGGAATCACTCGCGTGTATCAATTCGTCCCGGCATAGACAATTTTGATGCTACTTCACATTATTTCCAGGTGTGTTTTGTTCCACTCTTGCTCTGCTCAAAGGCTGGCCCATCCACGAAGCTGGTCAACTACCGGAGCTTATTCTTCATCATGTCCAATACACCACCACTACAACAAGAACAACGAGAATTTCGTCTATTTCCAAGGCTCCCCACCGAGATACGGTGGATGATTTGGCGCTGCACTTGGACACCAAAAACCGTCGAAGTAGAACTAAAAGTTCCTGCTCCTATAATACGTTGTCCTGATGATGGTTATGATCGTCTTCCTTGTATTACAGACTCTTCTGGGATGGAAGTGCTCCCTATCTCAAGCCAGGTGAACAAGGAGTCGCGGCATGAAACTCTAATGTTTTACAGGCCCTCCTTTGTTCGCGATGACGGTGTGTGGAAGGTGCAGGATGGTCACAGCTATTTCAATGGTTACTGTTATTTCAATTTTCATCTCGATAATTTGTACACTGGAAGGCAACACTGGATCCGGCGATGGCTAGGTACTGATAATTGTCGACAACTTCAACGACTGACTGTCTCATCAAGCTTCTTCCTCCCGCCCTCGCAACCCCGTTCTTCCTTTCCTGCTCCCGGTCTGCCCGCTAAGTCGGTAACGAAGTCGTTTGAGGCGCGCGAAATTGATGAATTCTTGGACAACAATTACCCCAAGCTAAGTGAAATCACCATGATCGACATGACATGGGAAACGAAGATCCAACCATTCCAGCTCTAGAAGAGTCCGGCTTCAGCCCCATTTCCTATCCCAACCAACGAATGTGAGGCTCGTATAAGTTTCAACAGGCGTCATATGTACTCTCCCCTATTTTCTACTTGCTTGTTTTGTTTTTGTTACACGGTGGTTGTATCTTGGTTACAACACATCATGTTGTATATTCTTGTTTCGCTACCTGGCCTTTCAAAGGCTGACACTAACGACGCTGGAATAGGGTTGCTGGGCGGGTTTACACCATCGAAGTTCGATATAACCCTGAACAGGACGTGTTGTACGGGCAACGACAATTAGACGAAGACGTCCTGAATGACGTGAAACAATACCTGTTCGAGTCTCTGCTGGGACCAGGGCCTCCCGTTGTTGACTATCCTCACCATTTTGGATATTATGTCCAGTTAACCAGTCTCTGGCATGCAGTACAAACAGCACTAGCCACAGGAGCCGAATCCTGACTCGTCTTGCTCATACTCGGGCCGGGCTATCCGAGGCCAATGGCCTTGTCCCTACTATCAACGTTATGCATCAGCCCACTTCGAGATCAATTAGTGTACCTAGCTGAAGTCGCGTTTACCCCTCTGGAAACGCTCACATTTCGACAAATGCCCCTCATTGCGGTCCCAGGCGTGTGGCTAGGTAGATAGACCCGGTCGGCAGACTCGACTAGGCAGGTTGTCAGCATCTTAAAGAGCAGGTACACTAAACGTTATTTTTACACAACTAGGTATTCACCCTCCACTATGTATGACAATGACACGCTTTACAGTGCTGACGCGCGGAATTCGCAAAGACCCTGATGATCCCCCAAACCCCCCTGGTTCGTCTATCTGTACTGTAACAGTATTCCCAGCAGCACGCCATATACATAGGTAGTAGACTAGAACTTTGTACTACTTATGGTCCTGCGAACGTGTTCCCACATGCGGCACAGCTGCGGTGAGCCTGTGACAGACAAGCACTAGCTAAGGACCCAAGTGGTCAATGTCATCTATCACAATCACCAAGCGCAGATCTGGATCTACCTATCCCTGGCTTGTCAAGGGAGGTAGGTAACATACGATGTCACATAGGTGCAGTAAGCGGCTACCCGCTTTCCCTCTTCTATCCACCACCACCTGGGTAATCATGCCTAGACTGCTGTAGAGCTGTCGCAGCTTCAATGCGGCATCCAATAGCTGTGCCGCCATCATGTCAGCTTACCTTAGTAAACGCGGGCTTCTACTGTTGGTGGCATTGCACATGCTCAAATCGTAGAATCCCCTCTGTACATTTTCTCCTTCTTTCTTCTCTTTCCTTCATTTTTGTTTGGTTTTGGCAAGTATCTTGAATCATTCCTAGTCGCTGCCTGTCTTTAGAATACCCCGCTAGCTAAAATGAGTGAATCGTTTGACTACATCGTTGTTGGCGGCGGTACGGCCGGTCTTGTCGTAGCTGCCCGACTCACCGAAGATGCTAGTGTTCGCGTGCTGGTCATCGAGGCCGGCGCCGACAAGAGAGATGACCCTGCTTTAGAGACGCCCGGTCTTGTTGCTGGGGCTTATAGTGATGATCGCTTCATCTGGCCATTCCAGTCAACTCCACAGGTGAGGACGAATGCTTCTTCAACGAGGCCAATATGTCCGGCATGCTTATCAAGTTGTGATCATTAGACCGAGTTAAAAGGTCGTCACCTTCGACAGGATACCGGCAAGGTCCTGGGTGGCAGCTCATTGACCAATTTCATGATGGCCATGTTTCCCTCGCGCACCAATTTAGACACATGGGCTCAAATGGGAAATAAAGGCTGGTCCTACGATGACCTCGCTCCTTACTTCCAGAAATTCGCGACATCACACCCTCCGAGCCAAGCTATCAAAGAGACATTAGGAGGCCTATCTTACTACCAGGATGACATTAAAGGCAACGGCCCCATCCAGCTCTCCTTTGACGACCAATACGCGGACATGAACAAGAATTGGTTCAAGACCTTTGCCGAGATGGGGCTAGAGATGAAGACGGATCCCAGGACAGGCAGGGCCATCGGTGCATTTCAAAATTCATCGACTATTGAGCTTGGGAAGAACACTCGAAGCTCATCCGTCACCGCATACTACACGGAAGAGATCGCCAAACGACCGAATTTGAAAGTCTTGTTGGAGACGACGGTACAGAGAATCATCACAGAGACCCGCAACGGCCAAGTCCTCGCGACCGGCGTAGAAATCAAAGATAAGGATGGCAAAGTTAGCACCCTCTCAGTCGGCAGAGAAGTCGTTCTCGCCGCGGGAACCATTAGAACACCACAACTGCTGGAGCTATCCGGCATCGGCGACCGCGACCTCCTCGAGAGTCTGGGCATCAACGTCGTGATCGACAATCCCAACGTAGGCGAGCACATGCAAGACCACCTCATGACGTCGCAGCAATTCCCCGTGAAAAAAGAATACCCGTCGGCAGACGGCCTCCGCGACCCGGAGAGATTCAAGGCGGCCTTCGAGCAATACGCCACGTCAAAGCAAGGCCCGCTCGCAGGCATGGGCACAAGCGTGGCATACGTGCCCCTCGCGGACCGCAACGGCGTCATGACGGTGTCAGACCGCAAGGCGCTCTTCGACAGATACCTCTCGACGACGCCGACGCTGAACCCCGTGCAGAAGCGCGAGTTCAAGCTGATCCGGTCGCTCCTCGAGGCCGAGACCGAGCCGGCGATCCAATACCTGTGCTTCCCGGGCTCGTTGACCGTGACGCCGCACCCGGAGACGCTGACGGACATGTTCACCTCGCACGCGCCGTACGACTGCGTCGGCATCATGTCGTTGCTGAACCACCCGTTCTCGCGGGGCAATGTGCACATCTCCTCGCCGGATGCGTCGGTGCCGCCGACGTGGAACCCGAATTACTGCTCGCACCCGCTGGACCTCGAGATCCTGGCGCGCACGGTGGGCTTCGTCGAGAAGATCGTGAATACCCCGCCGTACAGCGACATGATCGACACGAGTCTGAAGCGCCTCCCCGACGCGAAGGGCGACGACCTCGATGTCGCGAAGGACATCGTGCGGGGACGCACTGTGTCTTGCTTCCATATTGCCGGGACGTGTCGCATGTTGCCGCGCGAGCTGGGGGGCGTGGTGGACGAGAAGTTGATCGTCCACGGGACGGCGAACATCCGCGTCGTCGACGCGAGTATGATCCCCTTGGAGCCGCTGGGCAATATCCAGACCACTGTGTATGCTGTTGCTGAGCGGGCTGCGGATATCATTAAGGAGAGCAGGAAGATCACGCTGCCTATACGCTGAAGATTATGAAGTACCTACTTACTTTGATGCTAGAGAATAGATAAAAAGGGGTCAAGATGTAGACGTGGATATGACCCGGGAGTAACTCGACGGCATGATAATGAATGTACGCAGTATCTAATGTAAAGATCCCGAAGAATCGAGGTGATTGTTCCTACATGTCTTCAGTCTGCTACCAAGCTGCCTTGCATATCAGAGACATATACCCCGTTAGTAAGCGCAGGTATCAGAATCAGTACCAAGGCGAAATCGAGCTGCTCATGAACTTAACTGCGTGTTCAAATGGATGTTAAGAATTCATCCATCTCAGTACGGAGTATTCATATGTACTTAGTAGTTTATACGCATATGTAATGAGTGATAGCAGAGAGTTATAATGGAAGAGTGCCAAGCAAAGGTAAGAAAATAAGCAACACACTAACAGGATCGAACTTGGTTCGTTCTGTTACGTAGAAGCAAAAACAAATGGCAAAAGCGAAGTTGTTGTTCGAACTGAACCGTTGGGCCAATTCGGCTTCGTGGGTTGTAGCTACTTCGCTGAAGAATCTTAACACTAGTATCTTATATATCTCAACAATCAGACCCCCTTTGCGAGTCCTTATAATAAGTCGGCCTTTACAATTCAAAACGCTTTTCTATGTCGGCGCCAGGAATCACCAAGAGCATATTTTGTTTGCTGGACGCATTGGAATTGCGGTAATATTTTCTACATGACCGAAGCAACGAGCCGGATGAATAACCTAATTCCCAACGCCTAAACATGATACCAACATCGTAATCCGACACAAGTATGTCTTTAAAAAGACCAGGACTCCGCTCCATCATTAACCTCATCGTACCAAGCCAACTCTGGAATCACCGCCGTCTACAGCGGTCCATGGCCCCAAACAAATACTGTAAAGTGACCTCAACCCAAACCCACCTCGTATCCTATACATTATAAAGCGCCCGTAAATGAAGTTCCCCAGGGGTGCCCAAGAGAACGACCGACCGATAATCTCCCTCTCCCACTAATATTGTGAATCCCAGTCTCGTACATGTCCAGTCCCGTTGTGCTGCGCTTCACCGTCGGCATTGTCAACGCGATCGACGCTTCCCTAGACGCCGATCTGCGACATGCTTGGGCGTCCTACCGACCCGCCGCCCCGTCGGAATTCCTTAAATGTAAGGAACAGGGTGGCGGCGAAGGTGGCGAACAGGAACCACACGAAGACAAGGCCGGCTTGGATCTCGCGACAGCGCTTCTGGGTGTTGTCGGAGCCATAGGCGATCCAGCCGGGTGATCTTGAGCCCTGCGATTGCGCAATACGTGTCAGACAAAGATCAATTCAATTACAAAAAGTTGTTGGATTAGGGATGTGCAGCCCTGTAACTTACCGGGTGAGCGCAGTTGACAGTAGTCAGCTTGGCGGATAATACTACTGCGCCGATGAAGGTGAAGAGTGTAGAGAGGCCGTCTAGCGCGAGCGAGACGATGGGCATGGCTACGGCAGAGATGAAGTTCGAGGCGAGACCGTAGAGCACGGCGACCCAGGCCAAGGCGCATACGAATATCGAGAAGTTGATGGCTGCGGCTGCGTGTGCTGAGTTTGCGCGGACATTGCCGAGAAGGGCGGTTGCGATGAGGACGAGGAAGAATTGCGCTAGGCGCAGGATTGAATTGACTATGGTTCGCATGGTGGAGGAATAGTCTAGGCAAATGTTCGTATTGAGGTGGTATTCAGTCGGGTTGGATGAATTCGTTATTATGGTCCCCAGCGATTGTTGCGGAGGTCCCAGCTATGTAAATAGAGGGGGAAGTTCTCGAGTGCGATATATCGGTCGTAACAATAGGATGATGGACTATTATTGTCGAAACACAATAATCGACAGCGAGATCAAAGGTGCTAATCGAGCAGAAACGAGGTTACAGTAATAGCTGGTTGCTATGACAGATTGCTTTTGTTGATTATTATCGGCGTTGCTATATAACGACTGTGGTGGTACAGGACGGGAACAGGGGTCGAGAGAGAAGAGCAGATCTGTGTGTCTGTGGCCCCGGATTTGTTAATGGTTCAATGCAAGGATTCGATGGTTATTGGTGGAGTGGTTGTTTTCTGATGGCTACACTACGGAGACAATAAGAGCGAAGAGAAAGGCAGAATGGTGATGATTTGTCTGAGCAAATGGATGATGTGATTATTAGAGCGTTAGGCAGGTAAGGTAGTCAGTTATCTGAAGTAGAAGAAGCGAAGTGAAGTAAAGTCAAGTCAAGTCAAGTGTGAGATGAACTTTCTCATCAGATAGATCTATGTGGCCAGGGTCCTTCTTTTTGTTCAGGGACCTCTTGAGATGATCCCTCCAAGATGCCTCGAAGGAGTGGGAACGGCCTTGCTTGGACTAATGAGGTCATACGTTGAGTCGTGGATGTGGGTCTCCCGTTACCCACTCGCCGCTGCTCGATGATGCGTGCCATAGCAACGATCTTCTCTATAATTGGACATCTATACCCCCTTAGCAGAGCCCCTAGCAACCAGATCGCACACTAACACCGGCCTAACAGTCCACTACACCAAGTCCGCTCCGGCAGTGCTGGACCAGTACTGGGTACTGGGGTTCCAGTGAAGGACAGTGGCATGTCTCACTGTTGCATCAATTCCCACGAGCCGCGCGCCAATCTCGGTCCCAACGCCTCACCGAACGCCGCGAGAATGTTCCTAGCCATTCATTCTACATACTTCTATAAATGTTAGTTTCATGATACGATACAATACAATACCATGCTCACACACTCTGTCAGATTGGATTATCAGATATCATCATAATGGACTGCTGTCCGCTTCAGTCCCCGGTAAACCCACCCCGCCGGCCTGGAGCCTCTCGATGGCCTTCTTTGCCTCTTTATCCCACTTGGTCAAACCCACGATGCCCCATTCAAGAACTCCCACGATGTACAAGGCCACGCAATTGCCGAGCCAGAGGCCCCCCAAGCCCCAGCCGTGGAACGCGAGATATATCCCCGTTGGCAGTGCGCCGCCGTAGTAACTGACGAGGTTGACCAGCGCTCCAACCCATTGCTTCCCCATCCCCCTCAGTGCCCCGCCACAGCTCCCGTTCAGGCCGTCCGCGATCTGGAACAGTGCTACAAGCGGCAACACCTCTGCTACGAGGCCAACGACGCGCTCGTCGTCGTTGAACATCTTGCCAAACACGTTCCTCGTGCTCATGAGGATGCTCAGGATGATGGCCCCGTTCAGTACCGATAGCACCGCCGCACAGTGCGCTGCCCGAGCTGCATCCCGTGATCTTTGTGCGCCCAGGAGGTTGCCAATCCGAGAGGAAGCGGCAACTCCCAGCCCAAAAGGAATTGTATTGATGATCTGATCCATGGTCATGATAACCGACTGCGCTGCTAGTGGAATCATCCCCAGTCGTCCAGCTGCCAACGCTACAATCTCAAAAGCCCACCATTCCGTGCCGACGTGCACGACACCCAGCAACGCTAGACGTGTAAATGGCCAAAGGTGGGCGATAGCCACTCTCGGGTTGAGTCCGCCCCAGCATTCGTAACCACGGACGAACGCTGCGTAGCCCACGAGGAGCAGGAAAGATGCCCAGTAACTGATACCCGTAGCAATCGGCGCCCCGTACAGTCCGATCCCCAGTTTGTGGACAAGCAACCAGTTTAAAAGTATGTTGAGCGGGGCCGTGATGAAAAGAACATAGGTTCCCGGCTCATAAATTCCTTGTGCTTGCAGATACTTTTTCATCGTTTCGAACCAAACGTACCCAAGACCTCCTGGGATGAGGATCTGCAAGAACTTAGCACTCTGGACGCAGATAAACTCTTCCTGTCCTAGAGCACGGAATAGCGGTTCCGATACGCTCCATAGTACGGCGATGATGGCATACATGATGGTGAATATGAAAATGCCTCGTTGCAACAGGACTCCCAAGTCGTGTCGATCTTGTGATCCGGTGAAGCTGCTGGAAGCAAGGGTGTCAAGCGCTGTGGTGCCCCCAAGTGCAATTAACCACGCTGTTGACGTGGCAAACATGTAAGAGAAAGCAGCTGTGGCCAGCGCTTCCGGCGAGAGCTGTCCGACTATAAGGATGGATGTTGCTTGCAAACTATTCTGGAGAGCGTAGGCCAGAATCACAGGTATCGATGCCTTTACCAATATCCAAATTTCTCTAAGCCATTGTCGATACTGAGGTCTGGCATCATCCTGATCTCCAATAGTCGGCTTTCGTAACAACGCGGTCGACTCGGTAATAGGGGTTGAAAGTCGGGATGACGGTGACGACGGCAGGTTCGAAGAGTCTGAAGTTTCTGTCATGTTGTTCGATGGCTTGATAAAGATTGAACGGCCATTGGTAGGTGGTTGATTCTTCAGGTTGGGTAAAGGTCTCTTGTAAAGGTTTAGGAGATCTGCTAGATTGGTTCTCAGCTATACGCCAAGTTCTGCTCGACTAGGTAATACCGCACCTATTCGAGACCCGACATTATTACGGACTGCGGCCCGTTGTCCTCATATCTCAAGCAACGGACTTCGCCAACGACCAGGTAATCACGACAAATGAACGACAAATGCAAAGATCTGGAAGAGTGATAAGAGCGAATCAGTGGGTATTCATTACATTGCGTAAGTAGTCACGATTTCTACGTCCTTTGACAACCATTCTGGCAACACTACAACGGCTCCCGCTTATCTGGTACGTCGTTGTACCAGAACAATAAGCACCCTTATGGTACTGCGGTCATCAATTAACTATACCCCAATAGCCAGATTCTGTGTATATCACACACAACTATTACCAATAAAACAAGGTGCATAGGATACTCAGTTGGCTGGCTTCTAGGGCGAGTTTCGTGTGTTGTGCATATGCCAAGCGCTATTCCGTCGATTGACGATTGACGTGGAGTTCTACCTTATCCCTTTAGGCAATCGATGCGGTCAGCTTTGCGGGCCCGGCGCCGTGTTATAGGTGGACGGCCGCCGGTGCGTTATCTAAGACCAATGGAAATATGTAAGTCTTTTGTTATTCCAATTGCTTTTCTACCGCCCTCCCGTGATAGGCAAAGGCATCAGGATACTGTAGGTGAAGCGGTGGGGTTTGGGGCTTCTCTTACTTACTGTTGTATGCATGTAGGTAGATCGCATGCTTCTTGAAGATTAGGTACTTCTCGGCACATCAATGCAAGCTGTTGTACGTCTGTTGAAGATACGTTGGATTGGTCCAGAGGGGCGGAGTTCTTTCCGTACGACGATGCTCTTATGATGTACGTGCAGGTGCTGTTGTGCCACGGCTAGTGATTGTTGGTTAGAACTCGTATCGTAAGTGCTTCGCCAATCTTGTATCCTCCGTCTGAAGCATGAACAACTAGATGGACGTCTATGGAATTGCAGACTCATACACAGCTAATATATTGTCACACTTTTTCCTTATCTTCCTACATACGCCTTCCTACGATCCAAGAGTCATACCTGATCATGTCGGGTCTACGTAATCGAGTCATTGCTAGTGCAACCCACGACTTATCTTCGCGTCTATGTGAAGTATGAGCAGGCGCTTTTTATTTTCTCATGCTCATCTTAACTAGTTTACATAGCTCGTATCAGATATTTCATTGTTCGAGTTGAAGATGAAACGCTGAATACTTGCAATCTTCGGTCCTTGAGGGTTTGAACTTGCTCGCGTCTTTCTGTTATGTTCCGAGGTACAATGGCATTTAACATAGCACGCACATGTATCCGTATACACGATATGGTGATTCGAAAAGGAACTGCCTGTTCAAGGGCATCAAATTGACTCGTTGCCATCTTGGAATTTGATTGTAAAGCTTCTTGGAATCGACCGTGAAGACCGATTATGAGGTCCTTTTCATCTTGAAACCGTGAAGTGACTGCTAGGCAGCTCTTGTCGATTTGTTTATTAGACAAGGGAGAGGAATCGCCTCGATATTGGCACTATACGAACTTATAGAATGTAAGTTACATGTGGTCCCTACCGTTCGGTCCTAGCATACCGACAACATGGATCACTGGAAATATTCACCCCGCCTCCCCATCCATGAGTGCGGAGAACCCAGACGTGACATAAGATCGTGGGCCGACTTGCCGGTTAAATATACTCGCCGTATCGGACGGGAGATCCGCATACCCGAATGGAATATGTACGGCCGGAGAAATTTCTACTGTCAAGACGAAGCACAATGGCACCCGAGTACGCGGGACCAAGAATCTATAAAATGGGTCACGACGCCGGCCCCCCTTCCGATCTCGAAAGTAGAGCACCAGGGTCGTCCCTCTCCTTCACACGATGAGACTGCCAAATCTGATATCGACGCTGAGCTTTCTCGTGGCCATTGGGCCCGTAGTTTCGGCTGCCGCTCCAGTGAGTCCGAGGAACTCGACTTATTATAACCCGATCCTGCCCGGCTGGCACTCGGACCCGTCATGCGCGCAAGTCAACGGGACATTCTACTGCGTGACGTCGACATTCATCTCGTTTCCAGGCCTACCAATCTACGCTTCCAAGGATCTGGTCAACTGGAAAATGGTCAGCCACGCGTGGAATCGCGAAAGTCAGCTACCAGGCGCCAGCGCCCGCTCGACGGCGCAGCAAGTAGGCATGTTCGCCGCGACCCTACGATACCATGAGGGCCTATTCTACGTTATATGCGAGTACCTCGGCGTTTCGGCGCGCAATCTGGGCGTAGTCTTCACCTCGACGGACCCGTTCGACGACCGCGCCTGGTCCGACCCAGTGACGTTTGAATCGGACTTCATCGACCCGGACCTCTTCTGGGACGACGACGGGAAAGCCTATGTCGCGACGCAGGGGATAGTGCTGCAGGAGATCAACCTCGCGACGGGCGAGCTCAGCCAACCGCCCATCAGCCTCTGGAACGGCACGGGGGGCGTCTGGCCAGAGGGCCCGCATCTGTACAGGAAGGACGGATGGTACTATCTCATGATCGCGGAAGGCGGGACAGCGACGGACCACTCGATCACGATCGCGCGCTCGCGGAATCTGAAGGGTCCGTACGCAGCGTACGAGAACAACCCGATTCTGACGAACCGCGGCACAGATGAATATTTCCAGACCGTCGGCCACGGGGACTTATTCCAGGACGAAGCGGGGAATTGGTGGGGTGTAGCTCTGGCGACGCGCTCGGGGCCGGAATGGGAGATCTACCCCATGGGTCGCGAAACGGTGCTGTTTCCCGTGACATGGGACGAGGACGAGTGGCCCGTCCTACAGCCCGTCAGGGGCAAAATGAGCGGCTGGAGGCTGCCGCCTCCGACTAGGAAGGTCCCTGGGACTGGTCCCTTCAACACCGACGACGATGTGTACGATTTCAGGAAAGGCGAAGAAATACCCCGTAACCTGGTATACTGGCGCGTGCCGCCACAGGGCGTAATTTCAATTGCGGAGAAGGGCCTCCAGATGATCCCTACGCGGAACAATCTCACTGGCACCCCGGAATCCGCGACAACGCCTAAGTTGACGGGTCAAGCGGGTCTTTCGTTTATCGGAAGGAGACAGACGCATACGCTGTTCACATTTAGCGTCGACGTGTCGTTTTCTCCGAGGGGTGTCGACCAAGAAGCTGGCGTCACGGTATTCCTGACGCAGTTCGCGCACATTGATCTCGGCATCGTGCTCCTCGCGCCATCTGATACAAGTAGCTCGAGCGAAGCGCCTCCTAAACCAGGGAAACCTGAACTAGCATTCCGGTTCCGCGCCGAGGGCACGGGGACCCCGTCTGCGCCGAAGATCGTGCCGGTTCCATCGGTGTGGCGCCACGGGAAGATTAGATTGCAAATCGAGACGCTAAATGCGACGCATTACAGTCTGTTAGCTATGTCTGCTGATAATCCCAGGGCGAAGCTGACGATCGGCACGGCGTCTGCGGGCCTCGTGAGCGGTGGGAGCGGATCTTTCGTCGGCAGTCTTGTGGGTGCTTATGCTACCTGCAATGGAGCTGGGTCGGGACACGCTTGTCCTGAGGGCGGCAACGCGTATTTTAGTCGTTGGAGGTATAGGGGTGAGGCGCAGTATATATCTGCTACGGAGAGCGTCCGATTTTAGCACTGGGTAGTATGCTTGGTGTTATGAGAATACGAGGACGCGAGACCGTAAACAGATTGACAAGGAAAGAATGAAAATATCATTTCTTTCAAGAGTCACTCATTATCATTAATCTATCCCAAATCTATTCTTTATACCCTTTAGCTCTAAGTCCCATTTCTATCCATGCCAAGTAAGCCATAACCCATATACGGAAGCCCATTTGATATTGCATAATCCCATATCATAATCGTCGTGGTATGCCAGCCAGCTACTTCTTCTCGAAATTGTCAGGTGCCACCTCGACGATAGTGACCTGACTATCTGAGATACGGGCTATCTCCGCGTCGATGAAAGCCTGCGGCCGGGTAGGCTGGATCATCTCCTTCTTGCCGCAGACGAGCCACGAGGGGTTGCGGAGGAACATCTCGTCCATGTCTTCGAGCTTACGCCCCGCTGTCTCCGGGTAGAAGAAGTATACCAGGGGGAAGAATAACACGCAGAGGATTGCGAAGACTGCATGGGCGGATTTCATAGTCAGATTGTGATGGCGAGAAATATTAAGTGATGAGAAGAAACAGAGCGGAGAAGAGCTTACTCAAAAAGAACGCCCATTGCAGATTGTCGATGCCGACTTTGGTGAATTGCACCACTGCGAATCCTGTTATCCAGTTGGTAGCAGTAGCTGCACCAGCTCCACGAGTACGCCAGCCTATCGAGTTTACTTCCGCCGCGTAGACTGCAGAATCAATCGTCAGTAGCCTTGTCTACGACTAAAGCTCTCTGAAAGCAGGACCTGGAGTTTGCGGAGTCCGCATAGTGTGGAAATTGCCATGTCAAAACGTGAACAGTTGGCGAAAAGAGAAGATAGAAAGGCGAGAAGTTACTTACCCCAAGGAATGCCTGCCCATGTGGGCGCGAAAACAGCATGGTAGATTATGATGAAAGCCACTGCCACATTACCAAACTAGAATATGATCAGAATTCAGGGACTGCTTCTTCTTCGGAGTCCAGGACCGCTTACAACTTTCATCCTCGCAGGGTCATCGTGGCTACCTTTCAGCGCCAGGGACGTTATCAGATGACAGGCCGCCATAAGCAGTGAGCCGTATAACATAAGTCTTCAATTATCAGTTTCACGCAACTAGTAGAGCGTCTGAGGGAAGGGACTCACTTGCGTCGTCCGAGGCTGTCGACAAAAGCCAGACTAAAGAACGCGGCGATGAAGTAAATCGTGCCATTTACCGCGGCGAGCAATCGGCTTGTTTGCAGACTGAATCCGACAATTTCGTGGAGTAATGTGGGTATGTAGAACCCCTATGTACCAACATATTAGCAAGAGGACATACATCGGCCGGTCAAGGAGAGGTTTATATCAGTACCAGGCTATTGATCCCAGAGAACTGCTGCATGAACTGCGTTCCGCAGGGCAGGATAAGACGCCGGAGATTCTGTGTCCTGTCTCGGTTTCGGAGGACGTCCGCCAAGGGCACTCGGTACGACTTCTCGAGACGGATAGACGCCTTGATAGAGTCGTAATCAACCCTCACCACGTCGCTATCAACAGACTCATCGCCAAGTCTCGCGAGCACCTGCTTCGCAGCATCATCGTGGCCCACGAGGAGCAGCCATCTCGGACTCTCGGGCACAAGTGGTGCGAGCGGGAAGATGATCAACGCAAAGAAGAGCTGAAGCAGCAGAGGAAGCCGCCATTGCAACGCGTCGCTGCGGAAGGACAGTGCATAGTTGATCCAGCTTGAGAGCGCGAACGAAGTCACGTTAGCCGAAGCCCCGATGACGAGGAGTCGGCCACGGAGATGGGGCTTCACGCATTCTCCTAGGTACACTGGGGACATTGTCGAGGTTATACCTATTCCGATGCCATTGAGTGTTCGCCCTATGACGAGCTGGGGCAGGCTGTATGCGGAGCCCTGGAGCGCGGCGCCGACGGTGTTCAGGATGTGGCCTGCTATGATGGTCTTCTTCCGTCCGAGCTTGTCGCCTAGTGCGAAGGCAACCAAGGCACCGACGAATGCTCCAAGCTAGGAAGGACCGTCTATTGTTAGAATTCGCACAGGAAATCGATATCGGAAAGAGTGTAAGACTCACGAAGAAACTACTCGTCACCGCGCCGGATATATTCCCATCGTTGATCTGTGGGAAAAGGTTCAAAAAGTCTTGCGATACAAGGACACCGGCAAAGACACCCTGTCCAATTCTCATCAGTTTGGGCATTCTCTCAATGTCATCTTAGACCACTAACCTGGCAATACCCAAACCAGCAGGCGGACACTGGTTCCTAAGTATCAGCAACTCGTAATGTCATGCTGTTGATCGTGGGTTTGGTGTACTGACTTGCATCGATCAGCGTCACCAAAGCGACTAGTAGGCCACCTCGGACCCCATGATTTGAAATGACAGCCATAACGATGGGAATTGAGCTTTCAACAATTGAACACTACAATGTTACGTACAGCACATATAATTGACTTCTTAATAGACTAGCATCAGGGAAGAGTGAGAGAGCGGCCGATTTTCACAGCCCTCTATATATCAACCGCTCCTTTATTTTATTTTGTCTCAATCCGCTCGCTACCAATGTACACGATTCCGTGTCGGACTCACGATATTTGGTTCTTCCGCCCTCGCGACCATGCTATTGCAACACGTTCCACGCCGGATCACACACTTACCCACAAGACCCGCCGACCGCGGCGCTTGTTCCGTAGCGGACCGTTAGCTGTCACCACCAATCTAGACCTCGTTTTAGAAGGTCCGGGTCTCGACAACTGGACGACAGTGCGGAGATATCTGTTGGTCAAGCTTTTCTTGTGACCAACAAGTTTTTCACCGCCCTCCGGTTCGCGCTCGGGTGGGCTTCCTGCACCGAGATGGAGACTGCTATCTAGATAAGCCGTCATGATATCGGGCCCAATTGATAATGCAGGAAGAAGCGCGTTGGGATGCCACATAACGACGAATAATTAGGCAATTACATTTGGAGCCGCCTGTCTCCGCCTAAGGTGGAATAACTAGCTTGCATGTGACACCCTGAGGGATTGCTCATTCATGGAATCCATAGAGATGGAATTCATAAGTAGTTTCTCCTACTGAGATGAGTGTCAGCACAATTAGTTTCCATACTACCCTACCCGTTCTGCGTTCGATAGCATAAACTCGCTCAGTGCAGATTGATTTGAAATGGATTTGGGCGGGATATTGCTAGAATCGCGTCAGAATCGCAAATGCCTCGAGAGATCACAAAAGGGGTGTTTTAGAGGGACAGACAACACGCAGAACATAGGAAACAGGAGTTGGTGCCCTCAATGCCAGGCGGCACTCTAGGCCTCTCCTCATGTCATGCCCGGAGCAATATGAGCAATATACTAATTATGGCATAAGTCTCGTCACAAGGCTCTGTCAACCCAAGCCTTTATTTTTAAACGTCGTAAGACTTGGACGAGACGCTGTTCCCGTGTGAGGTCAAGATAAAAATGGAGATTATAAACCAATAACGCCTTGCGTGTGCAGACTGGTCACCATCGGCTGAATGAGGCATACCGAGTCGAATCGTATCATCCTCAGAACACACCTCAAACCAGGTTTCTCGACGGCTGCGGAGGTGGTGCTTGTTGGAGACACGGTGGACGGTGCTAGATGGGAAGCCGGTCCCAATTCTGGCTTCTTCAGTGTAACTGTCAGGCACCTAGCCCTATAGGCTGACTTGACTCAAGGGGGTGTTCACCAACGGGCCAGTATCGAGATCAACGGAGGATATCAGTTAGCCTGGTTTACTTTACCTTCGCCGACATTGCCGCTATCGCCACCACTAAGGTGACACTGATGCAGGTCGTCTCAGACCATCGCTTGTTTCAGAAATGCAGGGTGTTTCCTCTGAGTGTGGGGGAATAAATGCCCGTCAATGGATGGGTGCCATCACATATCGTACGGTAGTGGCGGGAAAGATCAACGTCTTTCACAGCTCACAAATTGGCCGTTGCATATGGCCTAAGATGGTCGACGTCGCTTAACTTACTTAGACCGGTTCCGCAAGGCTGCTTAGCTCTTCGCTACCTACGGTATTGACAAATGAACGACACGATGCTACGCAGCGTCAGTAAGGTTCCTGTCCTGTTCTAGGGTTCGTTACCTCATAGGTATTTTGGTCCTCGATAGTGTCATGTCAACGGTACACACCGTTAGCAACTCCATGTGACTCGAGTGACGATGGTATTTGATAGGCAAGCTGACCTATCAGGAGAGCTTCACCCATCAGTGCTATACATATGGGGGCTGCCTGTAGTGATGACATGCCGATACGAGAGTAGCATCGAACTATAACGGGTGTTGTCTTTTACTGTAGAGGTTGTCAGTTTGCCTATAACCTTACTGAATTCGGAATCAGTATCGTTGCCGGACCAAGTGCAGTAAATGGCGCCGTTCCTATTCTAGATTCTGGCCATTGGGGTCTTCCCGGGCTGTGCCGCACGGGAGCAGCTCAAACCAACAAGTGACCCTCCACAACGACCCGACCCGGTGGTGGATTGGGTATGAGGCGCTGGCGATGTTACTGATCCACTCCGACGTCACAAATAGCGAGTCAAGCCAGCGCAGATCAATATTCGCTTCGCCTCGGTGGTCGGCAATCTGGCAAGGCGAACTAGAGGACAGAAGAGGAGTAGCAACCTGTATGGAACTTCACTAAGGCGAAGGGAAGTCCTTGAATGTAGTCTATAGCCGGCCGGGATTGTGACCATGTTCATAGCCGCAACGCCATAACATCGAGACAATAGCAAGACCGAGTTGTAAGCAGTCGGACCGAACGGGTAAGTATCTACGACACCGGTAGACACGTCGATTATCGGTGGCTGAGTCGGCTTGATTTAGTCTAGAGAGACACCTATGCAAGGGACTAACCTTAGAATGACATACTTTCAGGCGTGTTAGGATGTCATGCATAACGGGAATGCTAGATGCGCTGCCGTGGGCCGATTGGAGCGTTTATCATGAAGTTTTGTGAGATGGGTGACGAGTATAGCTTGAAAGTCGTAGTGACGATGGGGGCGTCAAGGAGGGGCACGAGGAGCACGAGGGGTTTGACGACGAGTTTGGGACTTATCTAGACAAGCCAAAAGAATATAGACGTCGGCTGATGGCACATGCCAACCATGACGAAGGGTACATGTAGCGGTACCATGCAATGTCAGTGTGACACTTGTGAGCAGCAACTCGCCAGACTCTAGTCTAAGACAAGCCACGCGGTTGAGTGGCATTCCGCGCGGGTGTGCAAGTAGTACCTAGGTACTGAGAAGAGCGATCGATCATCAATCACTGCAGTCTTACCATAGGCGAGCGGCTGGCCTGGAAGCTTCGTCAGGAGCCCCCAAATCTCAGGCACCGTGTATGTGTACACGAGGTGGCTACACTCATGTGGTGTAGAGTAATGTTGTAGCATCCTCAGTCGCAACGCGGGGTGCGATAGCAGCAGAGAAGGTTTCACGATTGCCAACTACCATAAAGTGCAGACTCGCGAAGTCGGGAGATGTCCCTCTCTCCCTCCCTTCCTCTCCCTCTTTCTTTCTCTCTCTCCCTCTCTCCTCTTTCCCTAACACGGAAATGAGACAGGCTAAGAGATGAAGAAACTGACCAAATTAAGACCTCCAATGAGCTCGACTATAATTAAAGATTAAGCGCCGGACCGGAAGGCTGTGATAATGATGATGTTATTGGTCTTGGCTTACCTATTGTAGGACCTGCGGTCATCTTGCGGGGACTACAGAATACTACGCTGGTAGCGTGGGTGGAAAAGTTATGCTGGGGAGAAGGGGAAAGGGAAGACAAGGGGTGGAAAACACATGATCTTGTGCTAGACACCTAGGGAGTTGTCTAACTTTACCTACTTACTTATTGGGTAGTTAACCTATATGTAGATATTTTGGTCAGATACGTGCATACATAGTAAGTTCAGGAGTATAATTAAGTCCTTAGTAAGTCCTGCCGTAATGAGGCCGCTGACAACTTGGAACACGGTGCCTAATGCCGACATTGTCTTGTATTATAGTATAGCACTGTCAACGGTAAATTGCTGGTAGACTGTCTTTGCCTGACTAGCATTCCGATACGCTATCTGAGTAGTTCGGTAGGTAGTGTGGTATATTCGCAACTCGCAACTCTCTTTCTCGCAACAAGCCTTGGGTGGAGGAGATTGCACTTTGTCAACTCGCATTTGACTACCTATAAGTTATACTTAACTACATAGTACTACAAGTACTTACCTACTGTACACCACTGTCGGCATTGTGCAACATCACAGTAGACGCGTACAGTAGGCCCTACTGTGCAATAATGCAGCAAAGTACTCTCTTGGGCTATATTTAAAGGATCGTATTGCTTACACACAGGACTCTAAAAGCAGTACCTACCCAACGAGTAGGTACCAGGAGTCAGGAGTCAGGAGTATAGCAGGGTAGCACCAGTATGCAGGAATTAATCATCAGCCCCCAACAATGACCTCACCACCAGCCCCTTTCGAGTCTCTCGAGCTGCCACGAGTCGCTTAATCGATCGTGTCGCGCTTATTATTAAGGTAGACTGACTGGTTTTCTGTTTCTGCCCGCGAGATAGTAGAACGTGTACCTACATTGGATTCCACCGGCCCCCATCTTCACCATCCCCTCGGGCCGCTGCCGAGCGCTAGACGCCTTCGCACGTTTAATAGGCGCGGCGTCCAAACGAACGGATTGACACAGATCTAGGGCTGGGCGATTTCCCCTGCAGCTAGCGGTATACTGGTACCACTCTTCCTACTGTACATACAGCACGTCTCACCAAGGCGTTCGTTCGACGGGCTGAGGTGACGTAAGGTGCTCAGAAACCAAAATCCTCAGATGATACCTGTGACGGCCTGCCTACCTTATTTACCGATACACCATACGTGTGCATTGTTCAAGTAGTGTAAGTTCAGGTAGTTGGAGGAGCTCTTCGAAAAGCACAAGCGGTATCTACTAGCCGCACCGTGCTGCATCTCTGTTATAAAAATAGGACTTTTAATGCTTATTTGCCCAAGTGGGTGCTCCCGCACTCGGCAATAAGGCCAATCGCCGTCGAGAAAATGCCGTCTAAGCCCTCTTGAGTCGGCTTCTTCTTACCTGGCGCAAGACGTGCTCTCTTGGCATTAACTCTTGGCGCTGGAAACCAGGGCAGAACCCTGGGATCCTGGGACACTGGGACCCTTGGAGCCAATTGCTCGCCAATGGTGCTGCAAGTAAGACGATTATCAACCAGGAGGATTTGAACCAACAATTGCTCCCTGTCTCCAAACAGGTGCGGAAGCGCAATCAGAGAAGTCAACCTCTCCAAACCCAACGGCCGGGCTACAAGATGCTCCCGCACCATGCCGTTGATCTGGTGGTCTGAAACACGGAGACGGAATGAGTGACCCGAGGAAGAAAGCCTTACAGGGCCGGCTGGGTTGGACGAAATCGCCATGAGAAGGAGGTTTAATAGACCATGCGGTGTACGAGTAGACGACGGCCACAGAACAGGCCCTGAACAGGCCCTGAACATCTGTCTGCCTTGGGAGACGAAGTAACATTAGAAGGTTCCAAGAATCATCATGCTGAGCTGTGTTGTGCTTTGCTGTTCATGTCACTCATTGCCGGTGCCTGCTGTGTATCATAACGGCCAACCTCCGGCCGCGTGTATCTGCGTATGTAGGCGTATACTTGTTGTATGCGTCGTCTTCCCTTACACTGGATCAACGTAGAATCCCCCAACCCCAGCATTGGAGGATCCCGCCTGCTCACACCCTGCTCGCCAGTCGGGCGTTCTCCTGGATCGATTGAGGATCTTCAACGCTTCATCTCGTCAACGGGAGACACATGCACTCCCTCAACCCCGCGCCTCGCGTTACCAACAACGCCCACAACGAGCGACCCCCGTGTAAGCTGGGGTGGATATAATTGTTCCAGTGTAGTGTATGCAACCAGAGCCCAAGCTTACGCTGCCGTGCAATAGGTGTAGGGAAGTCTGCGCTAGGTACCTAGGCATCTCAGGATGGATTTCCGCACCCGGCATTTACGGCTCCCAGTTGTCTGGCCCAGTACACGTGTAACGCAATGCAGTGCGGTGCAGTGTCTTAGACAATCTTGAATAGAGGACCAGGTGTGCCATCTTGCGCAGCTATTGCCCGAGAAACCTGGCCATCTCAATCATCAATCAGATGGCAGTGCAAGACACAACTTGAATTATGGTTATAATTACATGCTTGCATAACCGTTTTTGGTGTTATGATCCGACTGCACGCACGCTGCTAGTGTGCTATACCGAACATTTACTAATACATGTAGTACATGGCAGACGTGTAGTACTTCTTGGGGTTACCTGTATGCAACCACAGACACCAGACCAGACTGCGCCTTGCCTGCCAGCAAGCGTAATAAGGATTAGATCCTAGCAGAGCTGTACGATGAGCTACCGACAGTAAACTACTGCACCGACCCAACTCGATAGCACTCGACCGAGAGATGCGTGGGCCGACCCTGAGACTACTGGTATCCCTTCAATGCCACGCAGATATATTCCTGACAAATTAGACCTTGATGGCGAAAGGGTAGCGTTGTCTCCAGCCAGGCGCCCGACCCTCTGCCGGGGCCGTGACCGGGACCGTGACCGGGACCCATCGGGGGCTCTGTCGCCAACAACACAATACGACCTGTGTTGTGACATACCGTCCATGGAGACCAAGGAGGTACTTCGTAGATAACACCATGAAGAACTTGGCCCAAGGTCGACACCTGTGGATAAGGCTCACAAGTGTCTTGCCAAACCATAGTATTGTCGTTCACGATGTTGCTGACCCCTGATGGTGAAACACACCAACAGTTTGTCTCAGCCATCATGTAACCTTGGGTGGTATACTTGTATCCCTCGTGAAATCGAGTCCCTTTCCAACGTCTATACCAGTATTGCACCTTTCACTACAACACTGCAACACTACAACAAGGTACAGTCTCCTACTGTATACTACCTACCCGCACATCCAGCTCTACGTCAGCGCATAGTCCACATGGCCCAGCGGCTGCTGTACAACTATCTCGTTAGCAACTCCAGAAGGCAGTGTGGTATGGCGTGCATTAGATAGACACATGCTGAAGAAAGCATGGAGCCACTTGCATGGTAACTACGGTATTGTTCTTGCTGTGCTACACTGCACTGCACTACACAACTTGATGGAATATGCCGCCACAACTCACCCAAAGTAGGTACTTGAACGCTCACTTGTGGTGGTGACTAACGCATCATGGTAACAAGGTGGTCCGCCTCTTCTAATTATGGCAGTCCTGGCACGACCCAGTCTCTCGGATGCGGGTCCTGCTTTGTGTCTCGTGCTCGTGATTCGTGAAGCAGCTCACACCACTCGACAGCACCATTCCCAGAGAAGAGATGCCTGTGGAGCGAGGGCCTCCTCCCCTCGCACGCTCCACCATAGTCTACGTAGTGTACCGACTATCTACTCGCCTATTTACATCTACAATACCACGGCGACGACAGCAGCGGGGACGGGGATGTGGGTTGGCCACGATGACACCAAGCTATTCCCCGGCGGGGGTTGGCGGATGTGGGCTCTTCGACCCATCATGGATGAAAGTACGTATGTTGGCCGTGGGAGTAACACGCGATGAAGAGGCAGGTGATGTTACAGACTACGGCGTAGGACTTGTTTGAAGTGGCCCGAAAGGAAGGCCTCGACAACTGGGAGAAGTCTCGACTGCCTTGATCTTCGTCGTCGTTGTCGCACAGTTGGCGAGTTACAAGTAGTTAGGTAAGGCGACCCGGCCTGCCAAGTCAAGCCTGTCGGCTCGGTCTGGCGCGCGACCTTCATCTCAACTCCATGCAGGCATCTCTTCCAGCTGACAGGGGTCTCACGTCCATCCATGCACGTCGGTCTGCACGTACAGGCCTGCAAGGCAACGGCCCAGCCTGCTCTGCCCCAACTTGAGGGTGGTAGCAGTCGTTGAATTCGGTCCCTATTTTATTTTAATGTTTTTTTTTGTCTTCTGTCTGTCAGCCAGTTTCTTGTCTCATTATCCGCATTCGATCGGCCCTAGATCTGAATATAGCAATGTCACGCAGCCTACCGTTACTTTTCTGCTGGTATTTCCGTCCTATTGCAGACGGAGACACTGGATACCTGCCCTCCAACGCTCGCAGAATACTAGCCAGGCCACGCTCATGAGAAGGCTGAATAGCTCGGGTGCCTTTCCTTGATCCACACCCCCCGTCAACTCACTCCCTCTCACGACCTATTCTAAAGTCTATACTTTATTTATCAAAGACAGGGCTGTGCGATTACTATTTTGTGTGGTTTGATTTCCATTTTGAGCCAAAGCCATAGCCTGAGCCTTTACACTTACACCTCTTTCGTAACCATGTCCGACTTGAGATATATCATGGACACCACGGACGATGAGGACCGCGGGAATGATAAGTACTCCCCTCGACCTGGTGCTTCCGACTTGGCTCGTAGTTCCAATCCTTCCTCCACGACTAAACAAAGTGAGGATAAGCTCCCATCATCTACTACTGACACGACCACATCCCAACCAAGACGACGTGGTCTATTGAGTCGATCTTCCAGATCTACAACGACCGTGTCGCCCACAACGACAACGGTGAAGACAGATAAAGCATCATCATCCCGCCCCTCCTTGACGGAAAGAGAAAGCGCTGGTAGTACTGAGTCGATGGATCCTGCTAGCTACGGAAGTTATAACCAAAGCTCATCGTCGTCAACAATGCCTCCGTCTGGTCGATCGAGTATAGCCTCCAGGCCAATGTCGAGTGCCCCAGGAGAAAGAGAGATCCCTGTCAAGCTGACCCCAATCACTGGACGTGTAAGCCGAGCCAAGAAGGGCGTGCCAGTTCACACATGCGACATATGCAAACCACCCAAGGTAAGCATCTTCAACTTCTGTCAGCCAAGAAACTTATTAATCACGCCTAGACATTCACGCGAGCGGAACACCTCAGGTAAGAGTTTTCGAAAGATGAGTGCTTATCTATCGAGGTCTTCGCTAACGTTGTGTGCAGACGACATCAATTGAGTCACAAGCCTGCTGCTTTTCAATGTCCCTGGCATGGCTGTGATAAAGTTTTTCACAGGCAGGACTTGCTTACACGCCACACTCAGAGACAGTAAGTCAACATGTCAGCCCTGTGTGAGGCTGCGGTTAACCATAGATGGCAGTGAACAAGATGATAGATCAGGGACGGATATGGCAAGTCATGGAAGTCGTGGACCGTCTCATACTCCAGTAGACAGCAACCCGTCTATCAACAGCTTCCCGCAAGCTCCTATGCTACCCGGAACTAGTGTGGCAATAGCAGATGACATGTCCGCGAACACGCCTTATCCTGGCAGTGCGTCGCCTTACCCAACGAGCCACCGCGGCAGCGTTTCGGGGCCAATGTCGCCTTCTTCACGCTCTACTCGGTCCCATTCAACTGGCTTCTCGCACTCGCAGGGTGATTACATCTTATCATCTGCTGCTCATGCTCCCTTCGGGATTCCCCCTTCAAGTATGGATGGTTCTCTTTTTCACACTAACTCTTACGGGCTGGAATTTCAACCGCGAAAGTCCCCATCATATACTTCCTACATGGGCTTGGAGGGCCTCCCTAGCTTGACAATACCTGACAGTAGTTTTCCAGGTCATCTATCTCAGGAGTCAAACTGGCCCTCCTCGGCCTCTGATAGTCCATATTCAACACCTGACAGAATGCGGCACTATGATTCGCCAAGCGCAGATATCCCCAATTCCGACATGTATTACGTTCCTCATCAGTATCCTTCGCCTCAGCCACCTATCTATCACCCGGTATCAGACTACACCACCCCTTACGATGATGCCTATTTCGATTATCCATCACACCAATTTCCTGTTCGTAGCCAGACCCCATCGACCGTTACGATTTCCGCTCAACCGGTTGAAAATTTAGTCACCCTTGGCCACTCAGTACCGGACGCCTCGGCGATACTAGGTCGTCAAAAAAGGGCGGCAGAAGTATTAAGTCCATATGCCGATGCCGCCCTTTTTGCGTCCGTGTTCCCGTCGACGGCTGCACTGAGCGCCATCCCCCATTACCTCGAGGTATACTGGAAGGGCTTTGACACCTTCTTTCCAATCGTTCACCGCCGCAGCTTAGAGACCTGTACCGATCCCGTACTGCGGTGTGCTATGGCCGCCGTAGGGAGTCAGTTTCTCCAAAGCAAGGAGGATCGCCTGAACAGCCATATCTTACATGGCTTTGCTTCGCAAGAAGCCCGACGTGTAAGTTGCATCTTCATTTATTTATTCTGGGAGCGTAACAAGCTAAGAATGTTGAAGCGTCCTCAGTGGAGCGTCCAAGTCATGCAGGCGATCCTTCTGTGCGAGTTCTACGGTCGGTTTAGAGGAGCGAAAGCAACATCCCGAGCGTCAGAGCCCTTCCAGTCGCTATACTCAAGAGTCAGTATTCCCTTCTTCTTTATCTTACCCTTGTCTGTAGATTCCCTCACATGCTTTACTATTCAGGATCATCTCTTTCGTCTTGTTCTGTCACCTCCCAACAAATATTGGCACCAATACTCAACGTCTTCCTCACAGGTGGCCGCCTCTGAAACATCATTTGATCACGACAACTCTGCTAGCACCAGCCCTCAACACTGGGACGAATGGATTAATGCCGAATCTCGCCGGAGACTTCTTGCTGCCTCTTTCATTCTTGACATACACACATCTATGTACCATGAGCACTCCGTTTTTCATCCTTTCGCTACTGCCACCCCCCCTATACCCCTAATGAAACACACTCAGCATCTTTGGACGGCCCAGGACCCAGCAGCATGGGAGGAACTACTAAGCTCAGAACCATCTCAACTTGGTTCTATAACAGTGGCAGATGAAGAAATTACTGCCAACCACGTTTCCACAGCCCTCCCCATGGACCTAGCGGTGTACCTGGCCTCGGAGGCACTCCGCCTCCCACGTCGCTCGCTCCCTTCAACCGTGGACTTCTCGACGTCACGTTTAGATCTCGACTCAACGCTACGGATACGTAGTTTATTCCCTAACTCACCAGTCGCCAACACCTACTTAGCTCTACACTATACCCCTCTCAATGACTTGCTCGCCGCCACCGGGGACAGCTGGCTATTTTCGAAAAAGATCCTCGACCAGGAAGTTTTCCAACGGCGCAAATTGATCGTCAGACACTGGAGTGGCAGTGCTCACGCAGGGGCTGCTTCGACATTCGCCGCCAAGGCCCTCCTGGGCTTCCTCGATCGTTCGTCTCAGAACCAATCCCCCTCTCCCATGGAGCAAAGCCGACAAATATCCGAACTATCAGACTACTGGGCCCTGTATGTCTGCACACTCATCTGTTGGTCTATCAACCGCACAAAGGGGCGGGATGCGTCTGCGTATCATAGTAACTCGACGTCTGGGAAATCCGAGAGCGACGCTAGAAGATGGCTGAAGACCGTGGCGAGCCTGGATCCCGAGACGGCTATCGATAACGTGCGGGCGCGGCGGGAAGCCCTCGGCGTCGTTGCGATGGTGCGCAGGCGACTCGAGCACGAGAGCAGCGGGGGCAAGAGCAAGCTGCTTGTCGATGCTATTCGCGTGCTCAAGTCTCTTGAAGATGATCCCAACAGGGCGCGTTTCTAGTTAGGAAAGGAGGTGCTTTGTTTCATTTCTTTCCTTATGACCCTTATTTCCATTTCTCACTTTTTGTATTTTCATTTCATTACTCTGTCTGACTAGTTATCTTTTCTTTCTCGGTTCATTTTTCTTCATCTCGTTTTCCTACATTTAATCCATGATCTACTTACTCATTACAGCATATATATAGACGCATGAGGGGAGCGGATACACAAACTGTAACACTATTTTTTTTTCTTTCCATAACGTATACATTCCATGGGAAAGGGGGTCGGTCGGTCAGGTTATGATCAAGAGACACACGTACGCATTGGACTACTATCGAGCGAGGGCGTTTACTATTCCATTCCTTATTTCTTCTCTTCTTCTTTCTACTTTCTCTCCATGCTTTCTTCATCTACAGCGGGCATGAGACGACGACAGGAACGATGTATGATAGTGTTTCGATTCTACATTCTCTTTTTTTTTTTTTTTTCTCGCTCTTCCCATACTGCTCTCTTCGAGGATACGATAGGGGCACACGTGGAATGACAATTCGAGGTCGTCGCCACCACGGATAACACAAAACAAAATACCATCCTTTTATCTTGATGACTAATTTGTCACATTTTCTTGACTTTTGCTCGCTTTCGGAGTTTAAAAACATTCCATTTTGGAAGTACTCATGCGGATTTTAGACGAGATAGATACTTACTCATGCACATTTGATGTACAGTACAGTGCAGTGCCCAGACGTGGACGAAGAGGCGGTAAAAACCTGATGTGCGCATTGTCCTGCCCGTCCTCGTTGAAGAATTATGTATGTCGTGCAGAGGCTTATCGGAGCCAATTCCGGCGAAGACAAATCATGTACACGCAAGCCCCATAGCGACCGACAGTAATAGCGGTCTGTGAATGCTTTCCTGCCTCTTGTTTTTTTTTCTTACCTTTCGGAGAGGATTTGCCAAGGGAGCCTGCTCTCACTGTTGTCCAATGACGTAGGGATGCCTTACGTGCCGGGCAGATACCCGTGAGTACATAAAAGGTGGAATACAGTACTGCAAACGGCCTGCAACGGTTGGAAGAGGAGAATTTAAAAAGGGTCCAATTTAGAGGGACCAGATTGATTACGACGGATGGATGGACTCGATAAGACGTTGAAGGGGAAAAGTTGGTGCCATGCAGAAGACAGGGTGGTAGATACCACAGTGGTAACGAGCTCTCTTCTTACTTACTTACAAGCACGCTACCCTGCGAGGTTCATTCACACCCAAAGTATTCAGGCGTTTTCATGTAAGTCTGTCTGCCTTGCAGTTCTCAATCCAAGTGTAATCAATATTGTACATCCATCTATTACATACTTACTTAGAAGACATGTCATACAGTAGGTACTTAGTGGCAATATATAAGTCTCAATTGATCACGTCTTAGCGCCAGCAAATTGAAGTTGAAGCTTGTGACGAGAAGAGAAAGACAGGCAGAGATCGTGATGCATGCGGGTCATAGTGGGACACGCTAGCCACCAGTTAGGTCATATCTGTGTTAGGCGGTCATGAGAAACTGCCAGATACATAGTAGATAAAAGTAGGGGTACTTCCTTAATCCCTGATATATGCAGGATAACACACTCCACATGTAGGGACGTTGGGAGCTTGGATTAGTACCTATACCTGAGTACATACCTCCTAGGTCTGTATCTTTATTGCAGCTACTAGAGGCCCCAGTACACACCTTCTAACCGATCACTCTCAGATAGAACAGAGCAAGTAACTTGATACGCAGAATGTTTATGTATATATATATATATATATATATAATCGATGGCGACTATATAGAGGCAGGCAATTGTTACCTGGCGTAGTCCTTGCGGCGTAACACAGCCGGCGGGGTGGTTGAGGTCCGAGGGTAGTTCGTGTCTGATTGACGTCGTGCGAACGAGTGGGCTGCCAGCTCAGGCATTTCACCCCTGGCGTCCCCTATCTTTTGCCCTGTCCTGCCCTGTCATCATTCCAATGTATGTACTAGATACTGTAGCAGCGTGTAGGTAATTACCTATGTATATATGCCTAGGTAGGTACCTGGTTAGTATTGACCAGAGTGCTGACTGTCTGACTGGCCTTTACTGAGTTGAGACCTAACTAAGCCTTCCAAGTTTTCTCCGCGCTTCCCGCTAAGCACAAAGGAGATTTGCGCTAGTGCAAGGAGCTCTCTTCCCAGCACAAGGAACCTACTAGCAAGCTCCAGATAGGTATCTCTTCTGATAGCAGACGGGAGTTCTTGCGCAATTCCTTCTGTTTGTCCATCGAGTTACCTACTAAATCTTCGCTATCACTATTTTTCCTACCTACCTCCTACCTGTGCGAAGCCATCATTCGTCTTTGCCATAAGCCTGTTCTATCCAAAGGAAAAGGAAGACCGAAGAAGAGGGATATCCTAGTTGTTCTATATCCCATAATCATTTCCTCTGTACCTCGTCTACGCAATCCTGCGACTATGGGGAGCTTTGTTTTCAAGTGGTAAGTCAGAACACCACCAAGATGGCTTGTGGCCAGCGACGACACACATAGAGGAAGAGCAGAGCAGCAGAGCACATCTATCATGGGAAACTACCTACTTATCCATGACCGACCGTCTTGTGCGCTCTGTCCTACAGCCTGCTTCGCATTGCTTGTCGCATGCGCGCCTCGTTCCTTCGGCTCGTCCCCTGGCTGATGGGTCCCTGTAACACTCGGGCTGTCGCCTCGTGCGCATAATTGAGCAGTTCGCTAACGGGTCGTTCGCCGTTGCTCTGAAATAGGGATCATCCTGCCAGCGAAGTCTACGTGACTGGCTCTTTCGACGACTGGAAGAAGACGGAGAAGCTAGAAAAGGTTGGCGACCATTTCGAGAAGAACGTCTCCCTACCCGACGCTTCTCGCAAAATCGATTACAAGGTTCGTTGCTTCATCTATAATCTCTACGTCGCCATTCTTCAAGTCATCTGTATTTCTTGCTATATGCTTCTGTCCTCCTCGATGCCAAACCATGTTCACCGCCATTCGAAATCGCATCTAGCCATACATAGGGCTGGACCGCGGGGGGCGCTGCTAGGTGATTCAAGTGTCGGCCCTGGGTACAACCTATCTAGGTAGGACCGCCGGGGCTGCCTGCCGCTACTTCCAGCCTCCCAGCAACGCCTGAACGAATCTTTTTACTGCGCCATCATTGTCGCCTCTCCCAATTGCACGCCAAATGTCTAGTTATTCCTCTACGATCTTGCAATGTGAGGCAAGTTGCCTAATCATCCGTCTCTCGGGAGCATAAGCCTATAACACGATACCTATGACGCAATCCGGACAGGGTGTTCCCTGGCATTTTCTAGGCATCTATTTGGGTGGTTCGAGCGGCAGTTCTGATAGGTCAATTGGGGTCTTATGCATTGCTCCAAATCGAAACTTTGTCGCGGAGGGCATGCACCCTTCCAGCAAGTGCTGTGTATAAGTCCTCGGAAAACTGGATGCTCCCGTAAGCCTGTGATCGGCTCTCCTACCTACTATGCCTTTGCCGGCACAGAGGCACATGGACAATCTCAGACATTGCGAGCCAGCGGATAGGCGCGTCATAGCGGGGCTGGCATTCTTGTGCTTTTCTGCGTGTTCATTCTGGCCCATGAGATGAGATATGCGAGCGGAGGCGTAGCTATCCTGCAGCCTCCCTACATTGCTCTAGTTCGCTTGCCATGGATGGTGGTCTTGCGTAGTCTCTGCAAACAGGTTGTTTGCTAAAAGTGTAGTATGCTGTACTAGGCTTTGTCTTAATTTTAGCCCCAGCCTCGAAGTCTATTTGGTTTCAGGTTTTCTCAGACATTGTTTTAGCCCCCAAGCTAGATTTTATCCTACCTATAACTTGTTTATCGCCCCGCCACCTGCCCGTACTAATTCGAACCTTTTCTAGTTTGTTGTCGACGGTGAATGGGTAGTTGACCACACTGCTCCTAAAGAAACGGACGCAAGCGGAAACGAGAACAACTTTCTGACCCCTGAGCGAATCATTTCTGAGGCTCCCGCTACAACCGCTATAATGAGTTCTGCTGCCCCAGATTCCACCACAGCCGCCCTAGCTGCCTCTGCTCCCTTAGAAAAGGAGACTGAGGGAAAGAAGACTGCGGATGTCGGGAATTTACCTGGGACTTTTCCCGAGACACCTGCTGCTGAATTCGGTGTCAACCCACTTCCCGCTGCCGCAGGCGCTGTGAACCCTATCAAGCTTGCGCCCGGTGAGAAAGTGCCAGAAGGATTGGCTGCTGAGAGTACTACCAGCAACGTCAAATTAGATCCTGAATCGTATGAAAAGAGCGACGCACTCCCAGGTATGTTCCTATTGTGGATATCTGTGTTACATTTGTTATGCCTGAGTTTAGGATGCTGACTGGAAATAAGGAGGTGTCCCCGTCATTCTCTCTTCGGCTGCTCCAGAATCCACCACTGCAGCTCTAGCAGCTGGGGTCCCCATCGAAACCAAAGTGCCCGAGATTGTTAAAGAAAGCCAAGAGAAAGCACATGCCGACCCCGAGGCGAGCGCAGTGCCTGAAGAGGTTGAGGAGAAGGCAGCTGTTGAGAAGGAGCTTTTAGAAAAAGTGAAGGCGGCCCCGACAACCTCTGAGGGTACTGCAGGTCAAGGAACCGAAAAGACCGAGGATGTCGTTACTCCGGGCGAGGCTGCGGCCTCTATTGCTGCTGCCGTATCTGTGGCTGCTGGTACCGCTGTTGCTGGTGCTGCCGTCGCTAAAGATACTGCTGTGGAAAAGACACAGGACGCTCTTGCGGCGGCTCAGACTAGTGCTACTTCGGCCGCTGCGCAGCTTCCTGACTCGGTGAAGGAGAAGTTGCCCGAGTCTGTTCAGAACGCAATTGGCACAACGCAGAAAGAAGAGGTTAGGGAAGAAGTTTCGCCTGAGGCACCTGCTGAAGTAAAGGCATCTATCACCGAGGCTGGCAAATCTCCTGAGGCAGCCGCCAACACAGAGGCCGTCGAAGAGAAGAAGGCTGTCGAGGCCGAGCTATTGAGCCAAATTAAGGCTGTTGATTCGTCTGCAAACGGCGAGCCTCGCGAAGAGATTTCGTCCGAAGTTCCCGCTGCGGTTAAAGAGTCTATTGACGAGTCTGGAAGATCTCCTGAGGCCGCTACGAATACGGAGGCTGTTGATGAGAAGAAGGCCGTTGAGACAGAGTTACTAAAAGAGGTTAAGCCTACAGAGACGATCGGTGAATCAGCTAAGAAGGAGGAGGCCCCTGCGGCAACTGAGGCTCCAGCGATGAAGGAGACTCCAGCTTTGGCGGTACCGGCAACGACGGAAGCGCCGGCTACATCAGTGGCTGCTGCTACCACAGAGACCCCAGCTGTTGACACATCTAAGCCAACGGAGCAGACGGCGGCAACGAACGGTTCTAAGGCCGCTGCTGATCCAACAACACCCGCCAAGCCAGCTGAGCCCAGTATTGCATCGTCCAGCAAGGCTGGCGATAGCCCGGCCACAGGAGAAAAGAAGAAGAAGAACCGACTTAGCGCCATGTTCGGAAAGGTGAAGGCAAAGTTCTCCCACAAGGATTAAATTGGTCTAAGGACTCCGGCCCGTCTGCTTTTTCCATCCGTGTAACCGGTTGTTATTTGGTTCGGTTTGATTTTCCCCGTTTTGAAGCTCATGATTCCCCTCAATGCGTCTCCCACTCTAGCAGATGACGATGACGATGGCGGATCGGCATCGCGCAAGCCCTTTTTTGGCATCTTAATGTATATACCATAAAATATCTATCGATACAACTTGAAGTTTGCTTGTACCTGTCTTAACGCGAAATGGTAATGTGGTTGAAAGCATCTTGGACCACGAGCAATGCGTATATGATGGGTGGGTTGATGATTTTTATAATTGCTGTTATGGCTGAATCTTTTCTAATGTAGTGAGGGGGTTTCCTTGTTACCTGTGTATGATGTTTGCTATATGGTAGTTGCGAAACAAACAGCCTACGCTTGGAAGCATTGCGTTTGAGGTGGTACGGTGATACTGGATAGAGGGATGGCGTATAATAATATAACTTTTACACCTAGGTAATGATGAGTATTATAACTCCCTTCCCCAGATGTGCTTATTGGTGATATAGTTTTTAAGATATGAGTTTGGTTTCAGCATGAAGGTTATTAATGGTGTTGAAGTTGTGAGATTTCTGTTACGATCGAAAGCATCGGGTAGGAAAAGCAAGCGGAAAGGGAAGTCCTCGTCGAAGAGAACATAGGTGATACGATACTACCGTCCCTACTACGAAGGTAATTAGGAGGAGAGCGGGTGGTGTTAAGACAGGCTGGCACTGTCATGTGCTATGATTATAGTATTAAAAGGATTGCGATTTAGGAATAGCTCTCTATCAGTGTATGTAATCTGAAATAATTGGATGATCGTATTATTGCTGTTCTTTTCTACTATTTCTTTCTATATTATCTTGCTCTATCTATTCTTCTGTTATTTCGAGATGTTATGTGTTAGTCAGCTGGGGGTTTAAATGTATCTGTAATGTAAGTACTATGTACCTACTGTAGGTAAGTGGGGTATGTACCACTTTGCAGTGGCGCTGTAGAGTGGATACCTACTTCGGTACTCTTCGGGTTAGCAGCATCCAGGCTATCTCGTCACCACGGTCAGACAGGTGCAGCGTCGTCTGTACTTGGGCCCCGCCAAGTCGTGACTCCTTCCTCGGATCATGCTAGGTTAACTGACTGTATTCCGGGCCCGTCGACCCATCGACCAGCCGTCCCTGGGGTCCGTTCGCTCGGAACCCTTCCTACCTACTCTACCATAGCACACTACATACAAACATCTTCCTTTTCCGTCTTCACCAGCCATCACGACCGATCACGAGCCATCTGATTATCGGTGACGGGACTAGGAGGTAGTCGTTAAGTGGAGGTATATACCCGGCAAGCCCCTTCTCACTTCAGAGACGCTTCAGAGAGACTCGCCCATCTTTCCATACATCGTCCCGACTTGGGATCAAAGTATCTAATTCGTCACAAGAAACGCCACTCCCTCTTCTTCTCCTCGTAACCACGATGAGCTCTAGTGGTTCGAGCAACCCGGGGGCCAAATCCCTTTCGACTCCGACGTATAACACTCCGCCACAGCAGATATCCACTCCCCAGTCCAGCTTCGAGTCTAACTCGCGACGATCCGGTCTCTCAAACCCGTCCCTCTCATTCCAAGCCGGTCCCAGGAAAGGGCAAGGGTCGAGGAGACAACACCGCACTCAACGACGGCCAAACGGGAACCTAGATGATGACGGCGACATGGCCGAGATTGTAAGCTGATACGAGCAAGAAAATCGTTTGTCTCTAGAATCTTTGCTAACCACGGTGAAACAGAGAGCGGTCCGGAATGCCACAAGTCGCCGTGGGCAAACTTCCATCACCCATCTTCTCAATTATTCCGTCCCCTCGCGTTACTACCAGGAACATCACAGAACAACCCGCCGTCATCCTACATGGAGTAGTGGTTCCGGCCATCATGCCGCAGATAAGGCCAGGTTTGTCATTGCTTTGACCCCTGTTCTATCCATGCAGGTCAAGTACTAAGGCATGATGGAATAGGTTTGTCCACGCCAACTACCGCTTTGTAGTCTCGCCAACTGGCGATTACCGCCTACAAGCCGCCGATGCCGATAAGCACCTCGACTGGTCCGATGTGCTTCAAATCATTGCGTCTTCGAAATCCCAAACGACGTCTTGCCCCATATGCTTCTGTGATCCTGTGGCGGCTCGCATGGCTCGCTGCGGTCACATTTTCTGCTTGCCATGTCTCTTGCGGTTTATGAATTCAACAAATGATGATGAGCCTGCTCCCAGGAAAGAGGCACGCTGGAAAAAATGCCCTATATGTGATGACTCATTTCGACTCGCCGAAACTCGGCCTGTTCGTTTCTACGAGGGGCAGGAGAACCCCTTACCCGCCATTGGGGAAGACGTTGTGCTGCGGCTAATGGTGCGCGAGGCCGGTTCTACATTAGCACTTCCGGATGAAAGCGGTAGTGACGTTGCAAACATGGGCGAAGACGTCCCGTGGCATTTCGCTGCTAGCGTTTTAGATTATGCCCGGATTATGAAGGGCACGAATCAGTACATCATTGAACAGTTCGAGCGAGAAATAGAAGATCTACAACGGCAAGCTCAAGAAGATGAGATTCAGTTTGGTGTTGAGGAGGGTGATTGGCCACAGCGTGCGGTAAGAGCAATTGGTACCGCAATCGACAAATTGAAAGAGCAGATATTGGATACGGAATCCATCGCTGCTTCAGCAACGTCGAAATCGAAGCAGCCTGCCAAACAGAAATTCCACTTCTACAATGCACCGCCACACCTTTACCTGTCGCCCCTCGACATTCGCATCCTCAAGACAAAGTTTGGCGACTTCTCAAATTTTCCGTCGACCCTTCTCCCCCGTGTTGAACATATATCAACAGGTCATGTAGTAGACGATGCCTTACGGAAACGAGCGAAGTATTTAGCTCACCTTCCTCAGGGCTGTGTTGTGAGCTTTCTGGAGTGCGACTGGACCGACATAGTACCTCCTGAGATTCTCGAAACGTTCTCGAATGATTTAGAACGGCGAAGAAAAGTACATCGAGACAAAACGGCGCAAGAGGATCGAGAAAGACTGCAGGCAGAACGCTTAGAAGCTGCTGCCATTGGTCGTAGTACTCGGCGCCATTTCGATAATCTCAACGGAGATGGTTTTGAACCTACTCCTGTGATGAACTCAGATGATTTCCAACCCCTGGGCCCGCCGGCTGGAACTTCCCCGCCCAACCCTCGACCAGGATTCGAGCAGCTTGCTGATATGTCTACGAGCCCGTCCACCTCAAGGACGGTATGGGGCACTCCAGCTGTTGCCGTTTCACCCGATCTTGGACCGGTCCCGGATCGACAGGTAGAGGATGGATGGCTTAAAGAAGACGACTTCCTTGGGGCAGCGGAGATTGCTATGCAGATGGAAGCCTTTGGTATCAATGGTGATGGCTCAAGCCCGGGGCCAAGTACACCAGGAGCAGGCGGCGGTAAGAAAAAAAAGAAACAAAAAATCACCCTGATGAGCACTGGTGGTCGCCGGGGCACATGAACGGCCCAAACAATATGCAAATGGCATATTCATCTAAGAACTTCAGAATGTTCTTGTATTCTAATCACAGTCTGGGCATCCTCAGGGTAATGCTTGGCACATGCATGCTAGGGGTGAATTGATATCGCTGCCAGCGGCAGCTAGGTCTCGAAATCCATACTGCATAGAGAAATGCATTTTGATGATGATTTAAAGTAAAAATCACACATGCTGTTTAGCACTCAAAGTATCAAATATCTATTTTAATCGAGACTAACTAGACAAGAGCGGTTAATATTCACGAGACTTTGCCCGTCGTTACCTACCTATTGACCATCGTCTTATCTTATCTCCAACTCCCCGCTTGCTAACCCGTGATATACTTTAGGTGCATGGTTAGATCCTACATACAGGTAGGTAATCTCGTGTGTTCGTATGTTCCTTATCTACTACTCAGTTACCTCTATAACTATATACATACAAGTAGTCAGTCTCTCGTTAAAAAAGCAAAAGAGATAATTCCAGTTGTCGTTAATTATATTTCTTATAACTACTTACTCACCGTCTTCAATAAAAATTGTTGAATCAGTCTTCGCGCAAAGGGAAGCTAGCTACATACCTATATTACTTACTTACGTACCTACCTACCTAGCTAGTTCAACCCATGGACGACGGCGACGATAATCACCTCGCGCCACCCCGGCTGCACATCGACCCCCCGCTCTTCAACTCGGCTAATCCGTGGGCCACGACGCTGGAGCATCTACGGGATCTGTACAGATGCGGGGCCACGGGCGCCGTGACGACGCGGACGGCGCTGTTAGGGGAGCACGGGTTCCCGCATGACGATGAACTGCATCGGTTTGCGTTCTTCGAAAGCGGGACGCATCGCGCTGGCGAGGGGGAGGCGGATGCGAGTCTGAATAATTTGGGGTATAGCCCGGTTCCGCTGGGCGCGTATCTGGGGTATATACGGGTTATCGATGAGGAGGAGGAGGGGAAGAAGAAGAATAGTGGGGATGAGGTGGTGGATGGAAAGGGGGGAGGGAAGCCGTTCATCGTCTCCGTCACGGGGTCCCCGGACGAAGTCGCCGAGTGCTACGCCCGCATAGCGCGCGCCGCGGCAAAGGTATCTGCCGTCGGAACACTCGCCATGGAGATCAATCTCAGCTGTCCGAATATCCCCGGCAAGCCGCCGCCTGCGTACGATGCGGATGCGCTGGGGGTGTATTTGGAACGTGTTGGGAGGACTGCTGCGGGGGTAATGGGTGAGGGAGGTGAAGATGGGAATGGGAGGAAGAGGATCCCCTGGGGAGTTAAAACGCCGCCGTATACGCATGCTGGACAATTCGAGATGTTTGTGAGGGCGCTTAGGGATTGTGCTGTGCCGAGGGGGGTTGCGGTGAGTAAGAGAGAAGGCGGGGAAGGGGAAGGGGAAGGAGAGAGGGTGTGCCCGCTTAGTTTCGTCACGGCTACGAATACGCTTGGTTCGTGTCTTCTTCTGGAGACGAGTGAAGATATCGATGGGAGCGGCAGTGGAAAGGGAGGGCCGGTGTTGCCTGGGCTGGGCATTGGCGGGCTTGCCGGGGCGCCGCTGCATCCGCTTGCGCTGGGCAATGTCGCGACTCTGAGGCGGATGCTGGATGAGAACCCTGCGACGAAGCATGTTGCTGTGCTCGGCATTGGAGGCGTCGATGGCGTTGATGGGTATAGGCGGATGAGGAGCGTCGGTGCGTGTGCTGTGGGCGTGGGAACTGCGTTGGGGATTAAGGGATTGGGTGTTTTTGGGGAGATTGAGAGAGGGTTGGCCGGTGTTTGGGAGGTTTGAATGTTGGCTATTTGTTTCGTTCGTGGGGCGACGATGTGATGTTATACAACATGCCCGCATCTATGCAGCGACTTTCAGCAGACATTACGGGTAGGCAAGTGTGTGGGTGTTGTGTAAGATTGCACGAGATAACCTACACGTTCGCAGCATTCGCAGAACCCTTTGTTATGTTACCTATTCTATGAGATATTTCATGATACTTGCCTTTAGCTTACTTGATTTCATATGAATATTTTACCGTAGAGTCATGTTGTTCATTCTGACTTCGTGCAGCTACCTAGCTGCTGACTTTCGTCAAGAGACTCCCGACTCAATGTGGCAGTGGACGTCAACATGATTTTTTATATCATACCCCTCACCACGCCACAAGCATTAGAAGACCCTCCCTTATCCTCCAGTAATCAAAACCTGCTCAATTATATCTCGACAGTAATCTTCAGTTTTTCGAAAAATCATGAGTGAACATACGCCATTATTCGGTAAGTTTGAACTTCGTCAAAACTAGCATGAGGCGGCAAGCGGCTCATGCTCACACCAACAGCCAAGAGCGTTATGTATAAGGAAGGGTATAGATTAATATTCGTTTTTACAGCCCGGCCCTCTCTTTCCGATCGCGACGACCATCACGATGAAGGTGAGCCCAATGGCGCGAGGAGATCGTATATCCAACGTGCGCGCGCGCAGACGAGGCGTTTCTTCTCGTCACGTGCAAAGCACTGGGTTATCCTGTCGCTCATCCTACTCGATGTCGCGGGCATCTTGGCGGAGATATTCATCGCGCTTATTACATGCGAGCTGCACCGGCGAGACGAAGCTTGGGTCGCGCCTACAATGCAGGGATTGACTGTGTTTGCGCTCACTATGAGTTGTGTGTTCATGGTTGAGTTGGGCCTGTCTGTTTTTGCTGATGGGTTGAAGTGAGTCTAAGTATTCCTTCAGTGTTTGTCTACGCGTGTATCTACGATTCAGTCTGACTACATTTGCCTGGGTATAGAGGAACGATTTCCCCCGGATTAGCATCGGGAAATTGAGTGAAAAAAAGAAAACAAGCAAGCAAATGAGAGACATGCTGTGCGATTTCCAATAACCCGTCTTCCACCGTAATGTGGCGCTTGACTAACTTGCTGCTGCATGGCGCAACGCTCTTACCAGGTTCTTCTCCAGCTGGTTCCACTGTCTAGACGCCTTCGTCATCGTGGGGAGCTTCGCTGTCGACCTCCTCGAGCATGGCATCGCCGAGGAGATCGCATCGCTCGTCGTCGTGCTACGGCTGTGGCGCTTCGTCAAGATCGTGCAGGAGTTCTCGATCGAGCAGCAGGAGCTCACCGAGGCGCTGCGTCAACGCATCGAGGACCTCGAGGCGCAGGTCGGGGACCTTGAGGCCCGGCTGCCGTTGCGTGAGGAACGCTGACATTGAAATGCCAAGTCCACGTTGTTACCGTCATCCGGGGTTTGCCTATTTGGCTGTTCCCCTTTCGCTGCCTGCCTATACTCTGCTATATCAAGTGTAGCGGAGGTAATTTCCAATGGTCTGCGACACTAACTCCAATATCACTCTGAGCGGAGATTTGGGCCGCCGTCTGCATGGGCCTATGTACGTGAACTTACCTACCACACCGGTAAGAACCTTATTCTCAGCCGTTGAAAGACGAGGAGCGAGATGTTGCCACGCCTAATGGATATATATCTTTTATTTCCACATGGACACAACTTATACGAAGCGGCCACGATTCCACACCGCCGCTATCGCTTGTTTATTATGTTTCAAATATTAATCTGCTGTACATGTGATGTCTAATTGCGCCAATCAGTGACCGTCCTATAATAGCATGGGTCAGTCATATCTTGATGAAAAAGTTGTTCTCGACCACTTTCCCCTGGCTAATTAATGCCCCTGTCTACTGTCAAAACCTGGTCATCTCATCCCAAGCTGCTAGCCAGTACAGAAAAAAAAAAAACGTGCCAACTACACGTAGAATTTAGACGCTGCATTTGACAGATATCGGCGGCATTGCCAGTGCATACTCTATGCACTGTATTTAGCGTAGCATTCACATGCATTCAGTTCACCTATACGAGACGTAGCATGGAGTGTAGGTAGAGAGAAGGTTACATTCAAGAAAGCAGGTCTCGGCCCCCGACACATTCCACGAGTCTCTGGTTTCTGGGTCGGCCGGTAGACATTTCGATCTGCCTGCCATCGTCACCATCACCTGCATCGTAGCTGTGCGACCTCGAATTTCGGATTGATCGGTCAATCATGATGTGAGAATGCAAGCCTCGTTTCCTGGGCTCCACGTCGTCCAGGTAGGTGGGATTTGCTGGCGCCAAACGGTCGTGATACGGTAGGGTTCGTCTCATTCTTTATGGATTCATTATGAGATAGCACCGGTAGTTGACTGCCCTTATCTAAACTCACTACTACCTAGTAACCAACAGTGCCATACATGGTTGACATCTGAACTTTACTAGGTAGCTGACATCTGATAATCTCGCGACTGCATATGTACAGTCCAAGACGAACAGAGCGAAGCTCGAGGACCACATTTATCGACGACATATGGTAGGTAAGAAGGTCAGGTCTAGGGTGTTACGAACAACATCAGAATGCTCCGGCTCCAAAACCTTTCACGCCACGAGATCTTTCTGCTTGTAGGAGACGGCAGACGGCACGCATCATGTATTGAAGAACTTACCACGGTAGGCATTTCCCCTCGGAAACAATGCGCATGGCCGAATTGGGTTCGTTCCCGTTGGGACCCCTTCTCGCGCCAAGAGATCCGTGCTCTCGAGGCGCCATGACTCTCTGGGATAGATATCGTGTTATTCCTCCCATGTCTCTTCGTCCACTTACTCCTGTTTCTTCTTTCTTTCTTTTTTCTCCCTTAGTTAGGTATATACTCTATCTACACTACGCTCGCTTTCATACACGTTGTGGTTGGTTTATACTACGCTCGTTAGTAGCCATCAGCTCTTTCTCCTCAACGCTTTCTCCTCGTATCATAATTTAAATACATATATACATACACACCACCGCTTATCCCAGCGATAAAAGTAATAGTAAAGACATAATGAAGACCACGACAAGCAACATCCTCTCCATCGCCATTCTGGCGGCTGTCTCCGTCTCGGCACAGACCACGGCTACGACCACGGCGTCGTCGGGCACTTCGACCTGTGCTGCCCAGAGCATTCTCGATGCGTGCCTCGACACCACCGAGAGCTACGTGGCTCTGTGCCAGACCACGGATTATACCTGTCTCTGCGACAAGTACACTGCCATCATGACGTACGTGTCCCACGTAGCTGAGTTACCCAGACGGGAAGAGGAGCAAACATCTCGTTGTGGTGTATAAGACTAAATGATAGACGAATAGGTGCTTTGCCAACTGCCCCAACGATAGCCGGTCGTCTTCCCTAGAGAGTCAGCGAGAGCTCTACTGGTGAGTACACATATCTCCTTTTATATATATCTTAAACCACTTATTTTCATCCCCCTTATTACCCATTCGCATGTATATCTCATGATATCTGTATACTATACCCGATCATGCTCAATGTTCATATATATACTCTACTCCTCATATATATATATATATATAAATATGAACTCAAAGTAGACCTAACTGACCTTTTCAAATAGCGCCAACGCAAGCGCCTTCGCGACCACGACCACAACCTCCGCCAAGACCGCAAGCAGCACCGACTCCAGCGCCACGCCGACGAACACCAAGGAATCGGCCACGTCGTCTCACGCGGGTAGTGCCACCCGGACGTCCGCCGCCGCCGAATCGCCCACCGGGGCCGCGGGTTCTCTGCAGCGCGGAACGGGACTTATGGGCGCCGTGGCTGGTGTGGTTGCTGCTGCGCTATTGTAAATGTGGTGAAGGGGAAGCTGGTTTTCAAGGAATGGGGAGTATAGGAAAGATAATTGTACCTAGGTGTTAATTTATTTTGAGTTGGTCGATGCGGTGATGTATTTGGTCGGTGGAGTTTAATGCCGAAATCGTTTGATGTTGTTCTCGGGCTTCGTAGAGCCTCCTTTTGACTTTCTTCCTTAGTTCTAATTTGAGTGAAGGAGGGGGTTTTTTTTTTCTGAATGTCTTGATGTTTTAAGGGGGTAAGGTGTTTCGTGGAGAAGATGAAAATGGTGCTTGAGATTCTATATGACAGATGAGCTGGCCGGGGGAGTAAAGTGAGAGCGAGAAGATTGGGAGAGAAGTGTGTAGGTTCTCGTCCAAATCACTCGACACAGTGTCTTCGCCTGTTGACTGCCTGGCATAAAACTGAGAACATTACCCCAATCTCTAAAAAAGCTCGAGCTACAATGTCCTGGGATTTGTAGCCTGTGCATTCATAGAATTATAATTGTTTGACATATTCGGAGATCTACACTTATTTCTTGCCCATGAACTCCCTGTTCCGTACACGATCTGTATAAGTCGACTTACCTTTTAAGATTGCTTTTTTTTTTTTTTTTTTTTTACCTTTCCCTGAAACAGGACTACATGAGATTCTTACGTCCAATCTCATCGACGAATGAAGGCCGGACTCGAACAGGTGAAGGAAAAAAATACAGCAATGTTTCGGGTATTCTCTCATGTATAACACCTAAGCTTCGGTATGCTCCCAAGACCGTACCCAATCATCTATCGTGGCTCTGCGACCCAGCCTTTCTCTGAGCTCGAAAAGTCATCAGACATTTCTCTCGGTCCACGGCTACATGTGAATCCTACAGGCACGTGCGTGAATGAGTATGCCAGAGTTTGATCATCGTCCCTCGGCTGAGGTTAATAGAAGGTGAGGAGCAGATAAACTTTATATAATCATATTGTTAGTTTACAAGAAACCTCAGCGAGGCTCAAGGCATGAAAGGTCACACAAGGCACAGCTTTGCAGATTCTCTATGGAACGAAGGAATAACGAAGACACACGTTCATTATAAGAATCAGATTAAGATTCAAAGTATAGCTTTTCTGGCCGATGAATATGTAGACGCAATTGTTCCTAGATGTCGCACATTCGATTTGAGCATGGAGCAAGACGTCCCCAAGTGGTATATATATATATGCCATTACAGGAGAAGGCGAAGGTGAGGCTGAAACGACGAATTTATGCTTCTACTCCTGTTGCATACACTCGAACACCGTAAATATGTACAATGGTCCTCGACAAATGAAACGGTGGTCTTTCGTGTATCGATCTCTTTCCCCCCTCCCTTCCTCTACTTCCTGTACCACATCCGCGTAATCCTGGTCTGTCTCATCTTGCGCTGCAGCTGGAAGATACCGTACATAAGAGCCTCGCTCGTGGGAGGGCAGCCGGGGACGTAGACGTCGACGGGGACGATGCGGTCGCAGCCTCGGACGACGCTGTAGCTGTAGTGGTAGTAACCGCCTCCGTTGGCGCAGCTCCCCATGCTGACGACCCACCGGGGCTCGGGCATCTGATCGTAGACCTGGCGCAGGGCCGGAGCCATCTTGTTCGTGAGCGTGCCGGCGACGATCATGACGTCGGATTGACGGGGCGAGGCACGGAAAATGATTCCTAATCGATCTTGATCGTACCGCGGTGTGGACAGATGCATCATTTCGACGGCGCAGCAGGCGAGACCGAAGGTCATGGGCCAGAGGGACGACTGACGGGCCCAGTTGGCGACTTGATCGAGGGTGGTGAGGGCATATTGCATGACGCCCTTCTTGGGCTCTTGGCTCGCGAGCGGCACCTCCTTTCGCGGGCCGGCGAGATCGCGAGATGTATGAGGCGTCACTGATGTGGCATCCTTTTTCGAGGTCGTCGAGATAGGGGCGACGGACTGGAGAGGGACAATGCGCGATGTCGGGTTCGCTGTACAAGGGGTAGATGAATCATTGTCAGCCTCATTGGATCACATGCGGTGGCAATGGGGTGCAGGGGGGGTTGCCGGTCACAAACCTCTCATAGCCAGCGTGGCTACCCTTCTTGAAGACGCCAGCATCTTTTCTCCGGCTCCGGGTGTAAAAGAGGGATTAGAAGAATAGAATGGCTAGAACACGATAGTCTCGGTAGGATGGAGTGGAGAGGGTTGTCTGCGAAGGGGAAATGGGAACGCTTGATGAGCTCCGATTTGGATTCGGTCAATCGCTCATACTTTCGCCTCACGCGAACCGAGCTCTTTCCAATTGACGTTGACGACTGAGTCCAGGTGCTTTTCGCCGCCTCGCTAAGCAGGAAATACTGCGCTCTGAGTGGCTAGAATAGCTATCGGAGCCGGATTTTCCGAGATCCGATATCCCATTGCCCGAGCCTGGCCCAATCAGACAGCTTTCTTTGCAATAGCCCCTCGTCCATAGTCAGTGGTCAATGACGAGACATCAAGTTCTAAGCCTTTTCCCCTTGGGGCTCTCTACTATGTAATAAGAGTTGTATTAAAAAGGAATGATATATTTAGAGAGCTATCTCCAACGTCTACTGGGCCATTAACATACCGGCTACTCTTGAATGTACTACTTAGCAAGCTACATGGTTTCGCTGTGTACTCACCCGATCCGGCCCCGACCTTTGCCGCTTAAAGACGGGATTGAAACACAATGCACTGCTTTCAAAGTTTTTACGATTATATGAGTGTTTTCCTATTGTCGATACACCATCAACTGGCGGATTTACCCTTTTGGCTTGGCTTGGCTTTCTCAATTCGATTAGCTCTTGTCTTGATTGGCGGGATAAACCAGCCTGGCCGAAGTGTGAGCGTTGGGACGAATGTCAAACTTATAATCACTACCTATGGCCTTCAGATCTCGAGAGATATCGTGTTTCTTTCTATTCTGGGACAAGGGGTTGTAATTGTGACATTGAAACTAGCAAAGTTGAAGTCTACGACTGAGACATCAAGACCTGGGTGGTCACTTAATTTCGCCGGCGATTTAAGAAAAATCTCGCCGGCCGGCACATCGCTCCAAGGTTTGCCCAGGCGTAAAAGTGCATACATATTATACCTATTCCAAACAACCATGCAAATAAGTTATGCCTGTGAAACGTAGCAGTGGTTGGCGCGGAGGTACGCACTTTAGCAAAAAGGGTAGGCGTTCGCGAGCATCTAGCATAAACTTGTAGCCGTTAGCACACCGGACACTTTTTCATGCCATGCAGAGTTGACTCGTCACGGTAAGGTCCAGGCTGTCTGTAGTGGCTGGGCGGTGAAATTGTATACTATGTATAAGTCACATGAGTCCCGTCCTGCGCTGGTTGGCTCGCTTTAGCGGAAAGGCGGACCAGCTCGCTGAGTCAGTCCAAAGACTCTGGAAGTTGGAGTAAAGAGCCGACCTGACAACTCATCGCACGTGATCGACATGCTTCGAACTTGATTAAATAGAGCATGCTTCGTGGTCAGAAGATAGTTCAGTCGTATTATAGGTCTCAGTTGTGGAAGGATCGTGGCTTATCTACACTGACAACTCGTTTTATTATTTGTAGTTGGTGACTTACATAGGTAGCCCTGTTGAATGCCTCGTAGACAACAATGGCTTTTCATGTCTTACACCGCCACAATATAAAGGCGAAAGTGAGATGGCACACGCCGCTCTCTGTCTAGTGTTGGCTAGATACAGGACTATGCACTGCCAAGCCCACGCTGTTGGGAGTACGACTACTTACTCCGTAAATCGTGGGGGAGTCATGTACCGTGTTTCATGGGGAGTAATGTAGCGGCTTTCCACATACTCAGGTAGGTATGCATTTATCACTCATGCTAAAATGTAGCCACTCGGTTTTCCGGGGAATAGAGAGCAGGACAGAGCACTAGCCAGAGTTGTGTAGATCAACGTGTCGACGTACTTCGTACACTCCTAGTAGGTGTAACCAGGTGTAACCAGGGACTTGATATCCACGATAGGTATTAGCCACCCAGGGCATCAGATGACCTCCAATTCATACCATGTACGACTAGGCGCTCTTCTCCTCATTAACTACTCCTACGACTCAGTACTATACCTACCTAGTTACCTCAGTGAAACATGAGCGCACAGAGAAAGAGATCAAGACATGAGAATAGATGAACAGGGAACAAGGAAACAGGATAGTATTGTCGATGTCAAGAGCTATCCAAAGCTCGATCTACACGACACGTGCCCGAGACACTTGCGGGCAGATGCGGGTAAAACTGTGGCTCTGCAGCACCACAGTCTCTATGTACAGTATGTGCACGGTATTGATGTCAAAATGAGTGATGTGTGTCTGTGTTGTGTGATCTGGATGCGATTCTCGCCCTGCAAATCCGGGGAAAGACAACTTTGATTCCGGATGCCGGCGACGGATCAGTGGGGTGGGGTCTACACTAGGCGCAATAGCGAGCAGACGGCTTGGCTAGGTCGTACGCTATAATACGAGCCTGTACCTGCCCCTAGCTGCCCTGACTTGCACTGTAAGTCTGTACCTAATAGAAGGCCTAGCAGGCCTAGGTAGGGTAGCACTGCCCTACTCTAGTCTAGGGTTGTACTGTACTTAATGAAGCCAGACGATCCGAACTGTTGCACTCGCGACGTCACTGCCGGTCCTCTTCTCGCAGCCGAGGCCAGTCAGGTCCAGTCGGTCCCGGTTGACTCTCGAAATGGCCAACGGGCAATCTGGAAGTAGGGAAGGACGGAATATGTTGATGTCGATATACCGGTACTTACTTATGCCGCCAGCCAGTCGCGCGCATCGCTTCCCATGCACGCACCGAGTGCGTTGTCCTATTGTTGTGTTGTGTTCTTTCTTGCTTGTGAGGCATAATAATGATAGGGATTGATAGGGATTGTGCAGTAGGAAGATATACCGTACTAGGTACACTTCACGCGCAGGAGGTTACATCTATACGTACTGTAGGTAGACATCGTCATCGGCTACACCACGACACATGCATTGATGGTTCACTTACTTACTTTGTACTTGGGTGCTTGGCGACAAGACAGAAAATTTTACACCGGAAATGCGAGATGCAGCACTGCTTCTGGAATACCTACCTACTACTATACGATAAGAATGCCGTATTAATTGATATTTATTAGTATACGGAATAGGTATTGATGTAAGACAATTATACCATCAAACATGTCTGCGAATACCATCTTGCCTTCTGAGTACCTACATATAGTAAATAGGTGGTAGGTATGTATTCAGCTCAAACTTCTAGTCATGATTATATAATGCAATAACCCCAATCCACAACGTCATACCTACTTCTAGCACTCTGCTCTGCACTGCCTAGACACAACTACTCTAGACAGACTACTAGTAGTACATAGTAGATACTTAGCTAAGGTAGTATCTGACAAAATGTACGATAGTATGGAGCTGGAGCAGGACTGGAGTAGCCAGAGAAATATCTAGGTATCCTATCCGTCTGTCTGCTGGATGTGAAATGTACAGCACATTATCCGTAATTTGTACAGGAAGCACGTAACCTTCTGCTGACATCAGCCGCACTCCTCTCCCATTTGTGTAGGTAGTATGGCTTGGAACTGTCGACCGGTCTGCCATGATCTGTCGTGCCAACCCATTCATTGAATCGTTGTAGGCAGATTGGATCGAGTTGGCATTATCCAAACTCCCCCAACTACTACTACCTATTACTTAATTCCAACCCCCCTCTTTTTGTCAGGTTCAAGTTGCCTTGCCTGCCCGGGCTCTACCCCGTCTCCATCTATCCTTACCCTGTCTTCCTGCCCTGCCTTCCTTCGTATCTAGCCCGGACCTAGTAGGTAGGTTCTGGTATGTACAGGCCATACCGCCTTTGCCCATTACTTCGTACAGACCCCGTACCCAGCTGGTCGGGCAGTGAAACCCCAACGACCAACTTTTTTCAAAGCTTGTCAAGCCCGTTCGTTCATTCGCTCCGCTTCCAAGAACCCCCACACACCCGTCATGATTCTTCATCGGTGTGCGGTAGCAGTCAGTGTAAGTACTTAGTATGTACGGGTAGTGTGGCTGACCATTGTCCAATATACATACTTCGTAGTACGTACATGTACTACGGTACCGTACTTTGTAGGTAAGAGGCACTTGAAGTGCAAGGTTGCTACTGTATGTAAGGATTGCAGCACACATACAGCATGGACACGACCTGCCACCTTCACATCTTCACATACCTACCGACGTTATGCTGCGTTATGGTAGGTTATTCAGAGAATTAAGACGTAACACGGCATACTCAGCTTACCTGCAACATGTACCGTATCCATCCCGACCTACCTATCCCAAGTACATATCTGTAGCCCTAATTAAGGAACTCTCAGCCACCCTCGGTTGGTTCTCTATCCAACAACTGTCGACATCCTTTTCTTTTCACCTGCTACCGTACATACGTAACAGATCGGTACATATTTCATACACGCACACACACGCATACACACACTCCAGACGCCTATAACGCCAGTTCATACCCCGACAGCCTGGCGGACGGTGATCCTGAATCCCGGCTTCTTGACTCTTGACTCTTGACCGCCTGCGCTTCCCCCCCTCCAAGGCTGGTTCATCTTGGACGCTTTCAAACACACCTACAGATACATACCTTGCCGCCATCATTGTCAGAAATCCCGCAGCCACTCTTGATGCTTTGCGAGGCATACTCGTTGCTGAGCTTGTCTTGTTTCGCCCTTGTCGTCTTCCTTCACCTCTGTCATCTCCAAGGGTACCTTGCTAGTTGCCCCTACCACCACCTGTAGTGTGTCCTTGTCTCTCACCTTTTTGTTCTCCATCTGCCCAAGTACAGTACTGGTACATGACTATTGTCGGTGGGCCAGAATCCCCCACACGACTTGAATCCAAGTCAAGAGGTCGAGGTATTCGCTCGAAAGCCGCGGTCCACCCTAGTCATCGCACTAAATCTAACAATTTCGCTAACTACGGAGATCTTCTCATCCACTACGGTAGGGCGCCGGTAGAGTAGTCCACTGACGAAAGCCCTTGTGCCTGGCTTTGTGTGCTTTACCTATGACCAGCTAGCCGTTGCGTCTGGTTCCCGATTCCCGGTTCGAGACCAGTGCAATTACAATCTGGTCAACTCATCGTCTTCAAATATGTCTCTTCCTGTAAACCTCTCTCGTTCGTAGCCTACCGACCGTCTTTGTTCTTGCTCCTTGTGAGCCCTCGACTTTCCGCACCACGTCTCTAGTCCATTGTTCAACTCAGCATCTGTGGCGCCTCGGATCCCGGCGATGAACTAATGACCATTTTCCGACCGTGGGGTCGTTTCCTGATATGAACTCACTATTATTAGATACAAGGTCGGCTCACGACTTTCCAGACCGCGGCCCCGTTGTGTTCGCCGTCACTACGGGGACCCTCGTTCTGGCGAGTGTCTTCGTTGGCGCTAGACTGGCCTGCCGCAGCTTCATTGTTCGACAGGTGAGCTGGGATGACTACTTCATTGTCATAGCTTGGTTCCTCGCTTTCGGCCTCAGCTTCGCTATCGATTACGGCGCTACTATAGGACTCGGTCGCCACGATGTCGATATCCCAGCTCACAACCGGGATCCTCTTCTTCGCTCTGAATATGCATTCACTGTTCTATATGTGCGTTATACTTGTACTCTCTGACGGTGGGACGTTTGGTCTAATATTATGTAGAACCCGGCCCTCATGGCTTTCAAAACATCAGTGCTCATATTCTACCTCCGTCTGTCCAAAAATACGCAAAAGGTACTGAGGCTAGCTTCATGGGCCGTGCTCATAATCGTGAATCTCGCTGGGACCGTTTTAACCCTGCTCAACATTTTCCAATGCAACCCCGTGGAATCTGCTTTCAACACGGATGATACAGGACAGTGTATTCCTCTTTTAGCGGAGTTTATTTGCTCGGCACCGATCAATATAGTCACGGATCTCGCAATTCTTGCCCTACCCCTACCTGTTCTAACAGGCATGAGGTTACCTCCAAGGCAGAAGATTATATTGATTATGACTTTTGCACTGGGCATATTCATCACTGTGGTGGATGTGGTGAGGATATATTATCTTCAAAAGGCTATTAGTGATGCCTCTTCCACATTTTCCGGCAACCTGGACCCGAACTTCTCATTTGGGGTTTCGCCCGAATTCTCTTGGAACGCCTCGCTAGCTCTTTTGTGGTCTGCTGTTGAGGTGAACGTTGGGATTACTTGTGCCTGCATTCCAACTTTGAAACCTCTAATCATTCGCATCCTCCCTGCCATGCTTATCGACCCAGATGGAAGTACCCGTCGTGCTTCAGATACAGCCGATGTGACGCCTACCGTACAATCCTATCGACACGAATCCACGGCTGCCGCACCAAACGTCACTCAGGATAGAAACTCTACCTCAAGCCAAGCTCATGGGCCCGAAAGTGATGTAGATGCACAGATATCAGCTATGGAGTTCCTCACCACACCAGATATGATGTTAGATCGAAATCATCCGCCCATAACAAACACAACGACCGCAACAAGCCTTGAAGCGTCAGGAGTATACTTTGGATTTGTCAATATGCGGAAACCGAAGAGTATGATTCGAACTTCGGTCAGGGATTCATTCAAATACTGCACGATTGTCACGATTCTATTTCTACTCTGGGGGTTCTCATACGGTCTTCTCAACACTCTCTCGCTCGTCGTGGCTCAGATCTCCCACATGACCCCTCCAGAGACAATAGGACTTACAAGCATATATTTTGGGGGTGGATACTCCCTTGGCCCGCTACTTGTCGGTGAATGGATTTTACGACACGACGAACATCGAAGGCGAGAAAAGATGCGTAGGAATAGCACGTTCGATGATACTACGGGTGGATTTAAGGCTACTTTTAGTAAGCGTACTCCCGATTTCAAAATTTCTAAGCTAGGCTCGCCTTCATAGCTCTGGAGCATTTACTGTTATAAATATTGATTTATCTCCAGTGTTCGGGTTGTGCATTTATGGCGTGGGAACTATCATCTTTTGGCCGAGTGCTGTTCTCACGTCATTTCCCGGATACTTGATCTCCAATTTCGTCGTGGGGTTTGGACTTGCCGTCCTAGAAAGTAAGTATTCAGGAACTCGGTACCCTGTCTACGTATAAAACGAGTCTACTATTTTGGAGGATAATGACAATCATTAACTCTTGATTTTCTTTTTTTTAGCTGCGGCAAATCCGTTCATTGCTCTTTGTGGGCCTATGGACTACGCCGAGATGAGGCTTTGCTTCGCACAGGGCGTTCAAGGTGTGGCCACTGTCCTGAGTCAACTTCTAGCTCAAAAGGTTTTCTTCGTTGAATTGAGTGCCTCCGAGTCTATAGGTGCATCAACGCTTGTTGATGTACAATGGACATTCTTGGCTATCACACTCCTTTGCGTTGGGCTAGCCTTGTTCTTCTATTACATGCCGTTGCCAGAGGTTACCGATGCGGAGTTGGAGAACTCAACGCGATATCTCCCCATCGACCCGAAGAAACGTAGCTTCTTTGGCTATCAATTAAGAACCTGGACTCTCGTTTTAGCAGTTGTGGCTCAATGGACTTATGTCGGTGGTCAAGAAACGATGAGCCTCTTCTTCCATGACATTTTACAACCCAGTGGGACCTCAACTGCGGCATCAGGTCCAACGACCATCACGAGAGCTGTAACATCAGAGAATGTAGGCCGCTTAAGCATAAGCATTGATGACTTTGGTCTTATTGCTCGCACTGCCTTCGCTTTGTCTCGGTTCTTGGTAGCATATCTTGCATACCTATCGCCAACCCACCCTAGGGTCCCCCAACCCCGAACTATACTAAACATCTGCGCTGGACTCAGCATAGTAACCGGTGTAGTCGTATCAGCCATCCGCCCGAGTAACCCGGACCTCCTGTCTATTCCGATTGTCCTATTTTATTTTTTCGAGGGGCCCATATGGCCTTTAATATACACGCTGGGCCTCCGAGGGCAAGGCAGTCGCACAAAACGGGCAGCAGCATTTCTCACCATGGGAGCATCAGGGCCTGCATTTTGGCCATTCGTTGGTAAGCTGGCATCCTTCACTATTTTCTAGTTCGTCCATAAACTCTTTGTCAATTCCCAGCGATTTATGAATACCCCTTCCCGATGTTGTAGCAAGCTAACAGAATGCCGCGCAGTATGGGGTATACATCAAAGCGGTGCTTCGTATCAAACAGCTTTTGTCCTGGTACCTGCTCTTCTGGTCATCACGGGTATCTTCTCTCTGTTCCTTGATCTTAAGCATGACGCAAGGGCCTTAGTTGATGCCCGTGTCGGCCCTGAACAACAGCAAAGGATTCAAGATCGCGCAAATCACGAAATGGACTTGGACGCAATCATCGCAGCGAGGAGACGAGCGTCAGTTAATGGACTAGGCGACCCAGCTCTAGATTACGAGAAGGCTTCGGTTAATCAGGAGACTGGTAGTCGTTTCAAAAGAAGATGAAGAGAGGTACACTTTACTTCTTATAACTTGGAAATAACAAACCCAGTTCAGACGTTGGGTGCCTATCATGCAAAATCATGAGGATTATTTAATCCGAGAAAAGGTCCCACGCTTGGAAGAGTCGAGACGTCGTGGACCTCGCATACTACTTGCACTTGCTGTTCTATAGAACCCGCAATATAGGCAACGTGTCTCTATCCCGAGCGCCAGAGTTCATGCTGTGGCTGAACGGGTGCAAGTCGACCGGAAATAAACGGCCAATAGCCTTGGCCAGACTGGTGACTTGGTATCTTCGACTAGCACACATCCACCGACCATCTGACGCGGCTTGAATAGCATATCTTCCAGCTGGCAGGCATCAACCGCGGGATGTACATAAGTTTGGGAAAATGCCGTCATCACCTTGGCGACTTCCAAAACGGCTGCGACAATTACTCGACGATGCCATATTGGCACGGGGTGAGAAAGCCAGTCTTGGCTCTCCCATGGAGAGCCATCACCTCCTCCAAACGAGATCTTTCAGGGGGGGGAGGCATTACTGCATATATATATTTAGCGTATAGTTTTGATACCCCGAGTAGTACTAGCTACTCAAGTTTGAATATTCACATGGTCTAAAATACCTATTATCGAGTTTCAATCCTGGATTCAGGGGAAAAATAATTTGGTTCTTTGCGTCTAGACTTTTGCGCTGTGATTGTGCTTTCATCCGAGATTTATGATTATTCTGATGTAACCACTGGAAGACGAAATGTCAATCCAGCGGTGATGACATTATGGTTGGTACTTTGTCAGACTATTCGAGGGGGTAATAGCAGTGAGCTGGGGGATTTTTGGGATAGGTAGCTGTGTCGTTCCTACATGGGATCTAAATCCATGAATGAGCGCAGGCTCCTAACCTAGTGACAATAGAAGGATATATTTAGGCATGTAAAAGAACTAGGGAAGAGATGAGAGATGGTTAGTCAGATGCTGGTGTGGGTAGCACGTGTGTGGTTTTCGTGTCATTTACAGGTTTCTTTTTTCGTCGCTGTGGCTTGAAGACTGATTGAGTCGTGGTGCAGTGACTAAACGGTGCCATCCGACTTAGGGTAGTAAACTATTAACATAAAAGACAAATGCTATTATTGAATAAATTAACCAGGCCATAATACACACGCTCAAACAGTAAGAAGAAATCCAGTCACTCGTCGCTGTATCGTAGATAAATACCATCCCGTAGCCTCCTTCACTCCATGTCAGTCGGAGTGCCGTGGGGGGGCATCTCGATATCATTCAACAACTCGCGATGGCCGTAGAAATAGCCCTTGTCGAAGTCTTCGCCGACCTACGTGACGGGATAGGTATTTCGCAGCAGCTCGATGCGCGTCTCGTGGCGTGATGCAGCTATGTACGGCAATGTGTTCATGAGCTCGACTGCTTCGGGCGTATAACCAGCGGCTATGGCAGCTGCTGTTGAATGCGCCAGCGGGATTGGTGCCAGTGTTCGGGTCAGGGAGATAAAGGTTCTGAGCTGGAGTCGCACCGAAACTGACGAGGTGTGTTGTAGAACTCGAGGAGAGTGCTGATGAGTTCGATGTGAGCTGTGGTCTTGGCCATGATAGGACGTTACGTGTGCTTAATGGTGGTTTTATATGAGATACAAGTGATTCATGCAAGCTAGAGTTTGACACATTCTATTTAACATTTGGTTCACTTCTCTGCAGCGAGTTATCTCATGATGCTTCATATTTGCTTCTGCGATCTAGACATGTTGCGGGGCAGGTATGTGAGGCATGCTGTATAGACCTAACAGTACCCAAATTCCCGAAGATACTGACCTTAGACATGACTATTCGTCCCATCATTGATGTCGAAAGTGTGTAGATTTTACAGATATACATAGTATATGGACACACGTACGTACATAATGAAACATCGTCGATTACCTAAGGCTATCTACATAGTATATGACTTTTAGCTTGTAAGCTAGCTATTTAGCATCTATGTACAGAAAACGCCTGATCGACTGCAAATGCAGGCGGAACGTCCGGAATGGTTCCATGCGCTCGGGATACCGTTAGCACCCCATGCTCCAACAAGATATCCACAGCTTACCAATCATGAAGGCCTTTGCCTATCTAAGTGCCAGGGATTCCCTGCATCAAGGAACGGTGATGTCGTCCATTTCTTTCGTTTCGGGTAATTCTCATTCTCTCTTTGGTTTCTCATATGTTTCTTATTTTTTTATGGTTTATATATCTACATATTACATATAGAGAAAAGGCGCTATATCCATGTCGTCACAGATCTCATTCAACAACTTTACGCTGTAATAATACCTATCGTATATAGCCGATAAGATCTGTCATCTACGAAATTACGCTGCGACGATAAATCATCGATTCAGGACGAGATGGCACCCGTCGCGGTCGCTGAAGATACTACGCCGCTACTGCGGTCCGAGCGTACCGGCTCACGCCCTTCGAGTTCTCATGGGTCGGAAGACGACGATCTGGATGTCGCGAATCAAAGCGTCACTAAGCAGAGAGCCGTGGCCATCATACTGAGTGTCTATATTCTGATCTTCCTACTAGGTACTGTGCAATCCTTCTATTTTCCAACTTACCACGCTGCAATTGTCATCAAAATAGCGTCATGTGCTACTAGAATCACCTTCTATGTCGTGATTGCGGTGATTATCTAGGAGAAGAAAGAATGCATGAAACAAAAACGCCCTGTGCTAACGTGATGGAACGCCAGCAATGAATATGAGTGGTATCACAATGGCCCAATCCACCATTGCGGCTGACCTCGACGCTTATGAGGACGCCATGTGGTTTACCACATCCTTCCTCGTGGCGATGTCATCTATGTCACCCCTCACGGGCAAATTAGCGACTATCTTCTCCCCGAGGATGATGGTGCTTTTCTCGTCCTTACTGTTTTCCATCGGGTGCCTAGTCACATCCCAGGCTCATTCGTTCGCTGTTTTCATCCTCGGACGGGTCATCACTGGGCTGGGAGGTGGTGGGACGATGGTCCTTGCTTTTATCCTGGTGCTGGAACTCACGACGAAGAGAAATAGGGGGTTGTTCATTGGCATCACGTGAGTATGCCTTCCTTGCTATTTGAGACCAAGAGTTCTGAGTGTATCTATGACTGGAGAGATGGAGAAACAGAGAAAAGCGGAATGTCTTCTTTAGTTACATTCAGAATTTGCTAACCTAGACGACTAGAAACGCAGGCTTCACCACGGGTGTCTCTTTAGGCGCAGTTGTGTTTGGCGGCTTGATTGGGAAAATAGGCTGGGTAAGGAACTCTCCCCGAAAGATGGCTTATCCAGCTCTGTTGCTTACTATCGTTACACAGAGACCCCTATTTTGGGCACAGGCTCCAGCGTCTCTGCTTGCTGGTTGCGCCATCTTTTTCAGCATACCTAGTAGCTTGAGCTCACCAGGCCAGTCGAAGGATAAAGATGTATCAATGGGCACAAAACTAAAGCGACTTGACTATCTTGGCGCCATCTTCTTGGTATGCAGGACCTCCAGAATGATGATGCCAGTGGTTGTGCGCGTATTGAATCTGAACTCACACAATCCCAGTCCGGAACCGTCGTCCTCTTTCTTTTCGGGCTTTCGGGGAAGATTCAGCCAATCCCGCTTGGCTCGTCTCTCGGCGCCCTCATCATCTTCATTCTGATCGAGACGTATATCGCGACCGATCCCATCGTTCCTCTCACGGTTCTCCGGAACCGCGGCGCCTTGCTGTCGTGTTTTGCCCAGCTTGGGTTCAGTAAGTCTCATTGCCCTTGCCTTAAGGAAAACCATCGTCATCAGGGCGAGAAGTTCACTATCAAAATCAACTTGGGCACTCTGCGTCATCCATGTATGAGAAGAATCTCTAACTCAATTCAACAGTGGCCGCTCGGTGGACGGTATTATTCTACACGCCCATGACAGCCCTCGCTGTCTTTGGCTTTAACCCGGCGGCCAGCGGTAGCATCCTCATCCCTACGAACCTCGGATTCGGTCTCGGCGGGCTGCTTGTCGGAGTAAGTTTGTCCCTCGCATTCTTTGCCATTACCATAGCCCTTCCTCTCGCCAGCCACTCGAATCTCCAAGACAAAGATAACAACAAGCTGACGTTAATCCCAGGCCCTTCATATCCGCCGCTCAGGCAGCTATTGGGGCGCCAGCGTCATCTGCTTTGCGCTCTTCGGCATTAGCCTCCTTGCACTGTCCACCTCGTCCACGCGCGATACTCCCTTTGGCCTGTACGTCGCCATAGTCTTTCTCAACGGCTTATTCACCGGCGGCGCACTGAACTACACAATGTCCCACCTCCTGCATCTCACGCTGCCGGAGACGCACTACGTCGCTACGAGTCTGCTTGGCACTTTCCGGGGTTTCGCGGGGAGTTTCGGTAGCGCTATTGGCGGTGGAATCTTCGCGAGGACTTTGCGCGGGAGTCTTGAGGAAGGGCTCAAGAGACTTGATGGTAGCGATCACCTGAGTAAAGAGCGGGCGGAACTTGTTAGGAAGCTAATCGGAAGTCCGCTGCTTGTGTATAATGGAGGGTTGTCAGGTGCTGAGAGAGGAGTTGCGGTGCAGGGGTATAGTGGTGCGCTGCGCGTCTTGTTCCAAGCTGCTGTTGTCTTGACGGTTTTTGTGTTACTATTACAGGCTGCTACGGGGTGGAGAGGCCCTAAGGATGAGAAAGATCGCGACAGCGAGGAAGAGAGTGAGAGTCTTGTTGTGTGAAGAGAGACTTGTTAAGTGTCCTCAATGAGGGCTGTTTTGATATAGCTTTTGTATATATATCATACTACTTTACTATTACTAAATAGTCAGATGTATCTATAACGCCATTTTGGCTAGAGACTTAGTATATACTCATATCGGATTAGATGTAACGAAAACGGCTTTCGAGAAGGAGGACGCTATTAAACTCGACTAGGTGAAGTCTGGCGGAAAGAGTTATGATAACACATGCTAGGGCAAGTACTTGCCGTTATGCGACCTCAGAGCGTCTACCCCTTGATGAAAAGTACCCCATACTCTGCCCATACATCAATACACTACCCCAGTAAATACCTGTCAAAGACATATTCTCATATGACATGACTGTCGCCAAATAATTCAAGAGTCTCGTTAGCTGTTCTTGTATTCTACCTTCATCTCATCAAGTCTCACCCACAGACTTTGATATCCCCCCGACGAACAATATGTAATAGGTTATATACTAGGATATAGCACAGGTACTCAACAGACAGGACACTGGTTTTATATGTATAACATAGACGAGCAGATGACTAGGCTTCGAATTGAACCTATTCACAACACAATAATATGCTAGGGCTGCTAACGTCCTGCCACCAGGTTCCTTCTTGGCGCTGGCCGCTGAGTTGGATACTATATCCTGGTCTTCATGGCGTATGATAGCCAGCGAATATGCTGAGCATCGGTGATAGCCGTTTCCCTGCATCTACTAACTCATTTATGCACTCTACTGGGACTACCACTTACTAGTCATGCCTCTCAGCCCTACAGTAGTTGACCAGAGCCGAGGCCTTGAAACATGACAAGCGTACCGGGTATAAGACTAGCTAAGACTTAGACCAAGTCTGAATAGTACGCTGGAATTTCAAGAAAATTGCCCAAATCAGCAGTTCTTCCTAGTTTGCTAGCTACTATTACGGGAAGGAAGGTCTTAGGTTTTTATAAGCAATTGGCCTGTACGACATATACGGCGTTAATGTGAAAAAAAAAAGAAAAAAAAAAGCATATAATGTCTGACAATCTGCTTGTCTGCCTCAAATAATGAAATAACAAAACTTTGACCAGGTTTTTACCGGGCATGATTCTCTTGCATCTGCTCTAAGTATTATTAGGAGTATCGCATATGAGAAGAGCTGTTGTAGGTAGAGCAATACATTCCCATTTTGTCCTAGTACCTACACTACGCTACATTTAGATAGGCTGGTATAACAGAAGTAGGTATGATATCGTGGGGTTTGCTGGGTTCTCTCAGTCATTGCTCGCCCTCCGTAAGTACTCCGGTGTCTCCGTTGCGGGCCGCTGACTCAATTAGTGGCAAAGGGCGGGCTGTAGGTTATTGAATACCTACGTCTCTTAGGTAGATGTTCGTCTATCTACAGTACATAGATAAAAAAGGGGCCAGCCGGTCAGAAATCTCGAAAAGCTTGCTGATCCCGTGGTAGTTTCGGCATTCTAATCCCGTAATTTTCCGGCTTGGATGCACAGTGTCCCAATAGAGTAGTTGCAGGGGTGTAAGTGAGAACCGAGAACCTCCCGTTGTAACTCAGTTGTATACATGAGACAACTGTAGGTCTGTTGAAGTGGAATACTCTCAGCAAGAGAAGAAAGAAATCAACTTCTGGTACGTCATAATCCCGTAGTATGTGTGTCCACACTGTCCGTTATCGCGCCCCGAGGTCCCTGAGAGCGAGCCTTCACACTAGCCTATCTAACTTAGAACAATCGGGCCCTTTTCTGGGGCGTAGTTGATCTCATCTCTTCACCATACCTGAAGTAGTAAAAGACAACGGCAATCACTCCTGGAAACACGGCAGGAAAGCCTTTCTTCTCTGATCCATTGGTTATTTCTGCCATCCAGCGGGCAGAAGGAATTACCACATGAGTCTTCTGGTAGACCCTGGATCGATGGAGATGTCGGCCCTCGCGGCCCAGTCGCAAAAGGAGGGTGGCTAACAGTCCCGCTCCACCTCGCTCCAGATTCTCACGATAGTTTAGTTTCCTCTCTATCTATACACTAGTCCGCAGGCTGGACGGCCCCCCGAGTCTTGACCGAGCTGGCAAAGTGTGGACCATACCCACCAAGAATAAGGGAATTTTTGCGACTTAAAACTAGCGTGTGTCATGGCGGTCCCTTGGCCACCTCTTCGTGAAGGATGGACTTATAAAAGTATCGTATATAACCGAGTCTTATGCCTCGTGATTATGCGGAATTCTCGTGACTTGAAAGATTCTCCTTGCGTTGTATCGCCCATATAAAATTAACTGCTTCCACCCTTAAAGCCACAAGACACCATACGGTTTCCCTGGCTATATCGCCGCCGACTGTCACGATCTTACCGCTACTTGATACAGTAATAGTCGGCTTGTGGTGCTGCCGCTATCGTGGGGCATCTTGGGTCCAACTAATATCCCCATAGCCGCCTCAAGTTTTTAATACCTGCCGCCCGTAGTTAATATCGCAGCACTACTCGTACCCTACGGTCAGACCATTGGGTTTGTTAAAAAAAGGAAAGAAGAAAAAAAAAGACAAGATCAACAACTTGGGTGGTGACTCACCCCTCTTTTTTGCCATGGTGGAAGTTATCCGTATTTCGTCTCAGGGACAATACCCGCCCAACACAATGGAGGCAGAGATGAGGGAGATGTCGAGTCTGTTGACGTCGACAACCCTGAGCTCGGTCGAGGAAGAGCTGAAGAAGGACATGTCGCGAAAGGAGCGGTCGAAAGATGGCAGCGAACTATACGTACCGCCTCGGCGAGCCTTCACGACGTCCAACTACCTTCTCCCGACGGCTCCTGTGTCGCGTGTCGCAACCCCCCTCGCCAGCCCACGGGAATCGACGACAGACCGAGACTCGTACTTCCCGGCACCGTCAGTAGCGACCCTGCTCCACCGACTGCCGCAGCCGGCGCCGCCGAGATCGTACTCGGTGATGGACTACGAGCCGATCCCGTTCACGCACCAGCCAGGGACGACGCTCCAACTCACGCATCTGCCGGCCGAACTGCACTACGCCGTCTTCGACTTCCTCGACCCCATCGACAGCGTGTGCCTGGCGCTGACGAGCCGCCACTTCTACGCCGTGCACTGGAAGATGCACGGCAAGGTGTCGCTCGCGGCGCGGCGCGAAGGCCCCAACGACATGGAGTGGGTGTGGCGGCACGCGGGGCCCTTCCTGCTGAACCGCGGCGGCGTCGGCGGCGGGCATAACTCGCTCGCCATGCTCTCTGTGCGCGGCCAGGTGTACTGCCGCAAGTGCCGCACCGCGCGCTGCGAGCTGCACAAACACATCAAGGAGTGGATGGGCCCGGGCCTCGAGTACTGCCTCGTCACGGAGAAGTTCGGCCCCGAGCCGCCCGCGTCCGCGAAGGCGTTCTGCTACCGCAGCTCGCCGAGACATCCGAATCGGTGCGGTCGCCACACGCGGAATCAGCGGACGGTGCGCCTCGCTTGATGACAGAGCAGAGTTTCATCTTGGTCTGCGGCGCCATCGGCTTCGCTTCGTGGCTTAGCTGTCTCGAGCAAGCGAGCACGGGGACTTGAGAAAACATGTCCCGTCTTATTTCGATATGATCAGCATGTGATGTTTTTAGTGATGGGTATTTCAGTATGGGCGCTTGATAGAAAGTGCCAGGGATAGAGCGAAGCGAAGCGTATAGACCTATTTTGTTTTTTTCCGAGAATCATACGATAGATAGAAAGGGAAGAGAACATCAAGGGTCGGATAGAACTTCTAGCATGGGACGAGCATTTCGCCACCGAATAGGATCGGGTTTTTAGAATATCCATGGTTACGGCATGTGGCATTTAGTGGCCGTTTCTTTTTTTGTCTATTTTCAGATACCTATCCATAGAAAAGGAACCCAGGAGGGTGCCCTTAATAGACCTACACCGCGCTTTTGAGACAACGACATCTTGACAGTTTCTTCACCAGAAAGAGGCTTGGAGCCAGGTTTATCACATTTTCGTATGCATGGTGCGATGACGCGCATTGCGTCGAACCAGATCAGACAGGCTATTTTTAATAGGCCGCATGCATTATGTTCCTCTCTCCCCTGGTGCTGGGCTCACTTGTACAGTCTTGCCCCCGTTCTCGCTTACCGGTGTATTGAGTAATGCATCATGTTTCTACCTACCGTACTTCTGAACCATGGTCGCGGTTCTGTGTCCGCCATGAAGTTGGGTTCGTTTTGTTTGTCAACTTGCTGTATCAATTGTTCAATGAACTTCTCTTCTCTCAGCACTTCGATTCTGAATGGTGACACCATTGCCAAGGATTCTAGTTCATGGGCATTTCCTTTTTTGGGGCTACTTGGGTGTTAAGGAGATGAAGGACTTGGCAAGACTAGTATCAGCCGCGATAGCCTGCCTATTGCTCGCCCAATCTGATAATTTCCCCCTTTTAAAAATTATTCGGTTAAGTTAGGCAACATGTAAGTAGTGTAAGTTGTCTTGTTGCAGAGTTGTGTTCTGAGAGACTTTAGAGCATCGTGGGTATTATAGGAGACTCCATATCGAATTTGACATTCGGCTACCTAGATTATCTGTCTATCATACGTACTAGAGTGCATTGTATTATACATACATGCCCTATACTCCATATCACAGTTTCACAATAGACGGAACATACATGTGCTTACGGGCGCGTGCTTCTCTCCTCCTTTCTATGATGTAGTTACGGTGTCTTGGAGGGTTTGATAGATAAAGTAGTTATTGCTGATAGGTGAGCTCGACACTTCATTCACAAGCAGTCAGTGAATTCCGATGTGAGACTTTTCCTGTTCGGTCCTCGTGTAAGCCACGGCGCAGTTTGATTCGTCTACACGGCTCTCCGACACGTGCGTAAACGTCACTTACTATGTAAGCCGAGTGATTCCTACGAAGTAGAGGAATCGTGATGTTCCTTGGTAGTAGGAACAGAAATCAATCGCCTTCAGAAATGCATGAATTGCCTTGACGGACAGAACACCAACACCAACACTAACACTACCTAACACAAAGAGGGGGTTGCGTGAGACTGCCATTGATCACTCTGGCTGTTCTGCTGATGGCCCCGACCCGCTACGACTGCGGCAATTGCGTGATAGAACGATAACAGCTAACCAAGCGATTTAGCTGCCAAGGGAGCTCAACCATTACATGTCTACCCAAGTACGGACAGATACAGAGTACGTACACACACACACACACACACATACATACATACATACATACATAATTAAACTTCTACCCTACAACCACCATCCCTGGTTTCCTGCGGCCATCCGAATCATAGATTGAACACCTAGGCAATCGATAGCTGGTGATCCCCACTGCGTACCTACCTAGAATAATACACTACCTCCTGGGTGCTAGTAGCGTAGAGCCGGTGTCTTATAGGTAGGTAGTCTAGAGTGTAGCAGAAAGCGGGAACCCGAGCTCCTCTTACCTCTCACCTCTCACCTCTCTCTCTCTCTCCAGCCAGCTCCCACTTTCCACTTCCCCTGTCCGTCGCCTGTCGATGCCCCCCCTAGAAATAATCTGCGACGCGACGTGACGTGTTCACATCAATTCATTCCTGCCTTGGACCATCGAACCGGTATTCTGCTCTTGTCTGACTGGCCGAACCACTGCGACCACTGCGACCACTGCGACCATTGCGACTACTGCCCGATCGCCGCCCTATACCTGCCAGCTTACCCAAGCTGCCTTAGGTTCTGCCGTCACTGGCTAAGAGCTCTGCGAACTCAAAATGTCCTCTCCTTCTAGCTCATCCCACGGAGGCAAGCGGAAACGCCCGACCACAGCTAATTCCGCCATGATGGATGACAATCCGCTTCTGCAGCCCTCTTCCCGCGATGCCTCCGGCGAGGAAGGCGACACAACTGCCCCCGAGACTGGCAGACTCACCCACCGCAAATCAGATGCCACCGCTGGCTCCAACCCGGCAAAGCGCCAGCGCGCCAACTCGGAGCGTACCTCGGCCGCCTCTCTGCCCGAACATGCTCATGCTCATGCACATGCCGACCACATCGCCGACCCTGGCGAGCCTAGCGACACAACCGAAGCCAGCATTGACATTGCGGACCGCGTCACCCGGAAGGGCAAGAAGCCCACTCTTCTCAAGGAACCTACTTCCCCCGACGACCATGAGAAGCAGCAGGCCGCTGCCATGCTGCCACCCCCTACTGGTCGCTTGGTTCACCCCGTAGGATACAAGACAAACCCTCCCCCGACAGGGCGCACCATCAGGGTTTATGCCGACGGAGTCTTTGACTTGTTCCATCTGGGGTACGTTGCTTACCACATCATCCTCCGCCTAAGCCCTCCATGTTGAAATATCAATGAACTACGCTAACTCCTGATCCTTAATAGGCACATGCGCCAACTAGAACAAGCTAAGAAGGCCTTTGACAACGTATACTTGTTAGTGGGAGTAACTAGTGATGAGGAAACACATAAACGAAAGGGCCTCACGGTATTATCTGGACGAGAGCGCGCCGAGACAGTGAGGCATTGTAAATGGGTAGACGAGGTCGTCGAAAACTGTCCTTGGATCGTCACGCCGGACTTCCTCGAGGAGCATCAGATTGACTATGTCGCCCACGATGATATCCCATACGGAGCAGATGAAGGAGACGACATCTACGCCCCGATCAAGAAGGAGGGTAAGTTCTTAGTCACACAGCGAACCGAGGGTGTCAGTACAACAGGTATTATCACAAAGTAAGTCACGCAATCGCCGCTATCCGGAGTAAGCGGGGGGTGGTCTTTGTTATCTCTGAACTGTTCTAACGGGATTCGTAGGATTGTGCGCGACTATGAGAAGTACATTGCGCGACAGCTTAAACGAGGCACCTCTCGTCAGGAACTCAACATCAGCTGGCTCAAGAAGAACGAGCTTGACCTAAAGCGCCACGTTCAGGAGATCCGTGATAACATCCGATCGAACTGGACAACAACTGGCCAAGAGTTGAGCCGCGAGCTTCGCCAGTACTGGCCCGCTAGTCGCCCCCAGAGCCCTGCCCCTGGTGGTCGCTTCTTGTTCCCCACGACCCCGAGCAACTCGAACGGGGAGGTCAATCTCCGCGAGGCCGCTATGGCGGCAGCCGCCAAGTCTCCCACGACACCTGGCCCTAGTGATAGAGCTCCACCCCCTGCCACGAACGACTTTATGACTGGTTACACCCTGGGTCTCATTGGTGGTGTAAGATCTTGGGTACGTGTCTTGCCTAGCCTTTCACAAGAAGCTTAAACAGCGCACAAGACAACTAAAGATTGCTAATACTATCCCAGATGACCAAGAGCCGCCGCAATCTACGCGACAGCCGGCCCGTCAGCGACGACGACTCAGAAGAAGGCGACAGCGGGTCGAACGAGCGCGGGCGTCCAGTCGCATCTGCCAGCTAGCTTCGCAGACCACTGTTACGCCTGCATATAGATGAGGAGTCGGATGATGTAGTAGTAGAACAAGAAACTTATCTAATCGGAAAACGAAACCGCAAACAACAACAGCAACAGCATTTGTATCATCGCCATGGATATCGGGGAAAATCTCTATAAAATGGACACTGGGGAACAACGACAACAACAACAGAAAATAAAATTTTGACTTTTCGACAGGAGAGGGGGAAGATGAGGGGAGGGGCGTGGGATACGGAACACATAATACAAGTCTCGGGCCAGAAGACTGATTGACTAGCTGGCCGGCTGGCTGGCTGACGGGATGTGTTTTTATTATTTATTTCAAGTTAAAATTTTATTTACTGTACGAACAGAGAACACAGCGCAGTACAGTACAGTACAGTACAGTCAAAGAGAGAAATGAACGGATGAAACATGGACGGGGGTGGCTTTCTTGTTTTTGAGCCAATTTATATCTTCAGAGAGGTCTATCGTAAATTAATTGACTGACTGGCTGACTTACCTGTCTGGCTGGGCTTTTCTGATGTGTAATACATGTGAACTCACTTTCACTTGGCTTTGGTTGTCGTTGTCGTTGTGGTTGTGTACGGGATAGATAAAAGAAAGGAAGAGGAGGGGCATAAATGAATTTCTCTCTCTCTCGTCATGTCATACCATGTTTGAAGAGTCTGCAAATGCAATGTGTAGGCCCTGCACCTACCTACTTATGGAAATCCAAGGTATTTGAAGTACCTACGCATAAATATAACACGACGTTTCGTAGTGTAGTATTTTAATGCTAGATTAATTAATAACTTAACTACCTAATATTTATTATTGTGTTGGTCTTATGTTAGGTATGGTGTGTCTATCTATCTGTCTGCCTATTTGTCTGTCTTGTATTGTTAGCATCGACGCTTGACAATGTAGAAGCCCCTGGACAGAGTTATTTAAATAATAAACTGTAAATCGGGGGGGGGGGGGGGGGGGGGGGGGGGGGGGGGGGGGGGGGGGGGGGGGGGGGGGGGGGGGGGGGGGCGGGGGGGGCGGGGGGGGC